TTTGGAATCAGTTGGTTAATTTGAGTGTTGACATTTTTGATTTATGTTAAGCAGTTGACGAGATATTTATAAGACAACTTTTTTACCAGAAGATTTGCTTCGATTTTTACGTATGGGAACTTTTCTGAAGAAAATCAGTGTGGAGAAGTACTTTAAAGAGGTTGTTTTTCAATTTTCTCCGGAGTTTTCTCAACAAATGTGAAAAAAAAAAAAAAAAACAGGAAAATATAAGAAATGTAAGTAATAGCTAAAAGTATTATGGCCTTCTTTTCTTTACAAACAGTTTCCAGTACATTTGTATAGTTCTCACCACGTTAAATCATAACGGCTATAAAACGATAAATCAGAACTAATGATTTTATTATTTTCAATCTCGTTTTTTGTTGTCATTCGGTTAAAACAAAGACTGAAAATATGTTTAATTTTGGATATTGTTGGTGTATTATAAGGATAGAATTTTTCAATAATACAACTAATATTCTTAATAATTGGAAAAAAAAACGTAGAATATACTAATCAAAAATAATATTGATAATTGATTTTTCAATTAATTAAAATTTGGATACAAACTCAAATTGTTTAAAAAAATTTTATGTCATACAAGTAGAAATCTAGCGTTTGGATAGTCGAGGAGTCAGATAATCGGTTTTACTGTACCAGGGGCGTATAAGCTAACCGAGAACCGGGATTTTAACAAAAAAAAAAAGACATATTAATACGATGGGTGATCAACTGTTATAGGTTAGATGTGAATGTAGAGGGGAAATTTAATGTATATAATATGTATTCAACGAGTAACATTAACAATAACAAAAAGGCCGTAACAATTACAATTTTCGTCAAAATATAATTTTAAAACTTATAAAAAATACTACACTACACTCAATTTTATTTTTTTTAATAAAATGCATTTGTTTTTTCCTTGTGACCTACACGACGTGGTTTTGCAAAAATAAAAATACGTATAAACTCGCATATTTTAAATATCTATAAATAACTTAAAAATAACTCAAATATTTTGAAAATATTATCACGTCTAAAGAAAGTAATTATAAATTTTCTGTAAAAAGGTCTAGTCTCTATGAATATTTAAACCTGAATAACAACGAAAAAAAAAATTTTAAATAATAAAAACATTATTTTCATAGATATCCCGTTTGTCTACATTTCTTTTCGGTCATGTTTAATTATTAATCAAACTACAGACAAAATCAAAAAATAAATAGCTTACTGATTAATTAGAACGAAAATTCAATAAAAGAGGTGTCTAGTCGTTTACCCATTGCTGTAACATTAATGATAGAAAACATGGGCCGTACAAGTGTATAATAATGAAATCGTCGTGTCGTAGTTGTAGTCTTTATGTTCGGATAATCTAGCGTTGGGATAGTCTAGGGTTCAGATAATCAGGTATACTGTACCAGGGACGTAGAGGCTCACCGGGACACCGTGATATTCCCGGTGGGCCGCTATTTGGATTGATTTAAATGTGCCGATGAAAAATATTGGTATTGTATAATGTACGAGTACATGAACACGAATATTCAAAGTTGATAGAAAATACAATAATACTGTATTTTATATTTTAATCAAGTTTAAATTCTAATAAATTATCATTGTATTCCCAGTCCACCTTATTCATAAGCAGTAGTATGCTGCTGCGTTATGGATTTACCATCATCACTAGTATTTATTTTGAAAATTATTTTTCGTCGCGTAGTAGTTTGAAAAAAAAATCGTATATTTCATATTTTTTAGAATATTTTAAATATCAAAAAACGACTTACTCTGTCAGTGGCTATGTGTTAAAAGGAACAATATCGGTTTCGTGTCAATTTTTGATTGATTTGATTTGATTAATCTTTATGGTATAATACATAAGGTGTTCATATTAAAATAACTAAACCGGGGCGTTAGGTTGCCGTAAATATTAATCAATATTAATTATTTGGTTTTGCCCAATTATTACGAAAACTAATTTTAATATCGAAAATCGACTAACTTTCTCAGTAGATAAATATTATAAAAAACAAAATCGATATTTTATCATTTTTGGATGGGAGGAGTAATTTTTCTAGTAGAAAACATCGTGTTAACATCATCAAAATAAGAAAAAAGGGTAACACCGAATCGTTCCGTAGATATCTGCCGTTTTACCAACAATTTTCTTTTGGTTTTTTCCAATTATTTTCAAAACCCCTTGGAAAATTAAAAAAATGAAAAATCCATCTCTATGCTCGGAATCTAATAACTAAACATTATTATAAAAGCATTACATTCCTCGCTTCGCTCAGAATCTAAAATATATAGAATAGATAATAAAAAGTTGACACTATTCAATTTTAGGTTGGAAATTGTGGTTTCATTGAATGAAAACTTCTACTTTTCAAATAGTTTAATTAGATTCATCAAGTTGTTTCCTTAACATTATAATGAATTTGATATTTTTAAATAGTTGTTATGTAAAATGTTTTGTTTCGCCCTTACATAGGGCTAGTCTATTATTGTCTATAAAACAGGTATTTTTTTTAAGACCCTTTTATTTATCTATTTCAGATGACGTTATCTACGCATATAAAAATTGACAAATGATAATGTAATGCGAAAATTATTATTTTACTGTTTATCGTAATACGTATAAACGGTAAACAACGTTAGTATACTTGTTAGTTAAATTTTTGATATCTAGTTATAGTTTTTCGGACTAAAGACTTACCTAAGAACCAAATAACTGATAATATTTTGTTCCCGCGTACATTATCAAATGTTTCCCCCCTGTAATAACGAGTTATCGTTTTGTATTCGAAGTCTATTAATATCTAATTTTAAATATCATTACAGATTGTATAATATATAATAATAAACGTTAATATAAAAAAAAAAAGAGAATATATTTATATAAAAACATATTATTGCATATTTTACTAATGTTTATAGAAAATATTACAAGTATATATTCAAATTTGCACCGAACGGTGCAATAAACTTTGTACCACATGCACTCCTGGTACCCGAAATCATTTTTCGGCCTGTTTGGCAATGCCCCCTGACATTGCTGTTTGCTGCTCGTAGTCAAAACTAATTTTTACGGTTTATGTTTTCTACAATAAATATAGCTTTAAATAAAAAACGCTAAAAGCCTTTTTTGTTGAATTTTCAATCTAGTTGATATAGTCTGGTTGATAAAAAAGTAGTTTTTTGATATTTCATGTAGTTTCCTTAATAATTGAAAAATACCGAGAAAAACGTAAAAAGAACTATAAAGTTTACAGAATGATTTCAATAATTTCTAATTTTATTTATTTTTTATTTTTCTAAAATTCTAAAATAATTCTGAATTTTCTCTTGTTGGCCGTTACTTTTTGCTGCTGCTGCTCATATTCAAAACTAATTTGCATGATTTATACTTAGACCATGATGTTTTAGATTCTGAGTGAAGCAAATGTATCGGGTTTATTATGTTTATTTATTTTTCTTTGAACAACTTTTCTACCAGCACTTTTGATCCGATTTTCGAGTATAGTACTTTTTCTAAAATTAAATCAAACTGGTGTGGTACTTTAGAGATGTCATTTTTTGATTTTCCCAGCTTTTTTTTATAATAAATGGGAATAACCGGGAAAAATATAGAAAAACCGGGAAAATAGGTACAATATCAAACAAATATTATTGAAGAAAATATTTAATGTATAATGTATATGTTATTATTTTACTATAATATGACATATATATTGTTGACAAAGTAACACTATTAACCGATCTCTGCTCAAAATCGTTTTTCGATAGCATTGGTTATTGGTTAATATATGCGTACAAATATACACTAAATTTCCCATCTACCTTCCAAAATTCTCACCTATAACAGTGGCTCCCCCTACGTCCGAAGTATGTCCATATCTTTTTTACTATCAGTTAGTATTAATTTATTTTTAGTACTCAAATTTAAATTTATAATGATAACAATAAACAGTAACAAAAATGTATAATAATGTTACAAATATTTATATACAACAACTTGTCAACCAAATCAATAATTGTAACTATGTACCTTCTAGTATAATTATACGGATTCACAACGGAAATATAAGATTTTCTAAACTTATGTTTAGAAACTTAAAAGAACCTAGAAGGGACACACTGTTGAAAATTTCGGTAAATATTTTATTTTAAATAAAGTACCATTGGGTATAAAATCCAAATCTTTTGATGTACTTCGTAAAAAAATAAAAATAATTTAATTAACCAAAAACCAAATACGAAAAACTAATTTTTGGAAAATTTGTTTTGAATATCCAATATTTATCAAATAAAGTATCATCAAGTTAAAAATCTGTATTTTTTAAATGTATGACATGAAAAATGTAAAAAAATTCTTGCATTATTACCATCCTTAAATCGTTTTTCCGAGAAAAAAATAAACTTTCATAAAACTATAATAGTTTTTCTGCATTATACTCTCAAAATCTAAAATAATCTGTGTAAAAAGTAAATTCTTGTATAGTATACAATGTATACGTTTTAAATAAATGATTTGTATAAAAAAAAAAATTAGTTGAATGAAACTCATTTTGCGTTTTTCCAAAATTCCAATATGTGTACTGTATAGGTAATGAACGAAATATTATTCTAATACTAACAGATCTCACAAAAATATAGAACTATGGAATACTATGTTTATCTACCAAAAATGGACTTTACGTCTTATGTTTTTTTTTGGTTCATCAACTCTTTTTCGCTCTCTTTTTCTCACCACAGTTTTTATCTTTTTAAATCCATATTACATAATATTTTTGTAATAGATAGAGAGAGAGAGTATATTTTATTCTGTTGTTATTCATAATAATTATTAACTATCCTGGGATGCAGGAATTCTGTGTATTATATCCGTGATATACAGTAATATAAAAATCATGTACAACTGTATATTATGTTGTAGTTCTAAAATATTATTACAATTTTTAAACCCGTGAACATTCTATAATTTTCATTGAAATTGTAAAAATATAATAAAATTATGCACATACAATTGGCTGATCGAAAATCAAATCAGAAGTCTAGTCTTATGGTTGGAAAGTGTTATGCAGAATCTTTGTTTTTTGCAAGTTTTAAAACATTAGATTTATGTACAGATTAATTTTTGAATTCATAATTAGAAGTATGCTATAGAATCAGTTTAATTTGTATTTATTAATAAATCATTGCAGATATGACACACCATTGTATTAAAATATAATAAACTTAATTTAAAGTGAATATAAACACAAGACATACATATTATTATGTTGTATTAATTCAAAATTGGCTAAAAATACTATTAAAATGTATTTTATAAATATATGAGCATTTTAAAAAAAATAATTTAGTTAAGTTATATAATATATATATATATAAATAATTCACAATCAACAATAGATAAAATTAATTTGCAGATTTTTATAAAATTTGATGAGAATAAAATATTAAAAAAATATAAATATACTAAAATAATTATTTCAATTATTAAACAACATACAAAATTGATAAAATGTATAACTGTTTATAATAAAAATAAAAATATCAAATATTATTAACTAATGAAAAATAATTATACAACTTTAATAAAAGCTCTGAAAAATATATTAAATATAGGGTGGAGTCACCACCTAGCCAGTATCCTTGCTATGGCTACTCATTTGTATTTTATTTGTTAATAGTCTAATTTTGCAATTTTTTTTTTTTTAATAACTGTAAATATATTAAATCAAATATAAATTTAATAAGTTCTTAAGATGGACATTGGTGGCATCTCTACTCTAGGTATATAATTTACTTTTATGTAAACTACATAGTATTTAATTGTCTTATTTAACTTAGTTGACTATTGTAGTTGGCCTGTGGTAACTCTTTTTTTATGTTATTTATTGAAATTTCACTACTGTTTTCCACAGTGTTGCGTTGGATTTGGTGACTTGGCACATTTCCTCCAGTTGAGGAGATCGGAGTTAATCCTGTACCACCATCCATAAGAGAATCAAAATTCAATACTACTACTCCATTAGAACTTGTTCCAGATATTTTTTTACCATTCCCAAAATTATTACTGTTCAATTGCAACAGAGTAGTGGGTCGTCTTCTGTGAGAATGTTGTAACACAGATGTTGGTATAATATCAATATTGGATTTACTGTCTTCATCAGACAATACAATGGAATCTTCACACTTTATTAAAATATCACCGCAAACATCACCACTGTTTATGCTTGTACTTATGTTCTGTTGCTGCAAAGGATTTTGTTTGACTGCTGACATGGTGTTACTCAGATCTGATTCAGAAATCTCATTTGAACTAATTACTGTGGTTGTAGCAGTAGAAATTGAATTTGAAATGCACTTGTGATGAGCTAACATCTGCTGTAGATCAGTTTTTTGTTGACGAAGGCCTTGGATTTCAACCTGTAATCTCAACCGTTTATCTTCTAATTGTTCAGTTTCCTGTAAACATATTATGTAAAACAACCTGGCTCATAAAGTGCAATGATAATAGAAAAAGTTCAAAAAATAATTTTTTTTTAACTTATTTAAATTTTATAATAATGTAAAACTATATTTTAATGAATTATTTAAGTTTTATTACTAAAAATGAAGTTAAACTTAATAAAACCATGTTTTATTTTGATTAATTATACCTCTAAAAGTTCATTTGTATGGTCCATTCTGCGTTTACGACACCGGGCAGCTGCCAGTTTGTTACGTTCTCTTCGGATTTGTCGACGCTGTTCTTCTTCAGCCGACATCTATATAAATAAGATAAAGTTTATAATATTAAATAATATAATTTTCATATTTTACTTAAGAGGACTTCATACACTTGTACTATCTAAGTTCAATTAACAGGCAATATAGCAAAATCTACCTAACCCAGACTGCATAGAATTTGCTTGATTCTGGTTTTAAAGTAAAATAATCAATTAAAAGAGAACAATATATCAGAGGGCAAAACAATGCGTTTTTCCTTATTATTCTAGTTATTTATTATTCCAAATATAATGTTCAATACAATGTTTAGAAATAAAGACTAATTCATCAGTTTTAAATGACTGTAACAGTTCAAAAAATGAATTTAAAAAAGAAAAGAAAAAAATCCGGAATTATCCTCCTGAATATTGTTTTCTCATAATTTTACAATAGGTGATTATACTCTAGAACCAAAAATAAATGATTTCTCGAAGAAACCCAATATTTTTTTTTTTAGGCTGTAATTAAGCATTTTTATTATAGTTATGATAAATAAACTAATATACTCATACCCTTACTCATTAGTTTGTAAATTTAAATTAAATATTTTATGTTCATACAAGTAGATAACCTTAACTACTGATCTTTTTTTTATCAAATGCATACATATATATATTGTTTTTCATTGAAGACATTTTATAAAAAAAAACCTAAACCAAAAATGTATTAGAAAAAATAAATGAGTACATAGATATTTAAATTACTACATAATTATTTGAATACCTACATAAAAAAAGGTTTTTTTTTTAAATTTTGGAGTTTCTTTTTAACTACAATCACTTTAAAATCAAAAAAATCTATCAGTATACTGTAAATAATATTAAAAAGGGAACTGTACAAAATAAAAATTGGATTACTCACTATTTTGCCATCTTTATTATTGGTACGGCGACCACTGCCCATGGGATTAGACGTGGTTTTGAATTCGCTCTTAATACTATTTTTAGAAGTGGATTTTCCGTTTTTGTTGTTTTGCTTGCGCCCCATTTTTCCAGAAGCATCACTACTGTCGGTCGTATCCGCAGAATCATAGTTTTCATCAAAGTCTTCGTCATCGGTAAACCGTTTTTTCGTCACGCTACGCGCTCTATGTTGAGGTCTCTGCGTGACCACTGCTCCCTGCCAGTGTGAAGATGACGCCGAATTCGATGAACCTTTTGCGCTGAATACAGAACTCGAACCAGAACTATTATTAGTGGTTAACAAGACTGTTGTACCTGTAAAAAAACATATATGTATCGTTTTTATCAAAATTTAACTTATCATTGGGTATACTGCATAGTATGAAATTGTATTATATCTATGTGCATATATAACTATCAGTTATACAATTTATTTAGTTACATATTTTTTATTTCAATTTGGTTTTTATGTATATATACTTAAAAGTTGATACACACACATTATTTTCGGTGTTATAGTAAGAAAAATATTATTGAAAATTGCAAGTACATACATTTTTATATTTTACATTTTATTGATAAACGAAATACACTTGTATTTTTAACTAATCAAAATTGTTGACTTATTAAAATTAAATATTAAATACAAAAAAAATTATACAAGGATACGTGTATATTATCATCCCTGGTTTTAGTTCAGTAAAATCGATTTTTTTTCTGGCATTTAAAAAAAAAAGATACAATTATATTTTGAAACGGTTCTGGAAGGTATCTGAAATTGATAATAAAATGTGTCTAGATACTCATCAAGTATCTTGCCCAATCCTTATTTTAATAACGAACACACAACTCACATCATCAAATAAGTAAGTGTCGAATCTACACGATAGTGTAAAATAAAATCTATGTAAAAAAAATTACCACTTTTTATTAAAACGAACAAAGCTATTTGGGATCGGCCACCTTCAACCTCCTCTAACCTTACAAGCACTTTGTTTGGAGAATTTAATGACAAAGTTAATTATTTTTTTTTTTATACGTAAACACAATTTTGAATTGGTAATTATTTTAATGGACAATATTTCTTAACGGTTTTTTTACCTGATGGTGGTTGAGTATTACTATTAGCCGAGTTTATTTGTAATACGAGCGGTGGTACAAATCCTGCTTGTCTCGACGAAGCCGCCGAAAATGAATTATTGTAATCGTTGCGTTGTTGTTGATTCAAACTGTGTTGTTCGTTTTGTAAATTATCCATACCGAGCGGCTGATGGTTGTGCAGGCTTTCGAGACTTATAGTTGTATGCGGGCCGCTCAGAATTTGTAGATTATGCCGATCTTGTAAATCGGAATTAATTCGATCGGCACTGCCCGAAGTCGTGACGTTCACGGATTTACACGAAGACGACACGAGATGGTGTAAATCGGATGCCGCTGAAGCGGCGAAATTTTCCGGTTGACCCGGCGCCAAGCTACTCAAGTCGGCCGCTATGGATCGCAATGTTGTCGGTGTCAAAGTCGGCGTTGTACGAGTTGGTATTCCGCCACAATTAAGGCTGTCCAACTATATAAAAAATAAAATGTCAAAATATTAAAACATATTGGATAAAAAACGTACCTAACAGTATATACTTATATTGGTAACATAATATAGGTGTTTTATTTTTATCTTAAAAAAATGTTACATTTTCGTTTTATTCAAGAATTTTCATTCGTAAAAGTGCATTGACCAAATCGTGAAGTATAAATGACATAACGTACCTAGGTACCGTAAACTATACTTTATAGATAAAGTATAAAGATAAAAGAAAATCACGATGGGACATTATACTGTATAATTATACATACTGTGTAATTATACAGTATAATGTTCCATCGTGGTGTTTTTTTTTTAATTATGTCAGAGTGAAAAGTTGTGAAAGTATTATAGGTATTAATTTCGTTTAGAATATATACTGAATGCAACAAAAATCATAGCAAAAAGAAAAAAAAAACCTATTCTGAAAAGCCAGAAAGCCAAGAATAAAAATTTCAAAACTTAAAAACTCAAGCGTGAGCTCCTGTATAGAAATAATTAAAAATATCGACTTCAAGATGTAGTTAGACTCTCATCTGCCCACTTATGAGAATATTTAGCTATGTATTATAGTAAAATTCTAAGTGCTCAAGTGAATTGTTTACAGTGTTCAATGTAGACAAATTACGTTTTGATAATATACAAACGTCTTACACAATATTTAGACCGAAAAATGGACGGAAAAAATGTACATTAAACAACAAATTGAGTCGTTAAAAACAATGGTCGAAAATTGGTTCGAGCTCCTTATTTTTCCGGGGCACCCCGGATATAGTTTGATCGATGAAATAGGTATACTATTATTATATTAAATATAGAAACCTTGTACGTGTCGTCGTTGAGCGCGGTGTATATACTGTAGCTGGCGTCCAGTTGCTGTATTTGCCAGCTACAAGTGCACAAGCCCACGGGGTCCAAACAGTCGGGACAGACGGACGTGTCGTCGCGAAACAAATCCGAAGAAGGAACAGTTTGCGCGGACGGCAGAAACATTACGGCCGCGGGGGGTTAGCGATAAAATGAACCAACACGGTCGATTTTCGGTCAATCGAAATATTATAATATTACAACAACGCCGAAGACGCGATCGTAATAATAATGTGGGCGACTACACTACTGCAGTAGTTATGTATTATTCTAATATACAGAAGAACGACGAGTAACTAAATGCAATAGCATACGCGGGACGGATAAAACGAAACGGACGCGGCGCGACGGAATGACTGACCCGGGACACGATGCGTGTCGGCACTATGTTGTACGAAATCCGTGTGGGCGGCGGTAGGGGAATTCCGTGTCGTTGTCGTCGCGGCGGCCGCCGCGAAAGAAACTTGCGTCCCCTCCGCGCGCTAGACAATAAATTGACATAGGTCGGCCGCCGCGATGATTCATCTACGCTTACGTCACGGTAAAATATTATTCGATAAGATTATATTCGAGAGTACCTTTATTTTTTTTTTTTAATATACTGGGAATCGCGCGAATGACTCATCGCGAATTGCCGCAGAGACGAGATAATGCCCGGACACGTGCTCGCCACTTGAGGGGATAGAGGGAAACGAATACCTTCCCCGTATAATTTATAAAGTTTATTATTATTATTATTACAGGGTTCGAGTGTTTATGCACTTGAAATAACTGTAATATTATGTACATGTGTTTATGCACTAAAAAATTACCAAATATATGCACTACAAATCATAAAATATGCACTTTTAGCTGAAAAACACCGAAATATGCACAAACAAATTAATTTTACCATTAATACATCAATTGTATTCTTATTATTATCAAACAGATCTTTGCAATTTGGCTATTATTGACTATGAAATCGTGTTATTTTTTTATTTCATATAATATTTGATCAGTTATAATTATTTAAATAAATATTTTTTGTATTATATAACTGAAAATTATATAGCACAAAATTAAAAGTGGCAAAATCGCAGTTTTTTATACTCATTCGTGTAGATTTTCTTTTGTATTTCTATATCAAAGAATTTTGATATGCCGACAAATTTTCTCAACCGGGTCGTAAAAAAAAATATTTTATGCTCAATCATGTTGCAGCCGAAAACATCATAAAAATTTTACAAATTTTAAATAATGAAATTGTAACGCCATCAATTTGTCAGTTTTCGATTGGAGTAATATTTCTAGTAGAAAACATCGTAAACAAAAATTAAAAACAATAAAATAACGATAACGCCGCGGGACTCAGTAATTATGAATCATTTTGCCTATAATTTTCTTTCGGGGTTTTTTCAACTATCCTGAAAACCCCTAAGAAAATCAAAAATTAACTCCCTCAAAGCACCAATGAAAGAAAATTACCTTTCAGAAACACTCAACATGTCGGATCAAAATTTATTTTTAAAAATTTCACAGACAATAAAAAAAATTAAAAGCACACATCATAAAAAAAATCAATAGATCCCTCTTTAAAAACTCGAGACCATTTTTAATATTATTACGAAAAAAAAACACATCTGAGTAAAACTAATATATAGCTATGTGTAGCTACATTCAAAATCTAAAACAAACGATAAATCAGCGTTTAAGAAGAGTTCTGGGTGAGATGTTGTTTCTATCTCTAAATAAATGCAGTATAAAACAAAGTCACCATCCGCGTCTGTCTGTTAGTGCGCTTAGTTCTTTTAAACTACGAATCGGATTTTGATACCGGTTTTCATTATCATTTAGAGAATTTTGTGCGGGAGGTTTACATCCTGTATAAATCTTCCAGAAAAAAATTCTATAGAATGACGCGTTACGCGATAAGCAATCACAATCAGCGCGGTAATTCCTTATTTTTTATTGAAAATTAGTTGTTTTCACGAATATGAATGTATGGTAGGTACATTCAAAGTTTTAGAATAATATTTTTTACAAAATGGCTATTTTGAAAAGTGAAAAATTAAAAAAAAATGTAAGTGATTAAGAAATGAAAAAAACATTCGTTTTTTTTACATATGTGTCCCACTGACCCAAAACCCGATTGAAAAAAAAAATGTATATTGATAGAATTATTAGCATAGGTATAGGATAACACTGTAGGACACCCTACAGGGTGTAAGAAGAAATAATATAATACACATGTATATTATATTATTTCTTATTATTTTTTTTTTTTTGTTGTGATCAAGTTAAAATATTCGTAGAGACTTGAAATTCGGACAAAAGGTTATATTTGCTTTTTCTAGACGTGGTAAAACTATTTCAGAATATTTAAACTATTGTTGAGCCATTTATAGACATTTTAATTTGACTAGTTTTTTACGTCACTTTTATTTGTTAAGTAGTCTAATAGTATATAGATAAATTGTTAGACTTAACATAAATGCTTAAAAATTTGATAGGAGGTTCATTATAAATCGTACTTAATGGTCGAAATAAAAAAAAATTACTTTAATGTAGTATTTTTTTTTTTTTTATAAGAGTTTTAAAATCAAATTTTGACGAAAATCGTAAATATTATGGTCTTTCAAAACATATTTAATAACCGCTTTGTTCCGAATCGTTTTTCGTTAGTAATGGTTTATCGTTGGTGATAGATTAAATTAAATAACTTTATGTATCCTACCTCCTCAACTTTCCATCTACAACAAAGGATCACCCATCAGCAGTATCAGCTTTTTATAAGTGGTTTTAACAGAGTACAGCACGATATTATTCAATAATTGTGTATAATATTATTGACGGTTTGCGTATTTGACAGCAGAATAATATAATAAAATATACAGATAAGATTGGGGAAAAAAATGTATATAATAAAGGTATATAATATTATCGTCTTTAAAGCTTAAATTGAACTAATTTATTTTTATTGCTACATTATACATTTGACAATATTATATTGAAAATACATTTTTCATTTTTAAACGATGACAACCGTAGTTGTATAATCGATTTATTTGATTAAGTAAACACTATACATGGTATCGTTTAAAATACTCACATTTCAGGTCTTAATATTATAATTCAAAAATAATTTCGACTTTTAAAATTATTTTAATTTACAGCTAACTTACGACTTAAATTTTAATTATATTTTTCTATTTTCTGAGCATAGCGAGAAATGTAAATAGTTTTTTCAAATTTTTTTTTACTGTCTATAACTTTTTTATTAAAAATATTGACTGGATTATCAATTTTTGATTTCTGATACAAAATGTTGCTTTAATGGTGCATTGAAGAGGTAATTTTTTGACTCCTCGTAGTTTTCTATTAAGGAAAAACAGGAAAGTCAACGCAATAATGGTTTCTTTTGTTATCGATTTGAATTTTTTTTTTTTTGTACTTCAGTTCATAATAATTAAAGAGATCTAAAATTTTCAAAACACGTAGGCAATTTTTGTGCTATTTATATATGAAATTTTCTATTACAATAATTTCGTGAAATACTGTAAATTTAACGTCCTCTCAACCTTGAATAGTGCCCGTATGTAAATGCAGACATACGGTTTTAAAAATTTGGAAAATAATATAGTCAGGATGCCTTATTTCTTATTGTAATTTAAAGTCATAATTACTAAACTTTAATAAAAAATACAAAAAAATCATAAACCTGAATTGAAAAAAAAAAAAATAAGTAGTTATTCGAAAAAAATAAATAAATAAATCGGTGATTATTTTGTGGATTGCACAATCATTTATTTATTTAGCAGTAATGTTTTTTTACAATTTTACATAATTACAAATATTTACAAATTGTACTGCACCGTCATCACTAAAGATGAAATCCTTGTTTTGTCTCTTATATAAACGAAAAAAAAAATTATAAAAAAAATATTAACTTAAGTTTTTTTATATTGAACTACTGTTGATCATTTAAAAAAAAAAAAAAACGTTTTCCCTTAAACGTTCTGAGATGTTTACGAAAAAATGTCAACTGTATTAAAAAGGAGGAATTCCGTTTTTACCGTAAATACTAAAAACAGATATAATATATAATGTGGTAAATGGTAATCTCCAAAAATTAAAAACTAAACCTAAACGGGTCAAATTAGAAGAAGTGACCCAAATAGAAACTTTATACAGTCGCTGTCTTGTAGAATTTTGTATTTAATTGGTATCCTGATATAATGGGGAAAATCCGAATATAAACTGTATATTTACGCAACGCCGTCAATGGATTTTTTCAAAATCGATTGTATTTTTTTTTTTCTATAATTTAGTATGAAATAATATTGTAGATACATACTATTTCCACCAAATACTTTTGTTAGCATTTTCTAAACATGCAAATAAAATTTTAAAAATATTTTAGCTCTTGAATAATAAAATAGGTAGGTTTACCTATATTTATAATTAATTGAAATATTGAGTTTTTTTATTTATTTGTGTGAATACCTAGATATTTTTTTTTTTATGACAAGACGTAAATTTATCAGTTTTCATTATATGTTTCTTTTCAGTTTTTCCTAACTATTAATAAAACTACAAAGGAAATAAAAAAGGACATTTTTACTCATGGACTAGATTAAAAATACAACGAAAAAGGTCTTTTATCGTTTCTTTATTGGAGCAATATTTATAAGATAAACCATAAAACACATCTAGTAGTGATGTTAAAAGACTGTTACTTTTCATTGCGATTCAATGAGTAGCAGTAACAGTGCCTGTTAATCATACATTAAGTAGCAATGATTTTATTACACTATATCATAAATTACTATCAGTGATGTTAAATTTGTTTTACTGTAAAAAATATTTACACTAATATTGTGAAATGTGAATAATATACAACTATTGCTACTTGCTACCATTATTATATAACTATGGTTAGCACTTAACATTTTTTGATTTCTTATAAAATTAGTTGCTATTGTTATAGGAAAAACATGATTTTATAATAAAACATACACACAAATCAATGATTCATAATTTTAGATGGGTATTTATAATATAATATTTATTAAATTATTATAGTATCTAATCATTATTCATTATTTATAGGTATAATGATTATTATTTCACATTTACGACTAAATAGAGTAGTACTGTATGGATTAATGTGAAATTCTGACAATGTAAATGTGGAATAGACCAGGGAACGGGAACATTTTTGTGTAAATGAGCCATTTTTAAAAAAAATTGCAAAAACATAATTTTCAATGGACCGCAATGGTTAAAATTAAAAAAAAATTCCATAGTACAAAAAACGACTATAATATACTTGACTAAGCAATTTCATTAGGAATTGGTAAGCGTGTAATCTAGTTTTAATTTATATTTTATTGGTCTAGCTCTAGATATAGAATATCCAGATAATGATGCATTTTCCAAAAAACCATAGATTGCATGTTAAAGAACCGCATAAAGCTCTGGACCCGCAGGTTCCCAACCCCTGGATTAGGCCATAGGTACGTAAAATATAAAAAGTAGCAGTTATAGTAGCAATCATTATTTTTACTATAATTTTTTTTTTTTTTTATCACAGTGTGATAAATATTTTTCACAGTTAAACATAACTACATCATAGTAGAACTACGCTACGAATCTAAAATTACTATATTCCACTCTTACTTTCAAATTGTTTAGCATTTCTAGTTGGTCGAACAATTATATTCACATAATACCTACCAAAAATACTATAAATGGTTCAAAAATCACCAAAATGTTTTGAAAATTGTACCATGTCTAGTAAATATAAGTGTTTCGTCAAAATTTGAAGTCTATGAATAGTTTTTACTAATTGGAGCAGAAAAACAAAATTGAAAATAATAAAACCATTATCTCCGTAAACTTTCCCATTCTATTTTCGGTTTTGCTCAATTATTAAAAAAACTATTTGGAAAATCAAAAAATGACTTTATTAATCTTCAACCAGTGGCGAATAGGCTCACCGGTAATTCGGTATTTTCCAGGTAAGCCGTGTACTGTGTTGATGTCTGGGAACCCTAGGTCCATTTACCAAGTACTGAACTTAATTGAAGATACACACTCGTGTGATAAAGATTGAAATTACGAAAAATATTTGTTTTCAGGGAATTTCAAGGAATATTGAAATTCAATTTACGATTATATATTTCGGTTAGTAGACGGTTACTGAATCGCCAAAATATAAATTATCACTTTATGTTTACTTGAAAGATTACAATAACCAACTCGAAAAAACGTCATCAGTAAACAGTTTATTTGGGGTTGTCATTTAATTGACTGTTTTATTCATATTTTGAAATTTCTTATTTAAGAATTGAATGCATAGTATGTATGCGCATACAAATTTAGACTTATAAATTATAATTTGGTTTTTCAATTGTCTATTAAATAATATAGTACCTCCTACAATAGTAGTGTACATTTTTACTTTGAATTGTGTTACATTGTGAAATAATTTAATAATAAATAAATTATAGGTAAATATCAGTAAAAAAAAAAACAAAACAAAATAAACGAAAATAATAGTCAAGTGCATTGAAACGTAGGAAAAATATAGAAAGGTATAACTATAATTGGGAAATGAAAAAATTAAACAAAAATAAATTTTAATTAAAATTAAGATGCTAGCGAATCGAGTATTACAATTCGACGAATAACCACGACTGTTTAATAATAATTTATTATAATTAAATTTGTTTTTTTTTTTTGAATTGAAATAATCACATCTTAGAAATCTGAAACAATATTTATGGCAGTAGAGATTTCTACCAAAGTGGCCGGCCGAACTCGCGGAGAAAGTTTTTTTGTAATACTTGTATATGTTTTATAAACTATCGCAAGGTGACAGGTTTTTAGTAACGAGAACGGGAAATACCATTATGACGAATATCAGCGAAATATTCATTGACGTCATAACCTTATAGCTAGCTAGGTATACTCCCCTCTAAAATCGTATTATTTCGTAAATATAATATTATAATAACATAACACAGATAGTACTTTATATATAATATTATTATACTTATCAGTTATAAATGTATAATACTAATGTCACACTGCCAGAGCAAACACATATTTGTATGTATTTTTTTATTTGAAACATTTGAATTCAAACGCAAAATAATATTTAGCTACCTGCGTTAACTTATACCAATAATATTTTATCTCAAAATTGTTTAAGTGTAATACGTCAATATAAATGATTATTGTACTTATGTAATCAAGGTCGAATTTAACACGAATACAGTAAACTCAGTAAAGGAACAAAATAGTATGCTCCACAAAAATGTTATAATATAGACCATGAACATAAATAACAGAAAATAATATTACTTACCTGTTGAAAAAACTACATAGTTTTTTCAACTATAAACTAAAAATCACTTGTTAATCAAATATTTACAAACGTTATTCTCGAATGTTTAAAAGTTATAATCATTAAAATGTGTAAAACAACAAAAATAAAACACATCAGGTTTTTACATATTTTTACTCAAAACTGCTACCAATATTTGGTCAGCACGAGGTTTACAGATTTGAGTACTTATTTAAAATATCTTATTATAAAATGTTTAGCTTGCAAAACTTTCAAGGTTATTGACTCCCTATATAGTCTCTACACACGTTTTATTAAAATAGGTACGCGGTACCATACACCTAACCTTGATAACAACGTCTGCTAAGCAAGTGCCAACACTATCCTTAATTCCCCTCTCCCAATAATCAATTTAATTTTAAAATAGTCGTTATGAACATTAAGAAGGTAATAAAATTGGTATTATAAAATAATAATAACGAAATATTGGTTTTATATATAATGATATATTGATGTTGTAAAAAAATTTGATTATTAATTTATAACTGCAGTACTTTGTTCGAGTGGTTACTAAACGAAAAAATATTTGTATTGGTATATACATTTTATTTTGGCAGTAAAAGTAAATTTTTTAAATATTAAATAACATTATATATTATGGAAATCAGTTGTTTTGCAATTCAAATAAAAATATAACATACACACATGACAAATTTACTTTATTAAGTTTGACAAGTTTGCCGGTAAATCAATTTACTACAATAAAATATTGTTTTCTATTATTTTCCATGATAATTATTCTAATAAATTAACAAATAATAATAATTAAAATATTTATCATGCGGTTTTTAATAATGTCGATTTTAAATAAGTACTGAATATTTATTTAATGATTTTATATAATAACTATCAATAATTACTAATAAGTTTTATTTTATTTTCTACTTATTTAATTGTGTTTGGAAAATAATAATAGGTATTTGCTTACATAAAATGATAAAAATCAATTCAATTGTCAACAGCATTGATAATTTAAAACAAATATCCCTACTAATATTATAAATATAACAAAAGAAATAACACCAATGCATCAATATCATGTTAATTTTATTATGACTTTAAATATTTAATTCTTTTTAATTAATATAAATATGTAAATAATACTAAATAACTATTATGCATCTTCATGAGTATTTTGATAATTATTTAATAGATGGAAATAAAATAATATTAACAATATGTTCAATGGACATGAATCTAATCCAATTTTATATTAAGTATATGTACAACTATAATAGTTCAGAATGTCTGTTGATTATTACCACAATAAATTGTATTTAGCATACTTGAAGATTGTTTAATATTAATGTTTAATGCATTGATTGTGATGTCTCTTATATGTGTGGCTCTTAATCAGTATGTATACATTAAAAAAAAATATATATATATTAGTGGTTTTTAACCTGTGCATCACAGCATATTTGTTTGTTTTAATTTTTATTATTATTATTATTTGTAAAGGAAGCTGCTAATTTAGTTTTCAAAATCAAAAGAGCCATAGACTTAAAAAGGTTAAAAATTACTGATATATAATATATATTATATATTATTAGGTATAAATAACCTTTTATTTTGATAAACACCTAAGATAAATAATTAAATGTACTTATTTTGTTGTAACAAAGGTATCCAAAGAATACCTATTTTACAGTGTATATGTTTTTAAATGTGACTATATGTTAATAATGTTAATTTCCAGTTAAAATAGTATTCAGTATCTGAGCATCTATCTACTTTTATCAATTTTTTTTTGTAAGTATCTACTTAAAAACTCAATTCAAAAACGATTAAAAATACAATTGACTTTAAATATTAAATACATAAGGTACACAACAACTACCATATTATTAGATAGGTTTTGGGGGTAGAAAACTATCTATCTCTTTTAAGCAAACAACTTAATAATCATGATAATTCAATATTTAAATATAGATAGCCTGGGTATATAAATTTGTGATAAATATTGACTATATTTTTATTTTTATTAGGGTATTACAACAATTATTCAATATTTTGTTTACTAACAAAAATAACTCATGGTACAATATAAGTTAACTAATGTTAAATGAAAAATAATTCAACTGTACTCACGGCCAAAATAGCTACAGATGTGACGGATGAACTAATATTACAGTTTGTTGTAATGGAACTAAGACTAATTGCAGGTGGAGGTGGCGGTAACCCTACTATTGAACCCGTTGAGGTGATTTGGTGTAACATCTTTGAAGAGTCTTGTTGCTGTCGGTTTGAAAACATTGTCTTAGATAGTCTTTCGAGTATACCTACAATAATAATAGATATTAATAAAATGTATTTATACAAACACAGTTGATGACATACTAGGTACCTAGGTATACGGATCACAATGGTTAATCAATATCTACATTATTTATGTTATTATTTAAGTTTATAATGTTCATATTAATTAATTAAAAAAATATAAAAAAAAAATTATAATTAATATTAAAAATATTACCAGAGCTAGAATTATTTCTCAATTGATAACAAAAATGGCAGTGTTATCAGGTAACATCTGCTAATTATTTACGAACGTTTTTCGTTCATCAATTAGGCATTGTTAGCAAAAAAAAACAAAAACAATTCAATTCTAATACAAGTAATAAAAATTAAAAACTGTTGGTGACAGAGTTCAGTCTGCAAAAAGAATTCGGTCCGCCGTTGATGGTAGACGGTAGGTACCTAATTAAAAATACAATTTAGGTACCTACGCATTATCGTAATTACTAATTGGTGATTTGGGCCGGATTAACAATAAAAAATGAATTTGATACGATTAGATACAAGAGATAATAATAATACGTAAACGTAATGCGCTGTGATAGCAATGGCGTATAAAAAATTAATAATATTAAAGGAATTGACAAAAAAAAAAAAACGATAATCACCACGGATAAAATATATACCTATTGGTGTATGTGATGTCAAATGCACTTGCGCGGCAACGAAACGACCGAAAATGAGTCATTAGGCCGAAAACAAAATATAACGTAAGTACGCGAGTACCTAGACAGACGTGTTAACGAAACGAAAAAGTCAATATTATTCGCGAGCGACTACGGGAAATTTAATATTTTTAAATTCATGAAAACAGTGACGAAAAAAAAATTTAAAAAACAAGATACTTAATAATAATATTGTATAAAAATATAGTATAGTATTATTATTATTACGCGGACCATCGGACGAAATGGATGTTTTCCCGGTGACTCATTTTACCGCGGTCCGCGGCGGTGAAACGTGGAAGGGCTAAGCTAACGCTTTTAGTTTTTTTTTTCCATTGTGGGCGGAATCCGTCGTCGCATAAAAGTGGGGAGCGAAAGTATACGCTACTAGGCTAGCCTTCATATTATAATTTATAATACAGTACGATGATAATAACGTTATAATGATAATATATATATGTAATATCTATAATGGGTGAAATGGGATAATATTTTTATATTATTATATTTGTCTTACCGTGACGGATTGATAACGGCGGTTATAGCCTACAAATCCTTAAATCTGACTGACTGACGAATGTTCAATAATTATTAAGAAAAAAAAAAAACAATTATATAAAATAAAAATAAAACACTACAACTTCGAGTCGCTATTTATTCAGACGGTGGCAAATTCCAAACCAAAGACCAGATAGAAATCATAATATCAATTATCAATATCGTTATGAATACAGTTTTAGATACCCATTGGCTATAGTCATGGTTATAATATTATCTAAAAAAAATAATTAATATATTTTTGTCTGGAAAGTTAATCGTTATTTTGTTAATTGGGTAACTATAATATAGTCATTTACATACCTAAAAAATATTATGAAGTACGCCCGTATGGAAACTATGATATAAGTTTTCATTTTTTTTCGAAAATTTACTTTTGACGGCATAAATTAAAGGAAAAATTCGCTATAATTTCATCTGTGTGCAACAATCAGATAAATATGATATATATAATATATATATAACAGTATATTATGGTAGGTATCTGTTTAAGTTTATTGTTCAATGAGAATATTTAAATTACCTCTCGTTTTAGATTTTTTCATGGGTGCTACCCATTCTATTGCTCCTCTTCAAAACAATCTATTTCAAAAAATGATTGCATGATTGGGAAAAAAATACATTTAATATAATACATTTTAAAAAATAAAAAATTTAAAAAATAATTAGGTATGTAATTATTCAAAAACATAATTTACATATTTATTAACAAATTTATTAATTTTATTATTGCCTTTGAAAATTCTTCAATATTTAATTGGTTATTGTTGAATTGAAAATTTGTTGAAAGAAGAGGCCCGATAAAGGAAAACAAAATTAATTTAATATTTACCTACTACAAAAACTGCAATCAAATATTTTTACAATAATCAATATGAATAAATTAACTACAAATATATAAAATTATTGTTTAAAAACCCTGAGTACAAATATTCAATATAACATACCTACAGCATATTATTTTATGCTATTCTATATAGGGTTTTTCAAGCAATAAATGTGATGGAATTTATCATTAAATATAATAAAAACCTCAAATTGCACTGCATAGATATCTGTACAACATTAAAATAGAATATAAGAGTATGATTCGGTGGAGGTGATCAAAGTCTAGTAGGATAAAGTGCCTATGGATTTAAAAGACAAATTTAAGTAGGAACCTCTCCCAGACCTTGATTATGAGGGAAGGGAGCGAAACAATTAAATTTAATATAAAGGATTGATAAGAAAAAAAGACGGACATACTTCGCACGATGAACCACTATTATAGATGAGAAGTTGTGAAGGTAGGATTTGAGGGAAATTTAAACATTGTCAACAAAAAACATTTCTGAGCATAACTGGGTAATAGTATTGCTCAGGGGCATTTCGAGTCAATTCCATGGGAGTAGAGGGGTGGGGACGAACAATTTTTACTCTTGAATACTACCACTTTGGTTAATAAAAACTTAAAACCTTTATATCTGATGTCATTTCAATTTATATTAGCTTAGAAGACTGCAGATGTATTGCACAGTTGCAGTAAAACAGTACAATTTAAAAGTTAAATAAATTTTTTTCACATTAATTAAATAATAATTAAAATAATGATAATATAAAAAACCAAAATAATAATAATAATAATAATATTAATAAATAATAAAAGTTAGATGACCAAGTCCAAAATACTTTTATTTTAAGCAGCGCTTTGCAAGCAGTTTGATCAACAATATTCTTTATATTAGTGTTTTAAATTCTATAAATATTTAAAAGTAATAAGTCAGTTAACCTCTGCTCAACATTTTTTTTACCACAAAATACGAATTAATAAACCCCATGTTAAATTTTTAAGTATTTCTGTTTGTTCTTACAATTTTATCCATAGAGTACTTACAGAATAAAAATAATGTACAAAACCAGCAAAGTTAAAATGTCTCTAAATTGCTGAAAAATTTTACTACGAAAGAAAAGACAAATATAAGTTTTCTGTCTAAATTTTAAGCCTATGAATATTTTTAACTGAATCATCTACAACAAAAATCGAAATTGAAAATTATAAAAGCATTATTTTCTTAAATTGTACAGTTATTCTTATGTTTTATCTTAGGTTTTCCTGATATTATGAAAACTGCTTGGAAATTTAAAAAATAACTTTCCCAAAGTACCATCTAATCAATATAACAATATTTTGTTTCAAAAAAGGTGCTACACTTAAACATTGAAGCAAGATATCAGATAGAAATTTTTGTCACAGTATAGAAAAACAAATTTTAAATATATATTTTTTTATTTTTTCTCTGGCCGCCAATCATTATACAGAATAAAATGTAATATATAATATTTTAATTTCTAAAAAAAAAATAATCATGGACCAATCATTTTTTCGGAAAGTTTCATGATAGCACAATTTAATCAAAACATCATCTAGATTTTAACTTTAATGACAAAAGGAGTAGGAGAAATTAGTCTATAAATATAGAGTAATATTACTATGACCTTATAGTTGTGATTCAACCAAATGAATGATGATCATTTTGTTTTTCTGATAAATTTTTTCCTGAATAAATAATTGATTTCTTTTCAAATTTAAGTCACTGTTATTTAATTTCTAAATACTATCATAAAAATGATCTTAATTTGTACAATTTCTTTGGTGCTATTCTCGAAATACAAATTCATTATAAAGATGTTCTATTTATTTTTTTTTTTATTATTCTGTTTTATGTAGGTTCTCTTATTTATAGTTTTACAAGTTCATCCTAATGATTATTCCATTAAATGGTTGTTCTTACATTTAACATACACATATGATTTTCCAATATATAATGTAGTTATTTTGTGTATTATTTTTTATTATCTACCTATAACCAGTTGCTCGTCTATACTTTTACTGCCTACTACTACAAAAAACAATTTGTGTTAATAAATTCAAAGTAAGATGATACAAAAGTAAAGTATAATATTTTATAATGGTAACATAAAATAGTTCTGTTCTTAATTAGACAACCATTATAAATTTCAAACAAATATAGATATTTCACAACTCAAAATACTCCTTATTGTCATACAATTATGAATTTATTAATAAAATATACATCATTGATTAACAAATTTGTTACTAAATTTTTCAAGAATTTAAAAATAATTTGAATAACTTAATTAGTCTTATAATAAGTTACAAAGATCTGATATTTATAATACTATGTGTATGTGACTTGTGAGTAAGTGACTAGAAAAAAAAAAATATAGAAACAAGTTTCAAAACTAAAAATAATTTTTACATAATAATTCTTAAATAGTCTATAATTTAATATTTATTTCATATAAAATAAATTAAAGTCCCAAATTATAGACTAGGTATTATTAAACATTAAACTGTAGCACCATTTTTAAAGGAAACATTTTAATTTGTTACATTTTATTATGTTCATATTTTATTAATTAAATAATTTGTTATGCAAAATTAACAACTTAAAAGTAAATTAGTACAGTTTATATTTATAAACATAAACTATTGAAATAGTGGATTTATTAACTATACCTATTTAGAAACCGTGGCAAATAAAACATGCAATTTTTAATAACTATAAAATTATTTAAATAAACAAACAAGTGCCAAGATTTTATTAATGATTAACATTCGATTTTGGTTGAACAACTTTGGTGCGTTTCGGTCTTTGAATGTTTGTACTTTCAATAACATTCATTAATGTTGTAGGGTTTTTGTTAAATTTTCTGCCGTTTTCAAAATATGAATTTGATATGTTATCTTCTGATATTAAAACTGTTTGACTTTTCTGCTTGATTTTTTTTATAACAGGAACTAATGCTTCTTGTGAACTTTTTTCATTTTCGAAATTGGCAATTTGTTTTAAAATTGGCATCATAGATAAATGTCCAATCTATTAAAAACAAATAAAACTAGTTATCAATAAAAATATATAGGAATATAACACATATTTTTTAATGTTTTAATAATTATATAAACAAAATATTATCACAAAGGTGTTCTTATTAGTGATAAAATCAGGTTTTAAATTAGTAACCTTTAAAAGTTAAACTCCAATAGACAAATTCCCAGAGAAGAAGATTCTTCGATTCTAAATTGTGATTGATTCATATGTTTATACCTCAGAACTAGATGAATATAAGTCCAAAACTAACGATTTTAGGATTATTACATTTTTTGCAAGTAATATATGATTTTCATCAAACCATAACAGAAGTCTCAATAATACTCCATCCATAATTTTACCATGTTATAAATAAGTCATGATATATATGGCAAGAAACATACGCCTCTTTTAAGTTTTTTTTGTTAAAAAATAATGGACTTACGGTCTGGTTCTGAGATATAGATTTGTGACACCACATTTCTTTTTATAATTTTACTAAATGCTTGAATAAAACAACTGCAATATGATGTTCAATAAATTGTCAAATAACTAAAATGGTCTTAAATTGAGTCATAAATGCTGAGAAGTCAAAATTATTTTGATTTCCAAATACACGAGATTTGTAAAATATTTGCTAATGCTTATTCCTAATTGTAATTTGAAATAAATTTAAAATAAACTGTTATACTGAGATACTGTTGTATCATTTCAATGAGTAGAATATGCCATGGCTAAATATAAAGATATGTCAGCAAAATAACACAGCATATAAAACATGGCTGCTACTGACCCACATTATAGAATAAATAATATTATTATTGATTTTTTCATCATTATTATACTATATCAAATTAATAAAAGTCAGTTCTTCCTTCATAAATAACCCAAACAATTAAGAAAATCATAATAATATTTTTCTATATTTACCGAAGTATTCTCCATGATAATAGCTGTAGCCATAAAAAATGTTTGTTTTGTTGTCGAAACTAGAGCATTATATGTACGTGATTTAACATTGATTAAGAAATCATCAATATCCTAGAAAAAAAATTTAATATTACAATCATTAATAAATTCAGCTAATGGTTGATTAATTATTCTATAAAGATTCAAAGAAAAATCAGAAAAATCACTTTAAAAAAGTATAGACGATTTTTCTGTTATATTTTATTAATTGTTATTAAATGGTTCAAATATTATTTTGATATTTATAATATTAATTCTGTTTACTACATTTCAAAATTTAACATTTAACTTACTCCGAACTATTTACTTTGTGAAAAAAAAAAAAAAATTGAAATTAAAAACGTTTTTCTTAGATTGAAAAAAAGTAACTTTTTTGGACTTTTCTCTGCACCTTCTGCACCTAATCGTGTAAAAAAATGTTACCGTTTCTTTTTTCAATAAAGTTGGATGTACTAGCTGTTTATAAATAATTGTGGAACCTTTGGTAAATGGACAACAAATCCATAAGACAATAAGTAATTTGATATCGTAATAAAATGGAAACCTGTAAATTATAATATAATACAATAAATACATTTGTTCCAGTTTTGATTTAATCTATAGTTATGAGAAAAGTTACCAAAATTCCAGAAATACATCAGTTAAACATTCAATGCAAATGAATGCTGAAAAAACAATCCAATACATCATCCATTTAACCTGTATACATTAAATAATTCTCAATAGTTTTTTTTAATATTTAGGGTCAAATAATTTGTAACGAAAATGATGTTAAACATTTAGTTTGTGGTTCTAATTGGAAGAATCTAGTATTTGACAGAGGATTGTAGTTATGTTGTAAGACAGGATGGTTCTAAGGGCCCAATAAACCCAAGAAAAAAATGGGTCAAATAATTATTAATTATTAAAAATAATATTTGATTTTAAACTAAATGTGTTATTAATTATTATTTTAAGTTATTAATGTTAAATAATTACATATATTAAACATGCTTACATAATTTTTTACGTTTTTGTTTTTAACTGTCTTATATGATGAATATGCAGGATACATAACGCCAAATAAAATTCTGTTTAAAAAAAAAAGTGAAATAGTTAAGTATTACAATAGTTGTAAATTTGTTACAAATCTAACTTACATTAATGCTTTACAAATAGTTCTCGGAATCATGTTCAATTCAATTTTAGATTCTGTTGTTCATAAAATAAGAAGGTGTCAATTACACAGTAGATTATAGAACTTGTTGTTTCATAAATCAAAATACATTGTTTTTTTTTATTTATTTATAGAGTAATTTTATTTGAATGTTTATACTTAATGAAATCCATAGATACAAGAAGGTATGTATAAAATACCACCATTAGGGAAACATGTAGTTGTTTAGTTCATCCATTGTTGGATTGTACAAGTTACTGTTGCTATATATGGTTACGAATTTCAAAAGTTAATGATCGGAACCTCGTCCGAAGGAGAAAAAAAAAATAAAAATCATATTACTTTTATTATTTACATTCTAATTTATTATCAAGAAATAAGTTCTTGTTTGATAACGATAATTTATCGCATACGAATTTAAGGTTAGATCATAACCACGGGTTCGGTAACTTCAACAATGATTTTCCAGCCTCTATGGTTAGTGATAATGAGCACTTCCAAGTAGGGAGCATTGCTGGTGTTTGCGTTTGCGTAGCAAAATTATTTCGTTTCTGTAAATTACTAAATTATTGATCGAGTTGAATAATATTATTTTATTGAGTTTTACAGCTTCTTGTCTACACATTTATTATACAGTTAAGCTTCACATTTCATCATTATACTACATCATTTATTATTAAATAAGTAATTTTTTTTCTGTTAAACATCTAGGCGAAGTAACCTAACTTAAAAACAACACCCATCTATTATATCTAATATTTATTATTTTTTGTGGCAATGGGTCTGTGTAAATGTCCAAAACGTAAAACTACTAGCCATTTTTGTTTTAAGCATTGTGTTAATGTTTGTGAACATTGTATTATCAATAATCATTCAACGGTAATTATGACTTCTATTAAAACATTAATTTATTGTTCAGAAATTTAACACTTTATAATTTAAATTTTTCTTTAGTGTGTTGTTAAAACTTATACCACATGGTTAAAAGAAGCTAGTAGTGTTTCTTCGTCATCAGTTTCAGCTTCTGCCGTATGTGCTGTTTGTCAACAAATTTTAATTCCAAAAGAAACTGAACATCCAATGACGACTGGGATGAATAGTCCCAGGAGTTATCCAAAAACTTCCATTCGTCTTTTATGCTATCGTATGTATCTATATAATTTCTATGAATAGTAATTTGTTTTAAATTTCAAGTTGATATGCTTAATTTACATAAATTCAACTTCCCATACTACTGTATAAATATACTTTATTGTATAATAGTAAACATAAATTCATGTCACTGATGAATTACAATAATACATTTTTTTTTTTTTATTTAAGCCATTTTAGCTTATTTTAACCATTAAGTACATCATAAATGTTATGATTTTACTCTATAATTTAATACTAATAAATATCACAAAAAAAAAAATATAAAATGTATAAATTAATACTACAATGATGTGCTAGAATACACTTTATCACGCTCCTCACAAATTTAATTTAATTTTTTTTTTAACACTGATTTAGAAACTGTTTAAATATTTTCACGGGAACCATTATTAAAGAAGTTTTTCCAAAAAAAAACTTTGAATTTTCAAATTCCATGTTTACTAATAAAATTTTTAAGGTTTTTTTGACGCCGAAGATTATGATGCAATCAAAGTTTTTTATTTATAAATATTTTAGAAGTTATAGCAATAAATGTTCTAAGATTATCAGCCCAAATGAACATTACGAGGGAGTGACCTCGCCAAATCTTTAGGTATACACAAAATGCATTTGTTTTTTCTCTTGTACCTACCCGACGTGATTTTGCACAACAAATCTATGTTATTTTTAATTAAAACTGTACAAAGTTTTAAAGATTTTTTACTTTAATTGCTTTAATATAATAATGGTTCTAACAAATTACTGTTAATATTTTCAAAATAGGTGACCAAACGAACATCTTTTAGAAAAAAAATTTTAAAATACAGATTTTTGAAAATTTAAAATGTCTAAAAAGTTTTTTTTGTCATAATTTCTTTAATAATGGTTTCTACGAAAAATTCAAACAGTTTTAAAATCAGTGTTCATAAAAACATATTAGAGAAAAAAATTTGTGAGGAATGTGGTAAAGTGCATTTGATCCCAATAAAGATTAACATAAATAAATAATTTATAGGTATCTACTTGAATATTAACTGATATTTAATAATAAAACCTAATTTATAAATGATTTAAAAAATATTTAATTATTTATGTCTACTGTTATTATTTACAGATGCAGTTCATGTACATTGTTTGTCTGTTTATGTAAAAAAGCAATTAAAAGAAGGTAACATTTTAAAATGTCCTTCATGTACACGATCTTTATGGTTTCAAAATACTGAATCAGATTTATTCAACACTACAGAAGTCGATTATAATGAATTGCCACCTGTTGCATTAGCCCTGTATAAACATTTATTAAATTATGGTGAATGGTGGGGTAAGAGTATAATCACAAATGAAAAAGTATGTTATATAAATGCCTATGTTAAATATTATTATGTTGTTATTTGTTTAATACAGAAATATTAATAACTTATGTATTTCGAAGGTGGAAGACATTGAAAAATATTTTCTTCAAGACGATGAAAATGTTTCTGATAGAAAAACACAAAAATTGTTTGAGAGTCAGCCAATATTAGAAACTGACCAACAGTTTAATGCTATCTCAAATAATACATCTCCATTGACATTACCTCAAACTGCTGTTGTATCATCAAATAGTAATCAGCCAATCTATCATAGGCATTTCAATAGTAATAATTATGGTATATGATTTTATTTAAAACTAAATATGGAATTTGTCAGTATTTGATATTTGCAATCTCTATTGTTAAGCTATAATTTTCAAAATCTTTGTATTAGATGAAAAATAAGAACTCTAAATTAAGAATATTCATGAGTAGTAGTATTCAATTTTGTTAGAAACAATATGATAATTTTTTTAAATTTTATTACATACAATCTAAATAATTTTACAATAAGCATTTTTGAGGATTTATGTATATTGGCTTGATAAAGCAATATGATACTTGAAATATTTTAAAGAAATATTTTTTTAATATTATATTTGATAATTATTATTTATTGATTTGGTTTTTAGCAGTAAATGCAACATGATTGTTAAAAGGTCTGATGAGTACTTTGTTTTAGAAGATCATTATCACCCACCCTTAGTTTTTGAAATTGTTTTAACTCCCATTCTGAATAAAGCCCGATTCACACTTGTCAGACACGTACAGACAGACACCATATTGTTCCGCAAAATATTTTAATATGTGTTTAAATATAGGTAATTCACATTTAAACTTTATGTCCGTTAATATACATACCGATCCAACATTGTTGGTTCAACATTCCGCTCGAGAATGTTTCGTCGGAATGGCCCGTGTTTGAACGGGTCGGAACACATCTGACTGATAAGTGTGAATAAACAACAGACAAATTTTATCCGTGTCTGCCGTCATTCCCTGGCACACCATTCGGTAAACACTATCATATTTTCTTACTATTTATTTAAATTTTTAAATTAAATTAATATTTCCATGAACTTATAGTTATTAATTGAAATTTTGACATGCGGAAATATTTAAAAAACTTTTCTTTGTGGTCAGTTAACTTTTATACAAAGTAACAAATTCACCTTTGATGTGCCGTTCTAACAAAATTTCATGAACCCATGTTCTTCATATATTTTTTGTTTCTCTTTCTCTAGAGCAATAGCAATCATTGCCAAATCGCAAACATATTTCAAATAGTACAAGTTGTTGAAAACGAAATGATGTTGGAATGAAAGTGTAAGTACAGTATGTCTGTGGGAATAGTATGGTAGGGTGTCTGACAAGTGTAAATCAAGCTTAATTGCTTCTTTGATTTTAACAGAGTTGATTACTTAAATATTTAACAATTCTTATTATCTTACAATTTATGTGATACTATTACCTCATTAAATGCAAATGAGGTCACTAATGTTTTGTATAATGCTCTTCACTTTTGTATTATTAGTTTTGTACCACAGATTGATTTCAAGAAGTCTAAATTTTCCCAATGATTTTCTAGTGATCTTAATCAAAGAAATCTTATGAAAGCTACATTAAACGAGTTAAACCATCTTTTTGTAACAATTCCAAATCTTTTTGGGTTTTTGTGCGAAAAAAATAATAGTTATCAACATGCCATCTATTGTTAAACTGAATGATATTTCCAGTATTGATAGAACTACTACATGCGAGCACATTCTCTACACATTTTAGCTCAGATTTTTCGCCTGAAGACATCAATGTTGATTTCAGTAGTTCTGATTATTTGCCATATGAGCTTCCTTCTTGCAATATTAGTCTAATTAATGTTGAATCTAGTTGGATCAGATGACCTTTCAGGTTCTTTTATTTTTAATCTTAGATCTGTTTTGTGTTTTCTACTATTATTTTTAAAAAATCGTTATCTGAAGGTGTTCCCTGATGGATGGAAAATTAGCTTGGTAACTCTGATCTTTAAGTTTTTTTTTTTTTTTTTTTATTTTTAAAAAGTAATACACAATCTGTAGATTCAATTTTTTATAATAAGCGTATGGGCGATAAGTTATTTTAGCGTGAATTGACCGATAAAAGAAGCCACCTAGCGATGACACTTAATAGCTTGACTAGTTATTAATTAATGGTTAATACAGGTTGCCGAGGTCTCTGCACCAACGGCGAGCTAGTCGTCTAGGGGGATTTCCAGGAATAGTATTTGAGTTGAGATCTCTTATAAGAGGATTTGGGTGGTTGACTAGGCGGGATCGGAATCGTTTGTAAAAGAGAGATGCAGTTTTGGATAGGTTGGATTGGATAGGTGTTGATGTAAAGATCAGAGTGTAATGTGTGATTAGAGACATAATAGGGTGCGCCCGTTATTAGGCGGAGCGAGGTAGACTGGAATGCTTGGATTTTGTTAATGTTTGATGGCTTGGCTGTTCCCCATACTTGTATACCGTGAATAAAATAATAGAACCAAATAATACAATTCTAGTAAAAAAAGATATGTAATAGAAGATACCAAACATTAGGTTGTATTGAAGGTTGATCTGTTGAAAAGGTGAATGTGCTAGATGTAATTAAATAACTTTTTTAAGCAAAACAAGTCAAACGGCGCTGCTTTTCTACAATTTAATCTGTTTTCAAGCTGATATCAGTGTTGAAAGAAAAATTAATTATGATATTATTCTTCTTCTTCTTGTCGTGTTGATCTTCATATTCCCTTCCCTTCCCAGTAAGCAGCAATTTGTATTTCCCAGTAAGCNGTTAATAACATTTTGTACAGGTTTAATTTATTTTTTAGATTAATTTTTGAATTTTTATTTAATAAAAAATAGAGGTTTCTGTGTCTTTGGTTGAGTAATAGTCTCTTAATTTTTATATGGTGGGCCCAGGTGAGTCGCTTGTCGAGATACATACCCAAGTACCGGGCATTTGAAGTGATCTTTAAGTCAGGTAACATTATTGATTTCATTAATTTAAGGCCAACTTTCTGTTCCGGATACTCTTTCCTTTCCTTATTCCTTTTAGCCAATGTAATTATTTGACTAATCACTCTATTGTCCAGATGATGAAACTGGCCAATGGCGATCCACTATTTCTTAGTTTCTAGCGTAAAATTATTATCTGTTTAATCTTAAATATTGTAAACATTTTTGTTAATTATTATGTAATTCTATACAATTTTATTGGGCTCACCCCATTTTAAATATAAAATAAATTATTAGACAATTTTCCTATTAGGAAGTATATTAATAATTAATTATTTTAAAATATTTGGTTTTTCGTCTGCTAATTTAAATTATAAATATTATATCCAAAAACTTAAAAAAATATTTAAATAGGTTATTAAGTGAAAGTGATACTTAAAATCCTAGTTAAATAATTTTTTTGTTAATCATGTATTTTATTAGTAAAAATCAAATTATAAAAATATAATGATATTTAGGTATAGACATTGAATTGCCACAAGAACAGCGATATTCTTCAATTAACATGACAAATTTGCAAAGTTCTGATTTGAGTAATAGGTACACCGTACCATATGCTACTCCATTGTTAACAGATACAGATAACAATTTAAAAGAAAAAAAAGAAAATGAAGACCCCAGTGGAAAAAAGAGACCTAAAAAATTTAAAAATCCATCTTGGAATTGTAGTTACCAATGCTTAAGGCAATTGTAAGTCAAACACAAATATTTGTTATTTAACTAGGAATGTAGAATTCTATTTTTCTTAGCTATTTAATCAAAATAATTAAAATGTGCTTAGTCAAATATTAATATTTCCATTTATTGAGATGTTCCATCTAATCAACATATTAATCTAGAGTATTTTGATTATCCTAAGAAAGTCCAAATTTGATTTAACAAAAAGTTTATATAGTTCAAGGAATTTACTTTATTTTAATAACAATACAATATATATATATTATAATAAATAATATTTATTTTTTTTAGTTTAAGACGACCTGCTTTAGAAAATGGTAATACAACACTCATAATTGTAATTATTGTGTGTGTTTTTACCATTGCTGTTTTGATGGTAGTAATAACTGATTATACAACTGCAGCTGTTGAACCTTTAAATAAAAATAGCATTGATTATGGCGGTGATGATTCAGATACTGCCACCAATTTAAATAGCTATAATAATATTTTGTAATTTTTTATAATTATCACATTAAAAATTTTGAATAATTGATTTTGATTAAGTTACATTAATTTATTACTTAATATGTGTGTATTGTATAATATTTTAATTAACTGCTCATTATTTCACAATTTTTATTATAATTACTTCCTATATTGTATATAAGAAATTTATTTAAGTTATTTGTTTATATAAAATTCAATTGCTTATTAAAAATTATTAATATCTATATAATATATAATATATAACTATCTATTTTATTTGTAACAAAAATAAAACTAATTGGTGCTTAGTATTAATCACAGATTGCTATTAGTAGATAATAGCAATAGTGATTAGATTTATAGTATATAATAGATAGTGCATGGGGCTGAAACATGTCAAGATGCATAGTATTGTAGTGTTATATAAAATTAATTAAGCTCAGCTGATATATTAAAACCCTATTTCTGGGTTTATAAATATCTACTTTATCATTCCTTAAGTTAAGGCTGTAAAAAAAAAAAAAAAATGTATTTTGTGTTTTATGTTACTTACCATGTATTATAATATTACATTCATATATTACACACACATAATATTCAGTTTATATTGTTTATAAATTAAAAATATTGTATAATATTGAAATTATATATTTATTGATTATTTTATTAATATTACATTAATTTTCACAAAATGGAGTTATTCTGATCTTTGTTATTACAATTATATAAATTATTTAGAAAACCTAGTAATTCAATCTGATTGACATGAATGTAATTATTATCTACCAATGTTTTTAATAATGTAAAATAATGTATGTTATATTAATTTCCCAATTATAAGTAAAAAATATTAAATACACTAAATAAAATAGAATCAAATATTATTGTGGTTAAATAGAATTGAAACAATTGTTTACTAATTTAAATTTGTTTTTTGAGACTTCAAAGATTAAAATATAATCTTAAAAATACCTTCCTGTTTTTAGTTATCAAAAGACTTAAAAATAATTTAACATATTTTATGTAACATAAGTACCTATTTTGTAAAATTGTTAGCAGTCTACTAATATTTCTTAAAATCAATTTTATAAATACACAGATTTTGATTGTCATACTCGAAAAAAAGAAAAATCAATTCGTTTTAATTCCTATATATTAGTTAATGTTCTACATTGGTCCATCTTAATACTCTATGTAGAAGATGTATGTTTACAATTTAATTACAAACTATCTCCAAACTATAGCAATTGAAATTACAACTTTTCCTATATAAATATGATATGATTAAACAAAATTGCTCAGACATTTAACTGTCTTTGTTTAGGTATTGTTGACCGCAATTTATGATAGTTTCTAATGAAAACAGTAGTAATACTCATTTAATAACACATATAATATTACATAAATTACATTATACAAAAAAAAAAAATACTTAGCTAATTAGGGAAGTTATTAATAAATTGAATTTTGTAAGTGTGGCAACTGACTAACATATTTATCCAGGGGAAGTCCAATTTTTACATTTGATGACAGCAAAGATAATTGAAATTGTTTTTAATGAATATCATTCTGAAACAGATTTAAATAATAAACCCAGTGTTATGGAATATGTTACAGATAATGTGGTTAAAAAATTTAAAACTAGTGTGAAAATACCAATAGATGTAATATGTATAATGAGAATAAGGCCATTTATAACATTCAATTATATAAATAGAGTATTGTATGATAATGTTAAGACACTAAAAAATAAAAGTTTTAAATGTGTAGTATTCGAAAATTTAACTTGTAGTTTAAAATTTGAGACATCATTAATTGTTGATTATCAATTTTGTCAGCTATTTCTTAAATATATCACTTATATAGGTATCCTATATTTCTTCCTGTGGGAGAGAATCATAATAACCCCACAGTACTTGTTGTAAAAGTCGACAAATAAGAATTTGTTATGTCAATATCTGGTGTAAAATTATGTCAAACATTTTGAGGAGTGTGATATAATAAAGTAAGTATGATCACAGAATACAGAATAGAATGATATGCATACACTTCTCTTCCGCCACCCATTACTTCATAAACCAATATGACACTAGACTTTTGTCATTTCTTATTGGTTTACAATTTACGTATTCCGTATACTGTGAGTTAAATCATGATATTAAATTATGTGCTAGTTTAATGGCATAATTAAATAAAAAGACCATATGTCTACGGCAATATTTGTGTAATTTGAGATAGAATTACTTCCATTGATATTATACCTAGTTTATAACATAGATATAAAATAAAATGTTATAATGTTATATATATATAATATATATATATATATATATATATATATATATTTTATAATTATATAGGTAATAAGTTACCTATCTATGACCTCTCCCTACTCCTTTGGTCTAAACTTTAAACTCGTGTAACTTATAAACGGTAAATCTGATATTAATGTAATACGTATCAAAATGTCTAGAATAATATTCTCTATTAACATTTATGTTCAAAAGAGGGGTTCCTATTTAAAAATCAAAAGTATGCATTTATTTAAGATATATGGAGTAGGGGTAAAAATTAAAAATGGTTTAACAATAAAGTTTAAATGATTTCATAATGATTATAAAAATCATAAATCAAATTCACTCAAAATCCTGTGAGATAATTGCTGATTCATGGCAAAAAAATCACTCTGTATATCTTATATTTTCTATGGTTACGTGTCATTCTGAGTTCACACAGCTGACCAACGGCTTTAACCTCTAGCGTTAAGCCATGCCAACTTAACGCTGATCACTTTATTAATAAATATTAATTATTATACAACATAATATTAATATTAAAATTCATTACCTATCTTATCACTATTTTAATAAAAAAAAGATTTAAAAGATATGAGCAACATTATATCTATTTATTTGTTTATAGATTAATTTTATAATTAAATTATCTTACTATAGTATTTTGGCCTGTTAATATTTCACATTTATAATTTTAATTACCTAGGTACTTAATTATTTGCAGAGTTATTTAAGTGAAATATTTGTAATTGTTTTTTTCGTTTTTAAAATTACCTATTAAATTATTTATCATCATTTAAAATAATTAAATTATTGACCTTTGTTATCAGTTGAAATTTTATTTCGCGTGATTATTTAGATTATTGATGTTTCGTTAACACCCATTACCAAATGAAACCGTGCTTCACAGTCTAAACCAATTTCATAGAAGACACAATCAGGGATGAGACTGTCAGTAAGAGGATCCAAGTTTCGGTGAGCGAAGAGACACATCCAAACCATCCAAACCATTACCGCAATCGAGATTTGATAGAGGTATTATTAAAGTATTTATCAATATTAAATAATTTTCAGTAAGAAGAATATTTTGATACATTTACCAAAGCAGTACCACTAAAAAAGATTTCACTGATGCTTTATGAAATGTCCATTAGGAATGTTTCTTACTTCTACATCAACCACTCTTATAAATAGAAATAAATCAACTTATTTTAGTAAGCTTAAACAGTTTACTAATAAAATAAGTATAATTAACTTTATTAATTTAAAAGTTTTTATACAAAATGAATAGAACTACTCTTAATAATAATATCTCCAATTAAATATGTAGGTTAGCAAACAATTAATTTTTTTAACAATCATATAAATACAATGTGTAATAAAACTATGTATTAGGTGGTTCAATATCAATATTATCTCTTAAGCCGAGTTTACACATAACAATGTGATTGACAATTTATCGTCATTATTATTGTTCAAATTAATCAAAAGAGTGAGTACTGTTTACACGTAACAATTTCTTGTCGACTGTGGTACACTCAGACCTCAGTTTGCCATTAATGCAATGCATTAATTTTTTTCACAACTGTGTTTTTGTCTGCTTATAGATCAAACTCCTTGTATTTTTTAACAATCTCTGTATAAGCAGAGTCTTTTATACCTGTCCGAATATTCTTTGTTCTTAACAAGCCACCAGGAGCTAACACTCCGATAGAATTCTATAAATTCACCCAAGAAATTTCAAGGACTTTGTTTAACTTCCATGTTCACCAAAATTAAAATTAAAATAATGATAAACGAAACAACAATAGTTCCCATGAACAGTCTATGCAAATTAAATTAAATTGTACCAATAAGTGGCTGCTACATGTTTACATGTTCCTCCTTAACATTATGATTTGCAAAAATTGATGCCAACTGGCATCAATCATCCAATCCAATTACAATAAATCATTACAATGTCCTGTTTATATGCGATGATAAATCTTAAAAATTCAATTGTTACGATAAATTGCTAGCATTTACAAGTTTTAATTCTCAAATCAACTGTCCTTAATTATTGTGTCAAATACCTTTCAACATTACTCAACTTTAGTAATTATATATCACAAACATTCAACACATCTACCTTATATCAAAATTGCAGTTATTTTGCTCAGTTTAAAAGAACACTAACTAGACAATTCAATAAAATATTTTGATTTTTCAATGATGACTCATGAAGGTAAAATTCACAATTAATTTAATATTAATCTCATTCAGATTCCTCCCTCTTCCCCATAGTCACCATTATTATTATATTTGGAAAAAAATATTATTATTATATGTTGTATTTATATTTATTTAATAAAAATAATGACTGAATAAATTAATGATTATTTTAATAAATATTGATATGTATAAAATTCTGCTATGTCTTCTAAAATGGTATCGTAGAAATTTCTATTATTTTATAACCGATTGCCACATAAATTATTAATTTTGGTTCTCTATTGCCATTTGGCCAAACCCTAAATTCTGTGTATAAAATCTACATTCTGGAATCTATACAATTATATGAATAATGCTGAAATCCTTACTTTAAATTTATATAAGCTATCCAAGTGTCAGAATAAATTAAAGAATCAGCTTTTATATTATTGTTATTTCTGATTAATTAGACACAATAATAACAGAACGTTTTGTTTTTCGGCATAAACAACAGAACAGCAAACCATTGAACATCTACTGTTGTGATAATATATGCTCAGTATTAATTTTTTGACATTTATAGAATCTTTAATAAATTTCTACAATTAAATTTAGTTAACCTTATTGACTAATACTATATTCATCTGGTAATTGAATGAATAGATCTTAAGAATTCATTTTCAAACAATAATAGATAAAAATATACTGAGCCATAAAATTTCATGATTATTAGTGCAGTCTTTTTTTTTTTTTTATAAAATTGTATGATTAAACTAAATTATAGTATGTTTTCCTTTCTTATGAGCAAATAATAACTTATCTAATTGATATTATATTTCATTCTGTTATAATAATGGCGGGGTTATAACAAACCAGAATGCCAAGGTGATAATAAATCAGTATCTTAAAATTATTAAGCAATGATTGAAGCATGTAATTTTTTTTTAAATTGTTCATATGACATTGACCAAATTATCCTAAATTGAGATATTAAATAAATAAATAAATAATAGGTTTAAATATGAATAGATGTATACGACAAATAAATAAAACAAAATATAAAATGCAAAATGTAGACTTGCAATAAAAAATAACATAATTATAATTTAAAGAAATTTAATTGCTGAATGGTGGGATTAGATAAGTCAATTAATTCTGCTTCACAAATGTATCTCCAGGTTTTTTAGCCACATTACTGCTACCTCTTCAGCCCTGTGTAGCCTTACTATGGCCCCATTGAATTTAGTCTTGGGGCTTCAATTATGTATTGTATAGTTTGTTCCACTCCACATGAATACAAGGGAGATTCTGTTTAAATCTGTCCACACATGTCAAGGGAGGTAGGTTGAAACTCATAACTCTTGACATTGGATCTTCAATCAATATTAGCATATAAATGTATATTTTTTTTAACAATTAAAGATTAATATTGATGGAGTATAAGACTTAAAAATGTGCTTATATTTGGGTAACAAAAAATTTGTCTCATGACCAGGGCACAGGACTTTTAATACTTAAAATCCACAAAAAAAGCAATTTAAAAAAATTAATCTGTGTATTAATGGTATCAATCAGTTATCAGTATGATAATACATAGAGTTGTACATTTACAGATGACTTTTTTAGTAGGTAAATATTTGTTTTTCGGTTTAAAAAATTGTAAATTATTCAGAAAATAATAATAAATGTGTTCAAAAGTTGTGGGATAAATTGTATATGTTGGTATATACTGATATCATTGATTAATCAATGCTGATACCCTAAGTAACTAGAATGCTAATCAATTCTTATTTTACTCACTCATGCAATTATATTACTAAATTTTTAAATAAAAATTATAAACATCCATAAGTATTTCAGAAATCAAAAAGGGCTAGGGCATTTAAAAAACCAAAAACATATATAAATGAAAGGCAGAAGGGCCCATAGTTTAACTTCCCTTAATTCTGGTGGATCAGTATTTGCTTGACTATATGCCCCACTACTTAATGTTTAAACAGCAATTATTAAAAATAATATAATACATATCTAATAAGTAATAACTATTCAATATACATTCTCAGCAAATTAATATTATGCTCGTGAATAAACAAAATTAAAAAAAAAAAGTTTGATGAAATGAACAATATTAGTCATAATTTAGCAAGAATAGGCAAAAATGATGTTACCATAACCAAATTAACAGTTAATGATAGTAAATAATTTTATTGATAATCTCAATGTGATAAAATAAACATCTAATAAATAAAAAAAAAATTTGTTGATTTCATAAATTTCAGTTTTGTAATGGTACCTACAGGCTACTACCTTTTGTTTAAACATAATCTTCAAGATAAGTTAGATGTTGACATTTTCATTTTCTTTTCTGATTAATGTTAGATTCCTTTTCTACTTCGGTTTCTTTTGGTTCAACACCTGGCTATATATATTATACGCTGGTCAGTACTTCAATAGTTACACAATAGTTTTTCTAGTTGGTCATGTCTTGTTGAGCTGCCCTCAAATGTTTTTTTGTTATATTTAATTATTTTTTAGGATTCTATAAATTAATGCTCTAAAATCTATTTGTTTTGAAACTTGTATATTTGCATACAAATTACATTATAATTACAATATTTTTGAATATTGCAAAATACATTTTTATGCAAACATTAATAAAAATGTCAAATGCTCTTTCCTGGAAAATTTTTCCCTAAAGATTATTCTTAAGCATTTTTTAATGCTAACATTTATAATTTATGTATAATACTCAATTTGGCTTTTTGTCTTTTAATTAAGTAATTTATTATATCATCTTTAGAATTTATTCTAATTTGTTTATGTTTAGATAAAACACTGAATATATTCAATAACACGAGATCAAGATGAGTGATAATGAACATGATGTTGAAGCGGAGAACGCAGAAAAGAGAGCACATCATAATGAATTAGAGCGTAAACGACGTGATAATATTAAAAACAGCTTCACAAGTTTGAGACATTCTATTCCGTCATTACAAAGCCAAAAAGTTGCAAGCCGTGCCTCAATATTAAAAAAAGCAGCTGATTATATACTGTCCATGAGGCGCAGAAATATATCCCATCAACAAGATATTGATGATCTCAAACGGCAGAATGTTATTTTAGAATCTCAGATAAAAACATTGGAGAAAGCCAAGGCCACTGGAAATTATGCTATGAATACTCACAAATTAGATTTAGATATGCTAGAGTCAGAAAATTCTGATACATCAGATGACGAACTTCAGAAGTCTAGAGAAATATTAAAAAAACAAAAGTTTGGTCAGTAATCTTAAATTTCTTTTAAATATATATGTATCTACTATTATATGAAGTATTATTATTATATAAGCTAGGTTACTAATTTTAATCCAATCTTATTCGATACAAGATTAAATATGTTAAGATGAACAACTTAATGAAAAATATGATTCTATTTCTTACATGTTTTTTGTATAACATAATTTTTCAAATATTGACAGATATCTATGAACAAAATTTAAAAAAAAATAATAATAATTCCTACGAATATTTGCCAAAAATAGATGTTATACAATAAATAATTAACTAGGTATCTAATTTTAGATATACTATTGATATCTTTATTGCCATTACTTGTACAGTAGAAATACAATTTATTCAATACTTAAGGGACCTAGTGTCTGCAAGTATTTTGACTTAGAAACATCTTTAATGAAAAAAATCATGCCTTATAGAATTGAGAATGGTACGATTTCCAACAGATTGAATTGAATTCTGTTTTTCAAAGTTTTTATCAGAAAGTCTATAATATAACTAAATGTCTTAAACAAAGGTAATATTTTCAAAACTTTTTTACTAACCTTTTTATACCATTTTAAGTCAAATGAAAAATTGAGTTCAATGCAATCTGTAAATTATTGTTTATCAGTTAAAAACAAAATACTTGAAAAAAAATGTTAAAAATGAGTTATCCTTATTTCAAAATCACACTACATATACTTATAATGTTGAAAAAGCAATACTATGAACCAAGCTTCGCTCAAAATCATTTTTTGTTAGCAATAATTTATCTTTGACAACAGATATACATTCAATTATCCTGTATATCCTACCTTTCTAACTTCTCATCTATAACAGCTGTCCACCTATCGTTGGAAATATGTCAGTCTTTTTCATTTATGAATTCTTAAAATTATGTATATAATACCTATTACATAATATATATTTTATAAAATAAAATGCTCTTATTTTTATTGTTTTTTTTTTTTTTTTTTTTAGTATTTGTATATTAAAAAATATATTTGTTTGTAGATTTAGTTTTTTGTCAGTTGTTATATCTAAGCTTATGTATTATTTATCATTATAATATGATAATTTGTGGCATATATTTTTTCTAAAATAGTGTCATGTTCAAATTCTAATGTTTTTGATAGCTAGATTATATTTTATGCTTGTATTAAGATTTGAATTAAAAATAGTAATTTAGTACACTGGCATATTTTGGTCACATATTATGTTGTAATTGTACCTTAGTTTTAATACATTAAACAAGTAATGCTATAATAAATAAAATACATACCTACCATAATTTGTATACACTTTTTCTTGGTTTGGTTAATACTATGGTCTATAAGTTATTTTTTTTTTTTAAATTGACAATTGTTTGTTAATATTGAAATATGCAATGAATTAATTCATTATTTATTTTCAATGTATGTTTGTTTTATATTATAGTTGTACACTTTAGTTTCTAACTGATATAGACATAATTCTATAAAAATATGTAAGTATATTTTACTTAATATTTAAATTTAATCCACACATTTAAAAGTTATTTGATAAAAGAGAATATATTATGGCATATAATGTGTACCCAAAGTTTAAAACTTAACTTTCAACTTCTTCAATAAACCTCCAATAAATAATACAATGCTTATATTTTAAGGTTATTATAATGCTATTTATGGATAAATAATTTATAAAAAAAAAATTGATAAATATTGATGATATACTATATTTATACCAGAAATCAGAATGTGGGTATAGAGTATAGACTATAATTAAAACTTCTTATGTATATTATTATACATAATTATGTTAGCATGTGTAAGTCAACATGTGATAAAACAATGTATTTAGAGTTATAATAAGGTATGATTGTTTTTAATTTTTATTACCGGGTAAGGGCCCCAGTCTGAAAATGTTCACATAGGCCCCATATTATCAAGTTGAGTCACTGAGTGTATCCATCTTTTTTTAAATGTTTTAAAAAATATAGTTAAGAATATGTTAATATTATATTGGGTTTTGTTAAATTAAAATTAACAATAAAATAACAAATTATATGACTATAGATGGTAATAACAATAATGAATAATTAATGAAAACATACATATGTATTATAATATAATACAATACAATTTGGTCTTGGGGGTTGTTTTGGGGTTGATAATATATAATAAAACGGATAAAAAAAAATCTAAGTTGTGGTCGGCTTAACTTAATTATGTTTTTGAATCATCGTACCTATACAAACATTTTTATATTTTAATTTAAAATACAATTATTATAATCTCATTATAATATAAGTAGTAAAACAATAATAAAAATAATAGATACATGTATTTATAATAGTATTATACTCATGATTAAACTGAGTCATATTTGTATGATACACATTTCACAAATGTCAGCGAATCAATTTTTTTTCCAAATATTGTTTGATTTTATTTTTAATACATTTCTGACTTAAAACTTAGATGTTTTCACATCTACCGAATTAATTTTGGCATATGTATCAATCCAAATGTTATTGACACACTTTAAAAATTCAAGTATTATGTTGGAATGTGGCGATTGGTTCTTAGTTTTGAATTTAGAGTTGAAAGCTACACTTTATATATAATAATTTCATATTTTAACTATATTATAACGTGTAACTATCATAATAATTGCATTTTAAATTTAACCCATACAAATTGTTGTATATTATGATTCAAAAACATACCTAATTAAAGTAATACGAACGCAACTCAGATTTTTTTTACCTGTTTTGATCCCAACTGCAATTATTCGTCGATCCTAACTGCAACTCGGATACTCCCGTTTTGGGAATCACTTACATTAAAATTACCGGTTACATGCAAAGGTTGTAAGTACAGATCGCTGTAACGGGTACCTATACTATTAAGACCCATTCTCATCAACGTAAACGTTGATTTTTAAATTGAGTTTATAAGATAATCGACCAATCGTGGTCGGTTATCAGACATCAGCCATAAACTCGATATAAGAATTAGATAAATGCCTTTTTTTACGTTGATGAGAACTGCCCTTAACCATGTAATATTTAGCCAAGTTACCATAATATATGTTTAACTAACCGAGGCGAACCTTCGATAGAAAAAAAAAAAATTAAACGTTCATGGCGAATTATTAATTAATTTGACTTATGAATATAAGTCCGCATTTTCAGTCCAAAATTAAGAATTTATTAAATAAACAAAAAATAAAATGTCTTCGCCCATAGTGGATGGTAGGTATAAATTATCGGGCCTCATTAATTATAGCCTGTGACACAAAAAGTAATTAAGTAACGGGCAGCCGACGGTATACCCTGGAGTCCGGACCTAACCCAGCCAATAGACAACGGTTCTATTTTACTGCAACCAGCTGCGCACACCAGCTGCTGTACGGTGAACAATACGAATACTTTACCCAAGCATTGAATAACAAAATTGTTTTTCCCCTGTTGTGTTATAAAAAAAATAATAGCATTCGACCGTTAATATTATGTCTGTAGAGTTGGGAGAGAGGTAATAGTATAATAGTACACGTATTCATTATGCCTCATTAACGCTGTAGGTACTATCTTTCCAGTGTATACACGTTTTTTGTCCGATATATGTTAAAATTGTTTAAAAACCTAGTTGTTTCTTATTGATTTGTTATTTTTTTGTAATTTTTTAAATTAAAATATTTTTTAAAAGGCATAGCCAAAGTGAACAAATTATGTATAGTTTTTATTTGTTTTTAAAAAAAGTTAAAGATTTAGTTGATAGTTTAAAAAAAAAGACAACTACTGCCGAGGCTTGCGGGATTTCGAAACGGTCGATTTAGCGTATTTGTTTAGAAGCTTGAACACATTTTTAAATATCAGATGTATTAGAACTTAGAAGCGGCCTATAATTCTTTTATGTCTCCACGTAAATCGTAAGTGTGTGAAACATACCGAATTAATACAAAATAGGTACAGAAAAAGACAAAAAAGACATTTTAAATGACTTTTTATTGAATCCTATCGTCAAGGGCGCCCATTGGGTGGGGGTCAAAGGAGGCTCATAAAAATAATATACTATTCAAAAATAACTGTGTATGCTTTGTATCCATATTATACTTATTTCATATTTAATAGTATACTTGATAGTTCAACAGTTGATATCATATTATCATCATAGACCTTATATTAAGTATAATGTTAAATTGGAAAAAATAAATATTTTAAAACATCATTTTAATATTCAAAAACTAATGATTCAATTTGGTATGATTATAGGCAATTAAAATCAAAAAAGTACATTGATGACATATCACAGGACTACATAAAATTATTAAAAGAATGTGAATTTTTTCCTGAAGTAAAAAAATGTATACTAATATACATTACTTTATCACCTATAACTTGGACTGTAGAAAGATCTTTCAGCACTTTGTGCAGAGTAAAGACATGGCCAAGATTACCAATGAGTGAGGAAAGACTTGATGGACTATGCATGATCAGTGTTCATAAGGAAAAATTAAATAAATGAAAATACACAAACAGATATATTAGAAATATTATAAAAAATATTGGTCTTAAAAAAAGAAACTTGCAATTTTTATTTTCACATCAATAGGTATTTCATATTATAATAATAATATTTATTTTATTATTTTATTACAATATTATAATGTTATGTATTGATTTCAGCAATTAACAGTATTTTTAAAGCTAATATTTACATAATTATATACCTATTCTTTTTTTCTCATTCCTTTTCAAGAAATACCAATACCTACCATCTATATATATATGCTATAAATAGGTTTTGGAATCATTAATTTATTTGGTTTAATTTTGCCCCCCCCCCTCCTCCTGAAAACTACTCAATGGGCATCTATGGGGCCATGCCTATCATATTGACTACATTGCTAAAAGACAGGGATAATGACAGAGTGTGTTGAATGATGTATTGTATGTAATGTTACTAATAATGCATGTTTCAAAACCGAATGCAAGTAAAAAATATTGTGTTTATTTTTACGTTTTATTTCTGTATATTAAGCTGTAAATCATAACAAATATATGTAATATTATTTTTTTTATTAACTTTATAATATTATGTTAACATTAATAAACAATGAAACAAATCATATGATAATTATGAATACGAAATGTTTAAAAAGCGCAGCAAATAGTTTAATGACTACTACCACGAAACTCCAAATCTATCCCAACAAACCCGCCTCGAAGACTAAAGCGCAACTGGAGCCGCGATCTAAAATAACACTAACCCTCTCTAGCTAGTAAATTTTTCCACTGAGTGATTGCTTCATCATGTTAATCAAGCCAATATACATAAATCCTCAAATATGCTTATTGTAATATTATTTATAGATGTGTACCATAAAATTAAAATTAAAAAAACAAAAGATCGTTGTGCGGAACGGTGGGTGCTTCAGCCTAGTCGACCATCAACAAACATTGGAACGAGTATTCTTGCGTTTACGTTCGCATAATTTAAAACTACAGCCGAATAAATGTTCATTTTTACGAAAGGAAGTTTTGTACCTAGGGCACGTAATAAATAAAAACGACGTTTCACCCAATCCAAGTAAAATTTAATGTATAAACAATTATCCTAGACCAAGTAATGCGAGAGATATAAAATCATTCCTCGGGTTATCAAATTATTATCGTCACTTGGTGGACAATTTTGTTAAACTCGCTAAGCCACTTACATATTTATTTAAGAAAGATATTCCTTTTAATTGAAATGATACATGTGACCACGTGTTCGAAGATCTGAAAGGAAAACTGGTAAACCTACCGCTACTAATATACCCTGTTTGGGAAAAAGGAGACTTAAATTTAACAATCGACGTAAGTCATTTCGCGATTGGAGCAGTTCTATCTTAAGGAAAGTTGCTGCAGGACAAATCCATTACATATGCAAGTAGAACACTAAATCATCCCGATACAAATCATAGTGTTTTACAAAAATAATTATTAGGTATTATTTGGGGGAGGTTAAGCATTTCAGACCCTACTTATATGGGTGAAAATTTACCATAGTTATGGATCACTGATAATTTACTAATCTATTCGGTTTAAAAGACCCGTCATCGCAGCTTATGCACTGGTGATTGCAATTATCCGAATATGATTACGATATAGTGTATCGACCGGGACCACAATACACAAACTGCCTATCACGTATTAATAAGATACATAGTGCGCTGCCCAACGCCCGGGCGAAATTTGAAACATCCACGGACAACGAAAGACGACACATCATAAACGCGGACATATACGAAATAAACGTTAGTATAACGAAAATGAAATTCATCCACATTGGAAACCAATCTTTAATTTTCTATCACTTAAGTATCAATATTATTAATTTTTTTTTAAAAATATATTCATACCATTCTTTCTCCTATTTTTTTTTTCAATTAAATCATATTTCTTTTATCATACATATATATTCTATTTTGGTGTCTAGGGAGATATTGGTAGGTAGTAACATTAAAATCGGTCTCCATCAAAACAAATGAGTCGTATTCATAAGGCCGCAGTCTCAATCTTTGACACGATAAGGTGACACTATAACAAGGTGTCCCGTTACGTATTCAAGGAGATGAAAATATCACCATAGTAAAATGTAGGAAATTCTGCAGATTAATAAAGGCGATCCATAATAACTAGCAGCTCAAACCCAATTTTAGACTATCCATGTTAGCGACCATCTACACGTCCCTCAAATCTAGGAAAGGTACACTAACTGGAAGAAATATAAGGAAATACATGGGGTAATCTCAGGGGATTCCAGTAATGGTTATGTTCCAGGGAGGTCATGCGTAAAAAATCGAACGAGCACTAGGTATGAGGACTCTGTGCTTGGAAATAGCAACCATCGATCAATAGATTGACGGCATACGGGGTTATTACTTATTTCAGTTTAACAAATAAATGTGGACACCAGCCATACACTTGCAATGCATCAAACTTCCATCATGACCTACTGAAACCCGCATTGTCTGCAGGGGTGCATACTGTATTAATATCAAAACCTAAGTCGGACATCTAATTTATCAAATGTGTTTTCAACGGAATTAATAACGGAAATAAGCACATTGGGGGAAGACGGAATGAACAATTATCTTTAGGAACAGGAAGACTCAGAAGAAAACTGGGACTAGCCAAAATTTTGTATGTCATAATGTATTATTATTATTAATTTTTTTTCCTTGTTGGTTTTTAAATATATTATTATAATTATCATTATTATTTTTTTTATTTATTTGGCGTGTTTAATTTTTTTTTAAAATATATATATATATATAAGTAATTGCTTAAAAATGTGTGTTTATCATTGTATGCTGTTTTCTAAATTTTATTTCTCAAATTTGGACTCACAACTGATATCGCACAGTATAGCGATACGACATTAAACCAGCGTGCTGGAATTTACTTCGAAAACCGCGAACCAATAAAAATCATTACAAATAAGTGGGACTAAACAGCATCCATTAATCTCGACGAGTATGAGAAGCAGGGAAAACTGATAGACAAATGTATCCCTCCCACAAAGGGAGCAGCTTAGTACCTGACACCAAATATGACCCAGCACTGCCAACCAGTTTGCGTAAGCCAGCTAAATGGCAGTCAGACGGCTGGACCTCTAGACGTGTACCAGCGTCTTAGATCGAATTAAGTCTTTTGAAAGAAAGCATACGACGCCAGTCGCGGGTGATTAATGATCCAGAAACGGATGTGAGTGATCGCCCGCGGGGTGGTTTTGGTGCGGCGGACAGTTGCGTTTGCGACGTCTGTCCGGGATAAAAGAGGAAAATACGATCATGCGTAATAAAATTCTGTCAGAAGAAAACAACTGTGAGGACTTTTTAATCTTTTCAACCAGTCTTGCAAAAGATGTGAAGGAAAATAAGAGTGGTATTATCGTCATTAGATTATCACACCAGAAGAAGTATCTTATTGAGAGTAAGGAAAGCCGCATAATTCCTAGATGGGCTCTGCGATACAGCATGTATGTTAAAGTTAAGCAAAAAGGCTTCAGTAACACCAGTTGAATGTTGTTGGAGAAAATTTAAAATGGCTGAAACTGGAAAAAATAAAAAATTGATTTATGCAATTAACATAGGAAAAACAAAGTATATCTGTTGATGTTCGAAAATCTGTGTTAAATGATATTAGTCAGCTATTTAGTGAGTCAAAAAATTAAAAACACACTTTCTTCAATTTAAAGAAGATGAATAAACAAGTTTCAATTTATCATTTAATTATAAATTTTAAACATGAAAATCAAATTGTAAATCATACCTCTAATCATTTTTTAGAGTATCGTCATACAAATATGACTTACAGAATTTGCCAAAAAATATGAAGTATCACACAAGAACAATCTAAATCCACATTATGATATGAAATATGATATGGAACGTACCACTGCATCAAAAATGAATAAAGCAACAAAATTCAAATCATTTGATGGCTCATTAGTACAGAGTATATATGTACCAAGAGGATTTAGAGGAATAGATGCAAAGACCAGAGGACTAGAATTAGAACCAAGGCATTGAAAATGTAGCAAAGAAGAAAACTATTACTATACATAAGTGTGGGATTTTTGTAAGTAAAAGGTGTCCAATATTTGGAGCATCTCCAGATGGATTATTGATAGATTATATTATACAGTAATACTTCCGCTAACACTAATCTCTAAATAGCAATCATTATTTTCAGTCCCTTCAGTGACCATTATATGAAAGTTTTACTGTAGAAGTTAAATATCCCACTTCAATTAGGTCTATGGAAATATACACAAAAAACAATGAAGTTGGTAAGATATTTTTATCGCAAACGAGTTTAACAAAAAAGGAAAAGGTCTTTTATGTATAGTTGATCCAGAATTTGAAAAAAACAACTAAGTTTGAATATTAAAAATAGACTTTAATGAACTAGAATTTAAAAAAGAAATTGAATTTTTAACATTTTTGAAAAAGTGCCATATTTTAAAAACTTATTTTGCATGTATAAATATAAATAAGTTACTATTTTATTAAAAATTTCAGGAAATTAATTATTCCACAAACTATATTTACAATATCATCCAATTTCAAAACATAATAGTCAATACAAAAATGTGGTTTAAGAATATGATATTCTCAAATTCTTCGAATTACTCTTTCAATATGGATTCTTAAACTGGCATTCTTCTTTTCCTCTAAAACTTATCCATTGGACAATTGGTAATTTTTGAATATTTTGAGTATAGAATACCATTTATTATAGAACTGATAATTAAACAATTTGAACATTAAAAATATGGTTTATCATCTCATGTAAGCAAACTAGTTTGTGTTGGAGATTGATAGTTATTTATAGTGCTTATGAAGAATAAAATCTTAAATGAATAATATAATTTTAAGTAACAGCTAATAGACAATAGATAATATATATCACAAAACATAATATATACAAAATAATGTAGAACACATGGAAGTCATGAATACAATGTAAGATAAAGTAGCAATAAATAGCTCACCGTTCATATAATAATAAATGATTTATTTAGATAACCATTCACATTGTTAATAGAACTAGTTCTTAGATATTTTAGAATCTGAATGGAGCAAAGAAGCTCATGGTTTTAGAAAGATGTTTATTTTTTTTTTTTATCTGTCCTGCAACTTTTCTACCAGAAGACTTCCTTTGATTTCTACATGTAGCATCTTTTCTAAAAGGAAATCGGAATGGGGAGAAAGGTCTATTTTAGGAAAGTTATGTTTTGATTTTCCCAAGAGTTGTCAGCAAATTTGAAAACATAGAAAAACTGGGAAAATCGGTACAACATTAAACAAATATTATTAAAGAAAACTTATAAAGCCTATTTAATTATTTTACTATAAAATAAAATATATATTATTGACAAAGCATCACTATTAACTGAACTCCTCTCAGAATCGTTATTCGTTAGCAATAGTTTATTGTTACGTACAGGTATACTTTAAATTATTTATACAGTGATTGCACCCATAACTATTATCCTAGAATGTCTTTTTTATCATTAAGATTTAGTGAATCAAATGCTTCAAGTCCTAAATAATCCACAAATGTTTGGCCTATATCATTTTTTGGAATAATTTGTTTTTAGATCATAGGCTAAATTTTTTCGTTTATTATAGAAATTTGTCTTTACTGGAAGTTTTTTAAATATAAAAGAGATTGTAATTTCTTATATAACTGACACACAAGTTATCAATATCAAGAATATCAAGTTTTTTATAGTTATTGTACAAAGAACTAATTATATTTTTTTATTGAGGCAGATATGAATGGCTTAGTTTTGATATATAGTTATTGTATTAGCAGAAACACTTAATGGGCGTACTAATCTGCATTTTTTAGTAGCTAGTAGTCCAGATATAAATTTGAATCTCCTATCTGTCATTGTGTCTACACCTTTTGAGGGACAATTCAAAAATCCATTGTCTTCAACAATAATAGTATTACTAGCTCTGACACCATATTCTTTGAATATAAAGTTAATAAGACCATCTGGAGTAATAGATTGTGATTTTGATACCTAACCGTATTTACCATTTCAGCCCAACTAACGAGCGACGTAGCAAAAATATACTTACACAGACTGAGTAAAATTAGCTTGATTTTAAAACTAAAACTTGATTTTAGGTTTTTGGTAACACATACATTTAATGTAATATATTATAACATAAATTATAAACCACCAAAATTAATTATTGTATTTACATACATTTATTTCAATCAGAAATTCCAGCATGTACAGCCCTAGATTGGAAAAACCTAAGTGATTTAATTTTACAAATTAATTATAAAAACACTGGAAAAGAATTTCCTAATGAATTAGTATCTTGTAATTAAATGCATAAATAAAATTTCATAATAATATGCATTTTAATTAAATTTTTTTATTTTCTTAACCAAAAATTGTGTTTATAATTTGATGTAATATGGGATAAATCAAAATGATTTTTTTAATTTTGTAATTTTTAAATATAATAATTATATAATAACTTAATATAGAATAAACAAAACAAAACTTTAACTGTATATGCACAGTTTTAACAGTTGCTCAAAATTCAAACATTTTTTGCTAAAAAATAAGACAAATAAATTTAATCATTTTTTTTAAACATTTTCAAACAGTTCTTTTAAAAAATGTATATTTTGAAATTTGTTTCTATTCTTGTGTACTGGCGATATATCATAAACTTTCGGTAAGTTTTCCCTGTCGGTTTTTATACAAATGAAATAATGCCAGTGTTGTCCAATTCCACAATAAATATCCAGTCGTATTGATTATGCATTTTTGAATTATTACCAGATCATTGCAATTAATAAATATTTCCTGTAATATACTATAGAAGGGAGAGTAATGCAAGTGATGAGCTGATTTTTAATTATAACGTCCTATAGGTATCTACAGAGGTTAGGTTTACATTTCAGCCTAGTTGAGTAACAAGCAGTCTTGTAAAGCAGAACACAAGTATTTGGATACTTGTAGTTAAATAGTTTTCTAAGTTTTTTTTTGGTATTTCAAATAAAATTTATTTAAAGTATTTTTTTAGTGTTCTGAATATTTTTTTAAAGTATTTTTAACAACATTTAAATAGATACTAAGAAGTCTGTTTTATTAATTATTTTTCACAAACATTTTACTACCAATTGAATTATTTCCGTAGCCTAAATTGACAATATAATCATAATCATAATCATAATCTCTATCCGTTATAGTTGGTAGGTACTTCTAAGAATAATTTATTGTATTATTATATTTGGAAAATAGTACAAGGCCCGCAGATTGAGAGGGCTTTTTCCAATTCTATAAAAAGAAATATCACACTTTTATATTTTATAGGGGGGTCGGGAACATGCCATTCCTTAGTATGCAATCTGTGGCTCTTTGGAAAATGCATTAAATTTTAAGACGTTTTTTATACTATGGTATGTTTTTTTTTATCTTAACCAATGCAGCTCTTTGAAAATTATGGTTTTGCCATTTTTTTTAAAAAATGGCATAATTATACGAAAAGGTTCCCGACCCCTGTTTTATAATATACTTTATATTTTTGATAGATAATAGACAATTTATAATTGTTTTATTAGGTAATTATTACATATCAGAATGTTAACTTTTTTTAAATTTTATTATATTATTTATGCATTTATTATAATTTGCACTTAAACATATAAAAATTAGAATACGTTTTTTTTTTAACTAAAAGTAAACTGAATAAATTCTTCATCGTTACCGTCAATCAATCGTTTTAAAAAATTATTGCTGAATTTACAAAAGAAAAATTACAAGAAAAAAAATTGCTTATAGAAATTAACTTTTAAAAAAAAGCTTGTGATTTTTAGATATAAATTAAGGTATTTAATATAATCAGATGTCTCTTAATTACATTTTTTTCTTTTTAATTTTTATCAATTTTATTTAATTCAAATAGGGTCCCAAAGTAAATATAGTGTACAAGGTCTCTATTTCTTTAAATGAAATATTGCTAGTGATGGGCACTATCGAGTAAAATTATCTATTTACTTAGTTATTTCTAAAAACTATCGACTATCAAAACGAATGCCTATACTATTGAAACTATCGGATTATCGAGTAGTTAATTATATTGATCATATATATTCAGTCGAAAAAAATACTTTGTTAATTGTATACAAGTAGGTACTAGGTTTCGCCCTTCGACCATATACACATATAGGTATACGCCCACTGCCCCATCATTAGTATTTACTGTGACAATGGGACGCAAAACAGCCTGGAGAATAAAAAAAAAATGTCCGGAAATAGAAGAAGAAATCCAATTAAGCAATTTTTAGATGACATATCATATAATATATTATCCTACTTAAGTTATATAAATATCAAAAATAAATGTAATATATCGTATTTTATCATAATTAATTTATCCATCTGAAGGCTAAATTACCCTACCTTCCCAATCAAAATTGTACGGTTGGCAACTCTATTTACCGCCATCACTGCAGCTATTGTCAATATTGTGCTTAGGGACGCTTGTACCTATAATAATTTTTGTTTTTTATGTTTAGTCGTTTTGTATACATGGTATGTGTGTGTGTGTGTGTGTGTGTGTGTTTGTGTTTGTGTATATGTGAATTTGATTTTTTAAACTACTAGAACTCAGTCAAGTTTTAAGTAGATTAAGTGATTTACTGAATATTAATCTGATTTAATCTAGTGTTCCAGAGCTATCTCTATATTAGTTAACACTAATAATAATATTGTTAAACGGTACGTATTCAATACCTTAACATAATATTTGAAAAATAAGCATAATTCTAATTTGGCTCTCGGGCGATTTTTTCTTCAAATTATGCGTTTTCTCTTACACAATAACAGCGTAAATAAAAAAAACTTCGTTTGGAAGTTGTCTGTGAAAAATTCAAAAAAATTTTCTCGAGTATTTTGTTAGTACTTGTTAGTACTATCTTGTGCAATTATCTATCTATACATCGCATACATTGAGGCATTTAGTTAATCTACTTTCTTCGGTTGTTTCATCTCTCATAATTGAAAAACACTTTGATTTATTTATTCTAATAACCATTCAAGAATTAAATTTCGACAAATAAAAATAATTAAATTTTTAGTACTCAAGGTAGTATAAAGTAGAGGATTTTCAATATGATTTTTTAACTCGGAATCTCTAGATGTAACACGCATTTGTTAAATTATTAGTTACGTAAAAATAACAAACGTCACGCTCTATGCGATGGAAGTATATTATGATTTTACTAACGATAACATTAAATATAATTTAATATAATATTGCTTAAATATTAACCAAAATATTTATGATTAGGTAGGTATACCTATTATGTTTGGGCTGAAAAGTTCTTGTTATGAAAGTAGTATCGCTTATCTTATATAATATTATCAATACTAATATTTGTAAATAGTATATTGATTCGATTTAATATAGGAACCTTTGTATTTACTTCTATCTTATAATCCTAGTGTTACATGTACAAATTTAAATTGTAATAGATATTTAAGACCATTAAATATTATTTTAAGAACAAATATCACGGGAAGGATCAGAACATTCAATCAAAAATATCACCACTTTTATTTAATCCTTGTCTTCAATACTCGGCTAAGTATCTCTCTAATAAATTTTTGTTCACACATTTTCTTAATAATTTTCAATCTTAGAAGCCTCCAAAGACTTTAATTCTTTATGAATTAAAACCAGTTCCTGGATACACAAAATGCATAGAATGGTTTACTATTTTATATAGATGAATAGTCATTCTTTATGTGGATATCATCATAAATATAAATGGTACATGTTATTTTATAACTCAGTTTTAATTATTTGATTTGATTTTTTTTTTTTTTTTTATCAATAATAAACAAATCTTGCATCCACTGAATCATTTTCCGAAACAACATAATCTAACAACTCATGACCCATCAATTCTTTGACTAAAATTGCGAAAATGTCTTTTTCAGCTTCTTATTTAGGTATAAATGCAGCATTTAAATTAACAAGTTTAACGCTTCTTTTATTATTTTTCTGTGCATCTATCAACAAACATTTGTCAATTAAAACAATCTTACCAAGACCACCAAAAGATTGCCTTTTGTTAAACAGATTTTTTTAAAGATTCATCCAGTTACAAAAGAAACTTTCCCTGTAAATTTTACTATTTAAACAAGTTGATTTTCAGTAACTTAAATATACATCATCTTTATGATTTTGCTGAGATGTTATTCACATTTTTTTTTGACCGTTTAAATCCACTTAATAATAAAAGAAAGGAATTTTTTTTTTTTGTAATAATTGAGTAGTTTGTCAGTATGTATTTTTAAAACTAAAATGTATGATATTTTCTTTTACTTCACCTTTGATGCAGTTTTGGCATTGTATTACACAAGATAGAAGGCTATAATCTTTCAAGTATTTAACTGTGGATTTTTCAGCCAAAATATTTTTGTACAATCTTTTATAAGCATTTTAAAAGATTGTCTATAAATTATAAAATACTATACTATTCAGTTCTATACAACACAAAGGATACTTTGGCCACAGCTTGCTTATCATCGGTGACATAGATTACCTAATAGTCTTAATTTTATATATATTGGGAAACACAAGTATAAAATTTATAAATTGGTTTAAAACAATGATAAATCTGACATAAGCTTACAAAACGAGCCTACAGAGGTCATCGAAAGGCTGGTTTTATACTTGTGGTTCTTTTTTTTCACTGTTACCTACCTTAGGGTAGAAGGTTTTAATATTTTTTTTTTTTTTTTTTTTGAAATTTCCAATTTGTAGTTTTTGATACAAACCTTTTTTGTTGAATACTTGATTGGTCTTTTAGCTGAGTTTTAGAATTACTGAGTTTTTAAAACTTGCTACTGTAGTGTACAACCTGATTGGGCAAATCTTAGAGAGGATTCCACTAACGATAGCACCGATATTTTGTACTCAGATACAGTCATACAAACAATGAGTTATTTTAATTTAAATTATGTTTGTTGTTTTTATTGTTGGGGCCCTTCATTATTTAAAGAAAGTTTTAATGCATATAACTTAAACTAAGCCATATCATTTAATTATGAATATCAAAAACTACAACTAATAGTTAAACAAATATTAAAAATGATACTTTTACAATATTTTCAACACATTTTGGATTATTTAAAAAAATTTGTTTTAAAAACAAGTTTTTCAAGATTTGTACTATACATTTAAATCAGTTTTGATTTTACCAATCTGTTTAGTATTAAAAACAATACATTTTGTCAAAAAAAAGAAAAGTTTCTTGCATTTTAAGTATTTTTTTTTTTTTTAAATGGGAATTATTGAAATATCATTATTGAAGTTCTTTACCAATAAATTCTAAATAAAGTTCATCTGACTTTTTTCACATTATTATTGTACAGGGAAAACGCACATTAAAAAAAAAAAAACAAATTAAAAAAACCATTGAACTAGAATCATTCTGAAGAATGTCTACTGATTTATAATGTTTATTTAAATTGTTTTAAGTATAATAATAATATATTAGTTTTTCAGCAAATTTATTTTATAATTATATTTATTTATAATTAATAATATATTTTACATTTATATTATTATTATTAGGTCTCAGATTTATTTGCTCTAAAAACCTTAGAAATATGCATTATAAAATATGCATTGATGTTATTATTTTGTAGAAATATAAGCTCTAAAATAAAACATACACTCAAAAGATTAGATTTTCAAAAAATATATATATATTAAATATAATTTGTCTATATATGTATATTGGCATTTCACCTTATACAATGATATGCCATTTCAAATAACTTATTTTATTCAATATTTTTAATTTTTTTTTTTTTTTCATAATAAGTATGCCTTTGCATTACAGGTCAATACATTTTTTTTTAAAAAAAACATTTAGGTAGGGGAACTTAAAATAAAAGTTAAAATTATATTATAATTCAAACAAAAAAAAAATTTAAAATAGCATTTTTAGAAAATGTTTAATGGTTGAAATTTTTGTTGAGATATGATCTTTTATTTTCTACAATTATTTGAAGTTTTGGCAAATTTGAAAATATTATAATCTATTTAATCTAATAGTTAATAATCTATTATATTGGTCAAAATTTGACTAAATTAAACACATAATTCTTATTAGAAAACTCTAGTTATTTGGACTCTCTAGTGCCTTTCTAAATCAGTTTCAATCATTCCTACCTGGACTTAACTAAATTGTTAAATATCTAAAGTTTAGCTCTTCTATATTTTATGTTCTATCCGTTGTCCCTAAATAAGATGATTATCTGTCATCTCTTCTTTTTAATATATTTATAAATGATCTATCTGATGTTATCCTTCTCTTGGTTAAACTAGTAAAACAAAAAATCGGAACAACATGCTATTATTCTACAATTAGATGTTAATAACTTATGTGGTGTAATGTGAATCATCTATATTTAAATAATTTATAATAGCAATAAATGTAAATTTATGAAATTTTACTTAAATTTTACTAATCCTATTAACTTTCAATATTCTATTTCTAACCCTAATATTTAGCTTGTTCTACAATTTAAGTATCTAGGTATAGTTTTTAAGTTTTTTAGTTCAATTTTTCTTTTCATATGGAAATAATCAAGAATAAAGCTAGGATTAATAGGATTCATTAAACACACTTGTAGTTTATTTTTAGATTTTAAGTTAAAACAAAATCTTATACTATCTGTTCAGAATATGTTTTTTTAAAATATTTCTCAACTTTCTGACCATCATACACTTCTACTCTCTACATTTCTTCAAAAACTGATATTAGGTTTGATTGTCATGAATTACTTTTTATAATCCGCTTTAACATGAATTCCCTTAATACTAGAGGTTCTAAAGCTTTTTTTTAAACTATATTTAGCTCAAAAATGGCTTAAATTTTTTGAAAATTTTACCTCATTTAGAAAAGGAAATATACATTTTCTTAAAAATTACCTTTCTAAAGTACCTCTCTGGTAAAATTTAAATTTAGAAACATTACCTTCATTAAAAGTTGGAGCAAACTTGATGGTTGAAAAATTGTGCACAGGAAAAAAAATAGTGATATTTTAGTAGTTTTTCAAATATGATGAGAAAATTCTTGAGAAAATCGAAAAACGACCTCCCTAAAGTACCTCCCCACGCTGATTTTTACTTTCAGAAAAGGTGCTACACTTAGAAATCCGTGGAAATATTCTGGTAGAAAATTTAAAAAAAAATAAACATCTTTGTAAAACCATAGTGTTCTTTGATTCATTCAAAATCAAAATCACCCAAATTTGTAGATTATTGGGGACCAACATTTTTCAACTGTCTAAATAATTTTAATGAACATAAAATAATAATATTAATAGAAACAAAATTTTGCAATTTATATTTATCTGAACTGTAAAATACTTTGGATTCTGATTGTAGTGAAGAATGTATTGGACCCTTACAGACCATTTTCTGAAATTTTCTTTTGTGGTAATTTTTAATTTCCCCAATATAGGGGAAAAATTGTGTAAAATGGGAATATTTATGAAATATATTACTAAAATATTATGATTTTTTTTCTTTTCTTCTTTCTGGACAACTTTTCTACATGCAATTTTGTTCCTATTTACAATGATAACATTTTTTCTAAAAGGAAATTTGACTGAGGAGATACTTTACTGAGATAATCTCTCGTTTTTTCCCAGCAAATTAGAAAAACAAATTTACTTTTTGACTGTATTACAATTTTGTAAATTATATTTAGTTTGTAGATTATAAGAAAATAACTCTGCCTTAAACACAAGCATTACAGAAGGTAGATACACTAAATTTGTACTTAATACTTATATTGTATATAATAAATTATTATTTAATAAAAAAAAAAAAAACTTAAAAATTTGTAATATTTTTGGTGGTTTTATTTTATTGCAGATTATAAAAATAACATAATGTGGTTAAATAATAGATGTACTGGTGGAATGGATAAAGAAAAAGTAGATGAAACTTCAACTCCAGTATTAAAATGGAACAAAGTTCCAATCCAAGATGGACCACAACCAAGACCTCGCCATGGACATCGAGCAGTTTCGATCAAAGATCTTTTAATTGTCTTTGGTGGTGGAAATGAAGGAATTATAGATGAATTACATGTTTACAATGCAGTAAAAAACCAATGGTTTGTACCCCAGGTTTCTGGTAACATACCTCCTGGGTGTGCTGCATTTGGCTTAGTTGTTGATAATACTAGACTACTCATTTTTGGTGGTATGATTGAATATGGCAAGTATTCAAATGAACTCTATGAATTGCAAGCAAGTAGATGGCATTGGAATAGACTTACACCTAGACCTCCTCTTTATCACATGTCTCCATGTGCAAGGCTTGGTCATTCTTTTACATTGATAGGTAATAAAGTTTACTTATTTGGAGGATTAGCCAATGATAGTAATGACTCAAAAAATAATGTACCACGTTATATGAATGATCTATATACATTAGATATATCTTCACCAGATGCTTTAGCCTGGGATATACCAGAAACCATAGGCGATTTCCCACCTCCTCGAGAATCCCACACTGCAATAGCTTATACTGACTCCAAAGGAAAATGTAAACTTATTATTTATGGTGGTATGTGTGGTTGTCGACTAGGTGATTTATGGACTTTAGATATAGATTCGATGTCATGGAATAAACCTATTGTTTTAGGTACTGAACCTCTACCTAGATCTTTGCATACATCGGTTGCTGTAAATAATCGTATGTTTGTTTTTGGTGGTTGGGTTCCATATATTGAAGAAGGTCAGATTCCCCTGCATGAAAAAGAATGGAAATGTACTAACCAATTGGCTTGTCTTAATTTAGAAACAATGACTTGGGAAAAATTAACATGGCCAATGAAAATGACTGATGATATTATGCCTAGAGCCAGAGCTGGACACTGTGCAGTTAAAATCCAAACAAGGATGTTTATATGGTCAGGCCGGGATGGTTACAAGAAAGCATGGAATAATCAAATCTGTTGTACTGATTTATGGTATTTAGAAGTAGATAAACCGGAAAAATGTGCTAAAAATCAGTTGGTTCGAGCATCGACAGATGCTCTGGAAATTATGTGGAATAGTGTACCAACCGCTGCGGCCTATATTTTACAAATTCAAAAGTATGATTTACCAGTAGACATAGCTGCTCTGGCTCCACCATCAATGGTTGACTATTCATTAATACCTTTCTTCTTATCTGAAATACCTAAACAAATTACTAATAATGATGATCATCAAACTGAACTTTCAAAATCGCCTAAAGTTAAAAGCCCAGCTAAACCAAATCAAATCATGCCGATATTACCTCAGAGTTCCACTGTTAAATTTCCATCTTTAATACAAGAACAACAGTTTGTCTCTGTTACTGTACAAGCCTCTGGAAATATGAATATAAAAACTGTTCAAAGTACTAATGTTGTACCTTCATTATCACAAAATTTGAAAGCAGTGAGTACTGTTACATCAAAGGGGACTCCTGGATTTATCAGTACACCTGCAATGGACATTTTGTCAGATGATTCTATGTGTACACTTGCTCTTGCAGCTTCAACTACTCAAAAGATTAAAACCACTGTTGTTTCTAAACAATTTGAACATCCAAAACCTGTGATTAAACCTACAAGTGCACCTTACAAGATTGTTCAAGCACCAAGACCAATAAAAAATGTTATACCTCCTGTAAACACTATAGTTCCACAGCAACAGGCCATTTGTATGGCTGGACCTACTTCACAAACTACAGCAACTGGGACAATTCCAATTTTTAAAACTGGATCTAATGTTTTGAGAAAACAGGTGATCTTGCAACAATCAAGTAGTTTGCATTCAAATTTTATTACTTTGGTCAAGGCCAGTCAAGGTAACTGTATACAAGGTATTCCAGGAAAAATGATTGTACCATCTATTGGAACACCAAATAAAAATATCCAATCATCAGCTATAAAAATCATGAATCCTCCGATTAACCATCAGAGCACACTCATTAAAACAAATCAAACCATGAAAACTGTTCCATTAATTTCTGTAGGAACAAAACTACCAGCCACTGTTAACACACCAACTATTGTTATACAAAAAAACAATCCAAACCTATCAGCTTCTTCACAAATTATAATTGTAACGACTAGTTCAAATCTTAGGGGTGTACAAACATTTTCTTCACCCCAAGCTACCAATATAACCAGTGCTAATCGTACCAGTGTAACTACTACACCTGTCCAAATGGTAATGGTATCATCAAGTGGTAATACCCCAACTGGAAGCAAACCTATCACTTTCACTAGGGTAGCTGGACCTGGTAATCGGAAAATGGTTACAATAGGTAAATCAAACTTGCCTGGAATGACAATCGGTGGTAAACCTGTAACACTTCAAATGGTTAGTGGTCAAAATAATATGACTGTAATAACTTCAAATTCAGGTGGTAATGTTGCTCAGTTGAAGAACACAAATATTGTGAACACACTTAATACACCTCAGTCCATTGGAATAAATTCAAAATTACCATCAACTATAAAATTATCTTCGGATTCACCAACTAGTTCTGAATCAGCATTAACTCAGTTAGCTTTAGAAGCAGGCATTATAAATTCATCCAATAAAGAGATCTGGAAGAATATGGAAGTTATGGATGAATCCACTGATTGTACTACAGACAAATTAAAAAATCTAATTAAGGAAGAAGGAATTGATGAACTGGATGATGATGTGTCTGATATCAACAAATATTAACGGAATAAGCTTTATTCTGGTAACTTAACTGGTATTGCTTATTGATTTTATTTATAGTTAATTTTGTATTTTAATTTTTTTTTTTATATATGTAGCATGTTTCACTTTAGTCTAGTAGATATACTGTATACTATATTTTTCATAGCATTTTTATCAAATCATAGAAAAATAAGAATAATTATAATTATATTATATAAATACAATTTTATATACTATATAAAAACAGTTCAGTAAAATTCTAAATTTATATGAAATATTCTTTTGAGGATAAATATGTATAATTTTTTTTTTAAACATTTCAAAATATCCTAATCTGTTAATTTTAGTATTCGTAACAGATTTAACTTTGGGTGTTTTAATGATTGTTTATATTTTTAAGTATTTTAGTTGTATGTATAAATTTAACTACATAGTTTATGATCCAATATTTTTTATGAAATGTGTGTATTCTTGTAAAAATAACACAAAATAAAAAATAAATTCCAGGTTTAAAGAAATACATTTTACAAGGGAAATTTTTAGTAGTTTTTATTAAAATTAGTACTTATTTTTCCCATTTCGTTAATTTATTATCATTTACAACTATGTATTTTTAAATATGAATTTAATAAATTAATATCAATTAAGATTTTTTTTACTTACAGGTTTCTCTTTTACCTTGTTGCTGGAAACAATACTTTTTTTCTGCTAAATTCTTATTGTTCAGTTAGGTATATAATAAAAGAAGATTTTACAATTAATTCATGAATCATGATAATATTATTTATTATTCAAAATACATTTGCTCAATTCCTGTATTCTTTTCAAAAATGCACATTTATTATAATTTACACTTATAAATATAAAAAATATTATTTTCATTAATTTATTTATTTTACCAATGGAACTAATAAGAATCATAAAGAATTGAACATATTTGCATATATTGAAAAGGTTCTGGTTCCTTGAATTTATAAATATATGTTCCATTACTCAAGTTTTCTTTGAAAACTGCTTCAGTTCCTGATTCACGCAAATGTGTTTTGTTTAATATTTTTGTTGAAAAACTGACTGATCATTAGTCATAAAATCAGCAATTACTATGAAGTTCAGGATGACCAGATGTCTTTATTTCAAAAAGAATAAAATGTGTTAAAAAATAGTTAATTTTGATACCTATTTATGCATAACACACAATTAACAGTTGCATATAGAGACGAAACTCTTAATTTTTTTTTAGCAAATCATTAACAAAAAAACAATATTATTTTAAATAAATTGTTTTTATTTATTAATTTAAATTATTATTTTTATTTATATTTATAATATATAAAAAAATTATTAATTCATTAAACTTTTTTTATATTATATAACATTTATACATAATAAAATACATCAGACATTCTAAAAATTGTACACCTAGTTAAAATTATAAATATATAAATTTGTAATTAATGATTATAAATAAATGGACAGTTTCAGACATTTATCATCCAATAAAAATTAGAAAAATTAAATAAATTGCACCCTTAACATTTTCTATTAAAAAATAGTTGATTTTTTGTCCATTGTCTAGAAATAAAGGAAAATGTAATTTATTTTAATGCATTTAACTTTTCACTGAAAAATAATTCTCTCTACACTCTTATACCGGATATTTGGTGTCTAGTTAAATAATAAAATATTAACTTAACATTTTAATAATTTATCAGTAATCGAGTGATAACATTATTAACTGTTCGGTTATAAACTAAGTGTAATAAAAAACCATGGTTATGGTATACATTATAGAAGGTAATGACCATAAATTTGTTCAACTATCGAATGATAATGACTTTTTTTCGTAAATCTAAAATTATTGACATCAATTATCAATAATAAGAGTATACTCATGAAAAAAACCAGACAAATTTGGAAATTCAGAAAATAAAGAGTTCGCTAACGCCACCCAAATATTTTATTAATGAGTAACAGATTCTACACATTTTGGTGAAAACATTTAAATATGTAACTTCAATATCAATGCATCACATAGTTTTGTCTTTTATTCCTTTTCATTTGGATAATATTTATAGTCTAATTTTAAATAAATCAAGTTATTCATAAACATAAAAATATATCCAACATATATATATCTTTCAGATACAAACTAAATTAACTTGCTCAGAATTGTTTATTAATTCCTTCTTTTTATTTCATTTTTTGGAACAAACTCAATTTCAAAAATTTTTTTATTTCAAAATATGTATTTTTGTATGTTTAATTTGATGGTATTTCTAAAAATTGTTTTTTAGTTTAAAATACTAAAAAATTGTAATCTTTTGGAATTTTTTTTTAGAAATGGTAGGAATTATTTGCTTAACATTTTAGTGAAATCTGAATTCACCTATCATACTTCCTCTTTATGTTATTGTTAATAAAACATAATCATAATGTTATTTCAATAATTTACATATTAAAGTAACTCAAAATTTATTTGGACCTTTTTTCTCATTCGGTTTGTAATAACATAAATAATTTTCGGTGAAATCAGAACTAATATTCTTTTGGTTTGAAGAAATAGTGGAAAACTGTATCTTTTCCTATGGATGCATAAACATCACATTTTCCTTAGAAAAATATAATTTATTTAATGCTATTTTAATTTTTTTACTTACCGAAGGCAAAATAATTTTTAAATAAATCCTGAGCGGCATGGTAAATACAATGATTAAAATGTCAAATTATTGTAATAAAAAACGATATATTTAATAATGTTTTAAAATTTACTAATATTCGATATGAATTCTTGGAATAATCTTGACATCTCCATATATATATCGGTTAATTTAACTTTCAAATATAACTTAACAAGGTGTCCATAATGCATTTTAATGTGTTGTGTTTGGCAATTAGTATCAAAGACTGCAATTTTTCAATTACTGCCAAAGAAACAGCCTTGTGTCGTTTTCGCTCAAATAGCTCATAAATATCAAACAAATATTAGTAAAGCACATAATTTGAAATTGTTAGGATGTTTTTTAACTAACAACTAAACTCCCCTAAGAATGGTTATTCATTAACAATGATTAATCGTAACTTACATACATAATATACACTAAATTTCCCTCTTTATCCTACCGTTCCAACTTCTCACAACAGTGGCCGGTAGGCTATTGTGCGAAGTATGTCTTTTTTGTAATTGTTTTATCACAATTTTCAAGACTGGATATTGGTACTGCAGTAAATATAGAAAAAATGGTCTGTGATATGTGTTTGTATAACACCTGCTATAATTTGATCAAAAAGCGTAGTACAAATACAAGGAAATATCGATAGATATTCTAGTAGGTATATAGATTTACAAAGTATTATTATTTATATGTCATAGTACTGCTGATTTCGATAACAATTGATCGCAGTCAAATCACAGAATAAACCATATTAGTGTGAGTGTGTGACGTTATGGAGCATAGTTCAAAACAAAACCTTATCACGGTTCAGTACCTAAGAAATACATGGATATGAAATTATAATTTTTTTTGTATTTACAAATTATATTTTTTGTTTTTATTTATATTTGTACAAAAATATTACTAATAAAGGTTGTTTGATAAGCTTTTTTTTTTCCAATTTGTCTTATCTCATCAGATTTATAGTTCAAACCATAGAAATAACTAAATAAATTTAGAATAGCTAAATAAACTTGTAGTTTTTGCCTTGAATTTTTGTGGAGGGGAAAATTCAACAAAGAGCTGAGAGAAGAAACAGTTTTGTCTCCAACTAAATACTATATAAGAGGTCAGAGAATCCAGTGGTTTGGCCATATTATGCATGGAAATGATAAAAACATAATCAAAGCAGTAATATCTGGTAAACCAGCAGGAAAGAGGCTACGAGGTTGACCAAGGAAAAGATAGATGGATGTGGTCGATGAGGATTTAAAAAGGATAGGAATAAATGATTGGAGAAATATAATTCATAATCGAGAGAAGTAGTGTGAAATTGTGATAGCTGTAAAAACTCTTTTAGAGTAGATTAAGCCAAAAGTATTACTTGCAGACAAAAAATGTGTGAATGGTCATTTTATTTTCAAATTCTAATTTTGATCTGAAATTATTCGATTTTTTATACGCCTGTCTTACCTATATATGTTTTCAATTAAAAATAGGTACAAAAAGTTAGCATAAATTTAATTAAAAACAAAGTAATATTATGTGCAATCCAAGCCTGATTGTAGTACCTACAGAGCAAAACTAAATTGGATAAAAAATAAAGTAGATACTCAACCAAAAATGAATATGTATTTATTTATTTATTTATCTATTATTATTAGGGACATAAAGTCCAAATTATATTAGAATGATAGCAATGATAATACCTTAAAATTAAGAACTAATAATAATAGGTATAAACAAAGAACATTAAAGTTCTTAAACTATACATTTAAAGTTAACATTATTAATTAAGTTTTATATTAAATAAATAAAGTTAAAGCAACTATTAGGAATGAAAAAAAAATATATATATATATATATTAGATGTATTAACTAATCATGTAAATAATTTATCATAAATGTATTAACAGCAGATTGTATTAAAAATTATTAAAAGGTTTTGTTTAAACCGTTAAATTTAAGAATTCACAGTTTGATGACTTTAGTCTAACGAGTAAAATCAGTTTAAGAGTTAAACAATTGGATTCAATAATATTTGAAGAGTGAAAAGAAACTAATGGAAACTTAGGCATTTAAACAAACTTGAACAAAAACCGTTAAGAATTTCATTTGAAAATTGTTGGTGTTCCTAAGATTAAGGATAAAATTGCTCAACACTATATAAAAAGTTATACCCAAGTTGTAAACTGATGTTACAAACTCAAAAAGTTTTTTGTTACACCTAAAAAATTGTCTATTTTAATTCCATGGATTAAAAAAACAATTCTATAAAATCAACTAAAAACAGAAACTAGTTGCAAAAGATGTGGATGGGCATAAAGTGGCTCTAAAATATATCTTAATGATTAAATAACCTCTATGTACATATTTTAAAGCAAGAACTACAGTTTAACAGATTGGTTACAAATATATCTGGTTTAAAAATAATACAAATTTTGCTAAAAAAAAAAAGTATAGTTCTAGAGCATTTATTAGTGATAATGAAACATTAATCTCAAAAATTTAATGAATTTGTTTGTTGTGCTATTTTCCTCAAGCAATTATGAGTCGAGTTTTAACTGTGATATACCTGATGATGAATTTTTAATTCGAAAACGGTCATATAATACTTATAATAATACAGGCTACATGACACTGTATTAAATGGAATGAAAAAAATACAATACTTACAATACTAGATATTTTGAATCTATAACTAATATTTTAGCTGAGTTTTAGAATTACTGAGTTTTTAAAACTTGCTACTGTAGTGTACAACCTGATTGGGCAAATCTTAGAGAGGATTCCACTAACGATAGCACCGATATTTTGTACTCAGATACAGTCATACAAACAATGAGTTATTTTAATTTAAATTATGTTTGTTGTTTTTATTGTTGGAAAAAAATACAATACTTACAATACTAGATATTTTGAATCTATAACTAATATTGAAAATAATTTTAATGTTAAGAAACCGGGGTATCTTTATAATTTTTGTAGTAAAAACCATTTCATGCAAGAATGAACACTTGAACAGTAGTTCTAGTTAAGTAACCAAGTTTTCACCATTAAGAGATAAGAACTTTGATTGTGAAATATTTTTTTTATTTTTTCAATATCACTAATACAAAAATAATTGTTATGGTTTCAAAATCCATTATTTTTGTGTTTTTCAAACTTAAATAAATAACTTCTTTTTTAATTCTGATATCGAACAAAAATTAATTTATTTGGTTTCTTAATTATAACTAAAAAAAATCAACATACATAGTATCAATGCTAATTTTGATAAACTCCTGTTATATTTAAAAAATAACATAAATTGATGTTCTCGTCTAAACTGAAACATGACATAATGTGGAAATAGTATACAATATCTAGGTGTAATACATTATTTTTACCCACTTAACATCATCAAAATGATGATATAATAATTTTCGTTAAGTATAGTTCGTTAATTTATTTGAATTTAGCTCTGTTGAAAGCAATGTTATACTGTATTTATGTATAAATAATATACCTGTTATTTAATCTTAAGGTTTATAGATTATTAAAAAAAGCATAGGTGTTTTTGTATTACTTGAAATATTATGTATAGCAACTAACAAAAGTTATGAAACTTGTCTATAGTATTTTGTTAACTAGAGTTATCAAGTATTTATTAATTTATATATATTTTAAATATTATTTTTATTTTATATACTGACCATGGTGAAAAATGTATTGATTAGTTTTATTGTAATGTATGCTTTTTTTTGTATCTGTGAACAACTTTTCAAGGCACATACCAATGTTTGTGTCTAATTTCAGACATTTGTTCTTCCCAGATCTTTTGAAGAAATACTTGTGCAGTTTTTTACCACTGTATTTGATAAGCTCTAATAGTATGTTATCTGATCCCGGAGCCTTTCAATTTTTTAAGCTGTTAATAGCAGTCTTGACTTCTTCTAAGGTTATAGCCATTAACTTTGTTACTTGGTTTTATAATGATATCAAGATTTCTGTTCTTTATTGATTTTAGGGTTGGGTTAAAGGCTTTATACTGTCCAATTGTTATGAAGAAATTTCTTATTCTTATGAGTAATCCTTTTTGACTTCCTTCAATATAGGATTTATGAACTTACTTTTTCTTTTGTATTGCTTACTTACAGTTTTTCCTTTCTGTTAGAAATATGTCTTTTGCAACCTGATTTCCAAATATTGTATAATTTACTCGAGCTATGCGTTTATTTTCTATGGCTTCCCGGCATTTTTCATTATGCTATTTATTTTCCTTGTTCTTGTTCTCATTTTGTACCCTAACAATGCTTTGTTTTACTGATTATTCACCCTATGTTATATTAATTATGTATTCACTTTTTAGATTTTATACATTTTTTTTTATATAACCTATTTGTGGAGATACCTAACAAATTACTTAGTTAAATTTGTTGCTATAGTGTACTGTTGTATATATTTTTTGAATAGTTACACAATAATAACTTATTATCTTAATGTAGGTACCTAATAACTAAGAGTCCAGATTTGTATGCAAAAATATATTTTTAATAAATGTATTCTGTTTGATGGGAGTAAGAAATGTTTGCGGTTCCTAGCATGCAGAATTTATAAAAAAGATTTTTTGCATATGAGTGAATATTTTAGTTTATGGTAGATATTAAAGAATATTTTAACAAATTTCCATTATATTGAACAGAAATATTGTTGAGCTTTTAGTTAAGTTTATTTTTGGTTAGTGATTCAGTAATTTACTGTGATAAATTGTTGTTCGTAAACTTATGAACAAATGTATTTTTTACTGATAATACCCACAAAGCCAAGATACATCATTAAATAATAGGTAATAGAATTTGTTATCTACTATCTAAAAATTGAATAACAATCAATGATTTTTTTTTAATATTTTGAGAATATTAAGAATATTTCATCAATTTTTACTACATCATATTCCAAACATTATAACAATATAAATAACAATTACAATAATAAAATAAATTGTATAATTATTTTTAAATAATTAAAATATGTAAAGACTTTACACAGACTGATCAGTCTGGTTTGGTCAACATGCTATTTATATCCTTGGTTTAGATAATCGAGTCTGGGAAAGTCATAATAATGGGTTAGGTCTGGGTTTTATACTTGGAAGAATAGTATTCTTTGTCAATTTATTTCTAATTATTTATAAATAGAATGCGTTTGTATATCTTCATGATTCTCTTTTATATTCCTCATGTCTTATTGCTTTTAAATATTGTTTTCCATCAAAACAGGAAATTATAAAGTTAAACATCACTTACTGTCGAATGTAGTACAATAACACTATGAAATCTGAATGTCTTAAATATTTATCTCTAGTTATTTATGGGCTTAAGAGGTAATATTTTAACTTAGAAAGTATATGTAAACTGAGTAGACAATAAACATGATCTAAGTAAATTAAATATCTCTGCTAAGTGGTCGAACTAATATGATAAAGCTACCTCCACCAGGTGTCATGATTCAATCAAAAAAAAAAAAAAAAAAAGGTAAAATAAATAATAAAAAATATAATACAGATTAATACTTAATTTGATGATTAGTCAATTAAATAACATATTTTTATTTGGTTTCTAATTAATTTGTTTTATGTTGACAATCTAGTTAGGATTCTAAATCACTATATTTATCCTGGTCGTTTTTTTTTTTTTAAATACATAATCCGAACTGGGCTGATCCGGGCTTTGAAAAAATTTGTGAGCTTGGTTTAAATTGGTGTGGGTTGAAAAATTTATTTTAGGAATTGGGTCTAATCTAGTTAAACAAGCTGTCTAAAATATTTGGTCTGGTCCGATTTCATTTTTATAAGATGGGCTGTTCTCTAGTAAGTACTATAATCAAACAAAAGGGTCGATAATCAAAGTACACAATTATTTTTAGTGTATAATGTAAAACATAATATTTCATATTGTTAATTATTAGGAGTATTTTATTTTATTATTATTTTGAGTGTTTTAATATTATGTAACCTGACTCTTCAATATTAAATGCTGAATCATCAGATATAATTGAAATAAATTAACTTTTAAATTTGATTACTGCCAATAAACTAGTACCATGAGAGTGTAATTCATATATTAATATGTTGTTAACTTACATCTAATTGGAGAAATAATCTTGCACAAAGTTATTTTGTTATTTAACAAGTAATTAGATTAGATTCAAAGCTAATTTAATGTAATTAAGATTACAGTATTTTGTCTAGTTTATTTGTATAAAAATACGAACTACACAATCATAAACAATGACAATTCAATTATTTTAATTTTTATTTTACATTGAAATAATAATATTATTTAAATGAATAAGAAAATGTACTATTATTGAGTAATGTTATTTGTGTGTAAGTAAGGGTATTAAATATTTACTATATAACTTCTTGTTATACATTTTTCAAAGTAAAATAAGATATTTTATAATATTTAAATATTGTAATAAGAAACTATAAATGTAATATTATATACAGAGTTGAATAAAATTCTACACCAATTTAATTCTCAAAATTGATTCAATTCGTAGAAAATGTTAATTGTGAAATAAGAAACCATGTTGTTAATGGTTGGATAATTAATGCCAAGATCAGAAAATATAAAGTTCTTTTACGCTGAAATTCGATCATAATTGGTTGGACCATGTTTGAAACCATTGGGGTAGTATTCAACTTGATTCTCATGGAAAATAACTATAAAAAAAAATACATACATTAATTAATTATCATGCCTACTAATAATGATTTATTTTTAGTTAAGTTTTAATTAAAGAAAATGAATTAGCATTTCTTTCTTTTACTTAAAATCTTTTTTTCACATTTTTATCATTATTGATACTTCCCATTTATATAAATTATTCATACATTATAAAAAGATTTTAATAATCTTTGAATGATATTTTTTCCCTAGTCTTAAAAAATTAATTTTTTTAAAATAAAAAAAATCAATTTAAAATGATATATAAATAAAATTATTTACCAAAAAGTATATAAATGTAATACTGGTATACATCAAACTGATATAAAACGCTGCATCTCCAAAAATTAATCCGATTGGTATACAGCTAACAATTCTGCAAATTTAATATGTTTTATTATTTTCGAGTGTTAATAAAAAGAATATTAAATAAAAAAGAAAAAAAAAATTTGAATGTATTTTTTTTGAAAAATAAACATACCCAAAATATTTATAACCCGAATAAGCTGTTAGGTCTAGAACACATAATGAACTTTGTATATTTGTAATATATAGAAATATCATTTCAACCACAACGATAAATAATTCCCAAGCGAGCATACGAGATGCTTGTACACTTAAAAGTTCTGGACTGAATTGATTTTGTTTACCGAGTATGAGACCCAGCAGAAGTAAATACCTATATTATAAAAGATTAGCTAGATTAGTTAATTTTATTTTAATTAAAGAACTAATGAGAGTATTACGTTATAAATGATACAGTAGGTATATACATGTCTGGCATGTTTAAATCAGATTTCGGCCTAGTTCGTTTACGATCTTCAGTTTGGTGTACATCAGAATCCAATAAAATAGACCAATCCTAATGTAACATAAAAATCAAATTATTACCTTAAATATCTTAACATTTAAATTAAAACAATAAACTAAAAAAATAGTATTCAATAAAAATTATATAATATTTATATAAACTTACTTTGTGAGTAAATGGAAATAATAATAGTACCAGTTTGCTAATCACATAATGAGTGTCTACTGCAAAATAAAGTTTTATCTGCGAACTTATTCCGCTCGTATATTTTCCGACATTTTCGTCAACAACATGTCCTAACATTTTCTGCCCATACTGAACTGTAGCTCCTGCCAATATAGGATTGCTTCCAAATGCATTCACTAAATTACTTGCAGGATTAAATATATTTGCTTGAGCAATTGGACTTGGGCCTAAAATTATAATTAATTTTTAAACATCCAGATACATTTTAAAACTAATAACATTAATCATTATTTACATAAAAATGAAAAACCTCTACAGTTGAAAAGGCATAATGTTAGGTTATATTTAAATTGCAAAAATTATTTACATTTTATAAAATAGTTTACATAAAATTATTATAAAGCATTTAATTTTGATGGTTTATTCCAAAATCTATAAAATTTAAAATTACTCGATGTATAATGTTGTCTGTTAATTGTGTTATTGATTGGCACTGTTCCGCTGTATCTAAAATCATTGTTTCCATAACTTAGCTGTGATGAAATAGACGTAAAATCATTGTAATAAAATTGTTGTTGAGGTGGCAACGATTGTGTGTCAGGCTGAGTGTACATATTGGTAGGCTGAGAGTAATTATATTGAACTTGTTGGGAAACCATATTATTCACATCCAATCCGGGAGTTTCCATGGGACGTCTTGTAAGACGTCTACTGCTGTTGTTACCTGGCATAGCTGAATACAGAAAAGTTAAAATCACTTATTTATCAAATTAGCGTTAAAAAAAATTTGATCCGATCAAATTATTACGTGACTTCAGACTTACCGTTAAAAGTGTTATCGTTATAATTCATTTTACTGACAGTTGTTAGAGTTGTATTTGTGGGTGTATGTGATAATTCGAAATAACACAGTGTCAACAGTCAATAATTATTAATCATACACGCGAATAAGATTTAACGAGAAACGTTGAACGAGTCGTGAGTTGCCTGTAAACGGCTTGGAATAATAATATTACAGACGAAAAACCAAAAATTAGCTACATACATATTATTTTTATTATATTTTAGTTATACACATTCGTTGACGAATTTATTATTTACCATTATGCCATCTGACATCCGTGGTTATCACTTATTTTCTGCATGGATCGTATACGTTCCGGTGGCCGCATAAATACCACGTAACTACGATGGTTGTAGTGATAAATATTGATAAAGGGGTTTAACCGCAGGAGAGCGTTCAGAAACGTTTTCCACAATTTCTAGGGAATTCGCCAGAGAAAGATTTAGCAACGCCCATTTCATGAACCAACAAGTTATCAACCAAGATACCTTAAGTATGTTTACCTGCTTATAGTTTTATCAGAAATATATTAGGTTTTGGTAGCCATAAGGCAATAAAGAAGGATACCTAGTTAATAAATGAATATAATTATTACATGACATTTTATGTTAAGTGGCTAATAAGTAATAACGAAATTGTAGCCATGGGTACAAGCTGCTCAAATAAATTTGTTTTTAATTATGGACTGACTGAACGTTCAGTACTCTATTCTGTGGTATTGATGATTATGATGTTACATTAAAAAAAGAATCTCAAATTCGAATTGAAAAATATATAGAACATATTGTTATACATTATTCTAATAATGTTTATCAAAGGATACGTAACAGGTTAAAATTATGTAATAAAGTGAATATAGGGGTACAAAATAAATGAATGTATACCCATTAATCACTTAGATTACTTATTACAGCCTATGACAGTAAGAAACAATTAACATAAGATATACACTATGAAGGGTAACAATAACATACTTACCTATCCTGAACGGAGTATCCTCAGCAACAATGATGAGTTTGAATACAGGTATAATTATATTTATTTATTAAGTTGATTAAAATAGGTAGTAGGAATGATAAAATAAACACTTGATTAAATTAAAAATGATGATATTGGAATGTTAGAAGCCAGAACAAAACGCACTCACGGAAAGACAAAAAGAAGACGACGAGTCGCCAGGATCCAGTGGCCGAATGAGTCGAGAAGTCTCTTATGAGATAGAAAGGGGAAAATAGTGGAGTGGTGTTGTCCGGTTCTTATTATCATGATTTATTATTATATGAGATATTTAACTGTAATACATACTATTTGTATTAATATAAATTGACTTATAAACTAATCAAATGTAGTGTAGATAATATTAATGTTATATAATATTATATTATGATATATACCATGTTGTATATATCATTACATGCACCCCAGTCTTTGTTTTGTTATGCTCTCATAACAATACATATTTTATAAAATTTTAATTAATAGTAAATTTATAAAATAATAATAATAATAATAATAAAATTAAGGATGAAAAAAAAAATATTATTAATAATAAATGAATACAATATATAAGAACGGATCCATTTATGTGTTATGTGTGGTGGATACCTACTTCTATATGGACATTCTTCATGGAGTAGACCGAGTAGGGTGAGTGGTTTTATTTATGGCAGTGTTAGAGATCACACTGTATCTATTTGAGTTTTCCTTATACATTAGATAATGCATTGTTTGAAAAAATACCAGCTATTAATGTAATGCTCCAGCCAAATGTTTTGTATAGAATGGATACATTGAGTAGGGTGTTGTCATTAGCGAAATTTTTTCTATAACAAATATACCTTAAACGTTATATTTCCGATTCCAGTGAACCATTCCCACATTTTATGCAACTCGGAGTGGACCGATTATAGTTGCTTATAGTTTATTCACTAATTATGTTCCTGGTGTCAAAGCCTTGATTTATAACTTCATGGCTCGTTGTTTGCCTTATTAGGTTTTTTTGAGCTGTCTCTGTTTTTTGTAGGTACATGAGATGCTTTTGCAGTGTGTTGATTATTTCTTGAGTATATATTCCAGCAGTCATAAAATTATCTGCACTTTCATAGGACTAGGATATAGTAGTGGCAGGTTTTAATTTTTGAGGACTTAGTGTGGTTTTGGAGTCAATGCAGTTCATCTTTTTGTGTTGCTTGCGAAAGCGGGCAAAGTTTTGAAGTACGTGATTTAGTATGAGTATAGTATAGTATGGTATAGGTATGAGTCGGATAATTTTAATCTTGATCCAGATGATAGGATTATAACATTTTCTTTGTTATTGGCTATGGCTATTCCTTCTGATAGATGTATGGAGTATTTAGCTTGAACTATGACTTTGTGCCAGGTTTCTTTTAAATTGGTGAAAGTGGTGCCTTGACAATTTCACTCTCTGTCGAGTGAGCCACCTCTAGTGTGAGATATTAAAACTGATTGATTAATTTTAAGTCCAGATATTATATTCCCTAAAGGTGTATAATAAACACTATGTTGGTGAATCTCCCTGCATCTAGCAGTTCCAAGTTCAATTATTTCTGAAAAGAAACCACCCTCTACCATTAGTGCGTCTTCAAACACAGAACACCTGGTTATAAGGTAGGTAATGGAAATGAAGCATGTTTGAAAGTATACGGAGTGTGTCTCTGCTTTCTGTAACAGCTTTATGCAATGGACATGTTCGATTTCGACAGGTGTTGGTATATCACAGTTATCCACTTTTAAGCTGTTGAAGGCCGTGATGTTGATCTGCGATCCACCAGTCATACACTATGAATCCATATGTAATTGTGCAGTGTTAAGAATATGAACAAAGATTTTATGAACATGTTGAATACCTGTCTGATGAGAACGAGGGGGAAAAAAAAAAGATGACAAGTCGCCAAGGCAGGATACGGGGGCCGGATGAGTCGAGAAGTCTCTTATGAGATAGAAAGGGGAAAATAGTGGAGTGGTGTTGTCCGATTCTCATTATCATGTTTTATTATTATATGAGATATTTAACTGTAATACATACTATTTGTATTAATATAAATTGACTTATAAACTAATCAAATGTAGTGTAGATAATATTAATGTTATATAATATTATATTATTATATATACCATGTTGTATATATCATTACAATTAGTAATATTTTTTAATTAGTGTAATTTATTAATTTTTGTAATCAGTAATAATATAATTCACACACTTACAACTACAACTTGAAGAAATATGTTTAAAAATTTAAATCAAAAATCAAATCACACGTTAACAATAAATAGATAATACACAGTTTAACGTGGTAGTAGGGACATAATTCAAAGTAAAATAATTTGAACAAAGAAGTGGTTTGAACCATACATACCACTGTTGTTTCACGGCCTACAGAATATGTTAACCGTGCACAACCATAATTGTGATAACAATTTGTCAAACTGTAAAACTCGTTGCGTACATCATACTTTGTTACCCTAGCGGCTAGAGACGCCGTTTTTTCCGTCCATTACTTTTCAGTAGTAGATATATAATTCAAAGTAAAATAATTTGAACAAAGTAAGAAGTGGTTTGAACCATACATACCACTGTTGTTTCACGGCCTACAGAATATGTTAACCGTGCACAACCATAATTGTGATAACAACTATTCAAACTGTAAAACTCGTCGCGTACATCATAACCCTAGTGGCTAGAGACGCCGTTTTTTCCGTCCATCACGTTCCATTTTGTTTACTGTTCGTGTATTATGTGCGGCCGCCATTTGTCATTCTGTTTTATTGTGTTGTACGAACTGATCTTTTAGCGTTGTTCATCGATCGTCGCTGTTCACATACTTTAATAATTACTTTACCACCATTTGTCATTGTGGTGATTTGTATTTTGCGACTATCCGAGGAATTTCAATTCAGTCAAAACGGCGACCCAAACTAATAAAGGTAAGTATTATAGGTACTGCTGTATGGTGTAATGTATTCCTATACGTCGGGCGCGTTTCGAATTTTCGTCAATGAAAATCGTCCATTGTTTGTATAAAAATGAGGGGCGTTTCCCACGTGTTTTTCGATTTTTAAACCGACAGTACTGCTACTGTAAGTCTGTCATCTGTGTTAACATTACTACCTCACTACTGCCATTTATTCATTAATTCAAATACGGCTTTATGCGGGGATGAGCAAGCTGACCCATTGCGATTACATTACTTATCTGTCCTCATCTATTTGATCCCGCTTCCACTGCCCCATACCTCCCCTTAGATCCATCGTATTGGATGTATAGACAATATTAAGTTTTTAATATCCATGATCGGAATCTGGAAATCATGTTCCAATCAACGCTGAAAGTCCGACATCCGATAGAAAAATAACCTGCCGACGGTGTTTGAATGATAATTGAAATAATGTCGATCGATATATGTTTCTATATGATCTTAACAATAATTGAATATTATATTTTAAATATTTTGATTTCTAAACATAAGTTAAAAATACTTTATATTTCCTTTGTATCTACCGTCTGTACTGTAGATAGTTTTAGTTGTTTATTTGGTTAACAAAGAGATATATATATATATTATTCATATTATTATTTTACTTATTTTTTTTATTTATGTAATGGATTAAAGCCCAACGGCTTTTACAAATAATTTAGTGGAATTTCATATATACAATTAAGAGGTGATAATAAAATAAGTTCAACAGTTTAAATACAAATAAAACGTTTTTGGTGAAAATATACAAATAGGTAGTTCAATATAGGTTTAAAAATATCATGTATAAATTAGTTAACATTGAAAAATATATAAATTGAAATATTTGTGTGCCTATGTACAAGAATGAGGAGAACGAATTAATTCATAATTGCCCATCATTTTAGATAAATTTTAGATGTTCATAGAAATATTGGAATTAGAAACATGAGTATAAAAAAAAAACCTGATACCCAGTAATTCTAGGCATCCAAAACTTAGCCGTCAAGTAGTATCTGGGCATCGATTTGACCCTCAATAATTAATTTTTAATAAGTTTCTTACGCCTCTCATTAAGAGGATCAAGTATCTGGCTTTTAGTATTATTATTGTGTACATGATGAGGAATCTTTAAACAATTACCTGCAAAAGAAACGGTTTTGGAACTGATTAAGTTGTATGTCAGTTGTAATATACATAGACCATACGTTAGAACCAAAGCATTAAGCTGCGTCCACACCTAACAAACAATTCAAAAACGTTTGTCGAATGTTTGCTTGATGTAGGCGTGTTTTTAATCCAATTTTTTTGTCAATAATCCAAACAAAAATGTTCGCTTGCTAAACAAACATTTTGAGTGTTTGTACCTGTATTCCGATATATATCTTTATTAAAGTAATTATAAACTCAGTTATATATATATATATATATATATATATATATTATATTATATATTATTATTTATTTCAGTTATATATAATATTATAAATAATTAAAATAGTTTTAAATGATAATATTTGTTAAAAATATATTTGAATATGATAAATAATAATATGATATACAATACGTATCAATACGTGACAGACTATAAACAATACACTATTTTATTATTAAATTATGTGTTGTTTTCCAGACTATATAGAGAGATAATGCCATAATATTACGTTTATAAATACATATTTTGTTATAACTTATGTATAATTTCTATAAATTCAATCAATGAGCACGTAGCACCACACACGGAAAGTGGTATTTCTTATTTATATAGTTTTAAATAATATACTGACTACCGTTTCATAAAATAAAACGTTTCATTTTTTTTTTTTTTTAATGTTTTATTACGTATTATAACAAACGCAGCAGCACCAATGCAGCATGCGACTTGTTCTAGATCTGACATTTTCACGACTGTTGGCAAACATATAGCGAACAAATAAATTATGAACAAACGTTTGTTGTCATGATAAAATGTTTGACAAACGTTTGATAAATATCCAGCAAACGTTTGACAAACAATGTTTCCTCAAAAGTTCGTTAGGTGTGGACACACCTTTACAGATCTCATTAAGACATCTGGGCAAATTAAAATTAGATGAATGAAACCCAGAACACAGTGCTTTCTTGATGATATAATCAATATGGGGGGAGAAAAACGAGTGATGGATTATATAAAAGTTTTGTATCTGCTAAACCGTTTAGACCAGGGCTGGTAATATACATGTATACATTTCACGTATAAAACAAAACTTTATAATATCTAAAACATTCTATTTTTTTTTTTTTGGAGTTGTAATAGTGATAATACTTTCCATTTTAAATTTTAATAAGTATTTAAACTTATAAATTATTATAACAAATTAAAAAATTACAACAACTTGGTGAATTTTCTTAAATTTAGAATATAATAAAAACAAAACAAATTATTTTTTAGTATTATAAACATTAATGTAGTTATTAATAAAGAATAAAGATAAACTAAGTAATCAATATAACAACTTATCACATATATCTTAGGTAATTAATATATAATGTACAAAATGATGATTGAATTCTATTGGCAATTATTTTATCTGATCATTTCTGGTCAATTGCAGCAAAAAAAAAAAAAAAGTACTGTATAAAACATAGACAACTTATAGTTTTATATGTATGCATAATACATGATTTATACTTTACTATATTATATGTTCTAACCCTAGTTTAGACTGGTTGTACATAAATGTCATTCAAGTTTGATGAAAGAATATTGTTTTACATTTATTGATAACAAAAGTTAATTATTACACCAGATATTAAAATTATCGAGGTTATTTTGTAGGATAATACAATCATGTGAAGTTATCATACAAAAAATCTCAAAATTATCTTTATAGTAATAATTTGGTAAGTAGGTACTTTGAGAATTTTAAAAAATGTCTTGTTATTTTTTTGAAATATTAAGGTATTTTATTTATTAAAGTTTCTACGTATAAACATACAGGTTAATCAACATAATGCAATAAGCTCATTAGCTCTGGAAGAAATACCTTTAATCAGAATTTATTTTTTAGGAAATATAGGAAACCAACAACTCTTAAATATTATATTATTAACATTTTGATTTTTAAATAACATATATAAAACAAATTCCATAAACAGATGAAGTTTAAATTTTTAATTTCCATCAACCTGTTAATTAGATAATCCTTGGATCAATCACTTTTAAATTTGTGTTTTTGTTAATATGGGAGAGTAAAAGAACTTCATATGTTTCATTGCGCTGTGTTTAATCTTTGAATTATGTTTGATTACTTAACCCTACCCACAAAAAGACAAACATAAATCGGAATATCTTGTTAATGTATTGATAGAAATTAAATATTTCAACACCAAAATGTATTTATTGGTTACCAAATTCATTTCAAATTGGATATTGAATTATAGTCGCTTTTTCTAACTAATTTATTTTTTTTTTTAAATTACATTTGTTTGATAAGGTGGTATGTTCGTTTTTGATTATAAATGTTTAATGTGTTTTATGTGTCATGTTTCTCGTAGATAAGTGCAGGTGAGCCCATAATAATTATCGAGTAAAACTGACGGGATTCGAAAATTTCCATTAAGAAGTTCCAATATGATAATAAATGCAACAAACCAAAAGACCACACTTGGTCCTTAAGGTTCAAATTGAAAGTTAGGTAGTAAAAAAGACAGTACCTCCGTATGTTGACTAAACCAAAACAAGAGGCCCAAAACGATAGTAATGATGCAATAGACCAAATAACTAGGAAACTTGCACCTTCTTAGTGAAAGTACTGAAATAAATATATACACCAAAAGTGCAGTTAGGCCTATAATAATACCCTGTATATTTAGCATCATTGTCTTCATTATTTTATTTGAGTAAACATGCACCAGTTGATGAGAAATACTTAGATAAATTAAATCCAGTAAATATAATTAAGTATTACAAGCGGAAGAGTATAGATAGCAGCAACTATAGACAAAGGGTTATGGGGGTACATCTCAATCATATATAAACACCACCCGAATCATTGTAAAATTAGACTACCACAATCTAAAAAGAGTTCCTTTGTGACATTCTGTTTAACGTTTTTATATTATTTAGACTGAATATTTTTGAAGATTTTAAATAAATATTTGGACTTATGTTTTTATTATGGTACTTAGAGTTGATTCTAATTATTTCATGTACCTACACCTTCGCCATTCTCCTACACTGAGCATGTTACACGTAATACAGGCTGAATAATAAAATATTATAATACCATTTTTACTAAAAATATTGTTATTCTGTCATTAACTAGGTAACAAATTAGAAATTGTTGAATATTGTTGATTGTTATTATTACTAGGTGTATGTTAATTAATAACTTAATATTTAAGTATTCAATTCTAATTTTTTAATTTCCTACTTTTTAAAATGTTTATTGTTTTCTGTTGGTATTCATATTATAATATTGTACTTGCACGTAATTATTATTGTCATAGTTGTTTTGGCCGTATTTTAGTATCAATTTTGCTATGTTTAATCTTATTAATTCACGCTCATTTTTTGTCACCTCATTCTCTAATTATTGACTAACTATCCTCAGTTCTGTTTTACGTTTTTTATTTACTTAACTATATTTTGTGTTCAATACAATCAATACAAAAATTTTTCCAACAAAAAAACCCGGTCATAAAATATAAATAATATCTTAGTATTGTTATGAACACCTGTGGCTATAAAGTATTTTATTATAATGATAACAAATTGATTTATTGAAAAATTTAAATTAGGTACCATAAATTAAAACTCAAAGGTTTATTTGGGTAACCAAACTTGTTTAAATTACATGTAATATTATTTATACTATTTAACAGTGGTTCCTAATTAGTATGAAACCACGGACCCCTATCTAAAACTTAAATTGGTCCGAGGACCCTGTATTTGTGAATACTATCTTTTAAATTTTCTTTATTTATGAAGATGAAAAAAATATTTTGTATGTTTTTATAATAATATAAACACAGATTTTCTCAAAAAATAAAGATAATAAAGAATATAAAGATATTTATTTGATTTAACTCTTGACTTTTTATTTTAAATTAGTTATTGCATTTAATTTCAAACTTTATGACTTCTCATTTCATTCATCAGTGAAACCTTTCTTTTTTGTTCATAATCTCGTCAAAGTACGGCTGCATACTTAATATTTTCACTCTTAAATCAATGTCAATATTAAGTCTATTACGATATTTGTTTTTCATGTAGCAGTAGGTAGAAAAGGCCTATTCACATCTTATGTTGTGCAAAAGGGGACTAAATATCTTAAAGCTTTTTTGACCAGTAGCTTTTGGTCAATTTGAACAGTCATCCAAAAATTAGTTTCTATCGTTGGAAATATTTTTTATTGTTCTGTTATTTACCAGATCAATTAATTAATCTTGTTCCTGTTCAGAAAATTTTCAATTTTTTCAATATCACAAAATAAGTGAATTTCTTGTCCATGTATTGTTTGTTTTGGGTCAGGTTGATAAAAATATTTTCTTAATGTTATGACCATGCTCAATAAGTGTTAAGATATTTCATTTTTTACCTTCTGTAATAGACATTCACTTGAAGATTCCAAACAAAACTTGTAATGTCCAAATTTCAAATTTTTTAAATTTGCTTCGATTTTATCATCAACATGGAAACCATCAATATAAATTCCTTGTTAACTCAAATTTAGTCCATCCTAGTACACATTGACTAAGTAAGCTGTCTGACAAAGCCATTTAATCATTTAAATAAAATAAAATTTAAAAAAACCACTACAGTACTGTACAACCGTGAACTCTCTAACATTAATATGCAGACCTCTTGTGGTTTGTGGACCACTAATTGGGAACCATTGCTGTATTCTATTATTAATTATTTTAAATTAGTTTTTTAATGTGAATATTAAAAATAATTGTTTTATTAATATTATGTTATAGCTTGTATAACTATGAAATAAAAAATTTAAAAAACAAGTGAAAATATTAAAAACTGAATTTTTTTATATGTTGATGAAAAAATCATTTAAATGAAAATAAAATTTATTTTTCTCATTTAAAAAAAAAAAAAAAAAAAAATTGAGTATCAACCATGTCTTCTTTTCTTATTATTGCTTCGTATACTGCAGTTCTATCTGCTCATAATATAAGCTAATTTCTAATAATAAATGAAGCTGTTTATAGACATACAAAAAAACTACTTGCATAATTTTGATTGGTAGTTCACATTATTTTTAATAATGTGATTACCTACATGTATCTATTAATGATATGCATTACTATTTAATAATAGCATAACATTAAATAATAATTACACTGATTGAAATGTTTTCGTTTTTGGCTCTAAACTGGAAATTTTTAGATGTTCATCATAGACTAATACAAATTCATATTAGATAGAGTAGAAAATTGATAAAACAATGTTAACTTTGACATTAAAAACACATAAAAGTAATTAGATTCCTAATGCATTTAATTATTTTGGTTTAGACAAGATGGGCGTTTGCTTTTTATGCGATGCTAAGCTATTTGGGGAAAGAACACGTGTGTGTTCTAGTATAACTCCCTATAGCAACGTTCCATACCCGGAGAAGATTGTAGAACTTTTGGGAGAAGAATTTGTGGTTATTGTAACTACCGGGGACCACATGTGTAAGAGATGCACTTCACTTCTAGTGCATATGGATAAGTTGGAAAACGACTTGAAAATTGTGAAAAATGCAATGGTATCATATATTCAAAAAAAACATGGAATCTTGCCGCCTGATCAAACTGTTAAATCTCTTGAGGTATAAGTGGATTAGTAATATTTATGGAACATTAAATTTATTCATGTAGTTGTTTTGTTATAAATATGTTATTAGTCTTAAAATTTATATTGTCTTTATAATATAGGTTGTCAACGGCAACTTAAAGACTGATGATTTGGAGGTTGGTCAGCGGAAAGTACCGAGTGGTTTAACAACAGTTAGAGAAAATAATACTGTGCATCCTCCGATAAAAATGTTGAAAACTGTGGCACCAGTGGTGGATAATAATGCTTCAAAAATGAAAATATACAAATGTGGTTTTTGTGCATTCCAATCTAAAGAGCTTGGCCATGTTCGGTATGCACTTATATTAGTATTTTTATATTAATGCATAATATTTATATATTTTTTATTTGTTTAAGTTTCCACATGCGCACCCACATGAACAACAGAAAGACGGAATTGGAAAAGGCCACTAATCAATCTTCTGTAGCTAAAGCTATTACTCCAGTAAGAATAAAGTTATGATAAATATAAAATTTTACCAACCAAACAATCAAGTAGATAAGCTCAAGCTATTTTATTTTTAAGAATAATACAAATAATTTGTAGATTATGTCATGTGAAAAACCATAAATAGTTTTACTAAAAATCGTATATTATATATGAATTAGACATTGATAGGCCACAAGTCTGGACTCATCTATCCTTTACTACTTAGACAATTTGTCAACATTTTGCGGTGGTACCATAATAAAATATCTCAGTCATGGTTATCTGTAGATAATTATTGTCTTATCACATAAAATAATATAAATAAATCGCCTAAGTCTGCCATATTGGAAAACGAAAAAATTGAGAGTTCTTTTAGGGATGGTCTATCCATTCTGTATTATCTATGAAATAAGACAAGGGGGTTTAGGAAGACATATTCTTATTCCAGGTTGCATAAACAATCTAATAATAGTTTGACAACCTTTATTATTGTATCAATAAATCAATGGATATATAGCTCTATTTTACTGATAAAGGCATGTACTGTTACATAAAGGGGCCCCTTACAATCAATAATATTGCATAATATTATTGATGTTATAGAATAGATGTTGAATAAATCAAATAGGGTTGGGCATTTTCTTGTACAATTGGGAGAACAATAACACCAGGTAGCACTGCTTCTACTATGGGTGGCAGTTTCCTTAATAGACCAATGCTGGAGTCATATTTTGATTATACATTGATTATGATGTAACAAAATAATGGAATGGGTATATTTTTTTTTAACCATAAAATTTCAAAAGTTATATGGGTAAAATGAAGAGAGAAAAATGAACACATTTTAAGTTTATTTTTTTTTAATATATCTTTTCCTATTCTTAGATTAATTGTCTATATCTATCATCTATCTATTGATTATTCTTTTCCAAGTTTTTTTAATCCATATAACTTTTGTCCCATTTTCCTACAGATAATACATGAAAACTTATATTTTAATTTTAAAGAGTAGAATGTTTTATAATCAAAAACCTCATAATAAGTTCTGCTTGTTCTTTATACTGCCATACTTAAATCTATGTAAGTAAACAGTATACTTAGATATCAAAATAGTTTAAAACATTTAAGATGATATATAGATGTATATATCGTTGGCTTCTTGCCAAAACTCTGTACTGGCAAAATAGTAGACTTTAAAGTTTTTAAAAATTTAATTTTTAAGATAATTACATAATTTTTTTTTTTAATGAAATTGACTTGTATTACTACATTAAAATATATTGAATTTTTGTTAAAATTTTTAGTGCAACAGTTTTTTCTATCAGTAAATTATTGTATGTAAATAGTTTAGTCATTAGTTAGTTTTATCAAATAGAAAAATGATTATTACTGTTTGTTTTGATTGGATAAATTCTGTACTGGTTTAATATTAATTAGTTTTCTTATTTAAGTATGGAATACTTGGCATAAATTTAAAAAAAAGTGTCTCATAAACTAACCAAAATTAAAAATAATATTTAAAAATGAAATGAAATTTACCAATATAAAAACTTACAAGTATTACAAAAATAAAATAAAAAATATTAAAATAATAATTTTAATTAATTTTTTAATATTATGTTAATACACATTTTGTAGGGTTGTACATTTTCTAGACCAAAAATCAAATTTTTAAAAACTTAAAAAGTCATTTTCTGAACATTTACTATTTTGCCAGTGCAGAGTTTTGGCAAGAAGCTGATGAATATGTACAAAACAATTTTTAATAATAATTTTCATGTTATAAATCTAATTTAAATCCTCGTAACAAGCTCCACCAACCATGTTCCGTGTATTTCTATAAATCTATGGATTTCAACAGTTATCACAGTTATTTGGAAATTTGAATTTTTTTTTTTCACTGATACTGAATTTTGACTCGATATTTTATAATTCTTGTTTGTGCCAAAACTCAATAAACCATTAATGACTTTAGCTTTTTATATTTACCTCCTTATCTGTTGGTGAAAATAAAAAACTGCAAGTTTAGGCAGGTAAAAGTAGGAAATTCACTTAAGACATTTCTTGCAATTGTTAGAAAATATTTTACACTAAATAGCACCATTATCATATAATAGTAAAATTTACCTTTACTGAGTTATGGCTATAATAGTTGTATTATCCACAATAATATTATATTATTGCAAGTTATTATATTAAAAAAAAAGCATGACATAAACTGAATAAATAAATAAATTACTAATTCTACCAAGGGATGTTATGATTAAGTAATATATTGTTGTAATAATATTATGTTATTTAAGTTGCCACCGCCACAAAAGAAACGCTTGTACAGATGTCAAGTTTGTTCTAAATCCTTCGACAGTAGAGTGAGCTGTCTTGAACACATTCAAAGAGACCATAATGCTTCTGCAACTTCAACATCAAATGAGGTACATTAAAACTGCAAACTAATAATTCATATAATATTGTTATCTTTTTAAATTATAATATTGTTTTAATAAGGAAAAGGAGGCTGAAGTAACTTCTTCTGATACTACTAAAGTTGGCAAACTGGTTAACCAAAACAAGTCTATTGCTAAACAACAAGCGGAATCTACTAAGACTTCTGGTGAAGTTCAAGAAGACAAAAATAAGAGTGTTGTAGACACAGATATGTTATTGAATGACAATAGTCAATCTGCAGAAATGACAATAGATGAACCGGAGCAACCAGAAAATATTGAAGATGCCGAACAAGCTGAAGATGATGCTGAAAAAGAAACAACTGAAGAACCAGAAGAAGCTGAGGAAACTGAAGATGCCGAGATGCAAGAGACTGTGGAAGAGACTGTGCAAGAGACAGTTATTGAAGAACAAGAACAAGAACCAGAACCAGAACAAGAACAAGATCAAGAACAAGATAATTCTGCCCAAGCAGAAGATAACTCTGATCAAGAAGATGCTATGCAAGTAGATGAGGAAATTGAAGATTCTGTTGAAAAACCAGTTGATAATACTGTTGACAACAAAGCAAGAGATTTGGACATAGAATCTATGTTGGCTGCAATCCATAATGATAACCCTTCTACTGATAGCGGGGATACACAAAACTCAGTTTAAATCCGTTCTTATCACATTTGTGTTAAGAATTCAAACTTAATGTTTATTACTAAACATAGAATTCATCATTTTAAATTTTATTTATTAATTTATAGCATAGGATTATTTTCTCTTTCAGAATAGCAAAAGCTTAAATATTAATTTTTTTTTTTAATCTAAACAATATACTAGTATGCCCCTTATTAATTGTATATTGGCTACAATCCATAATGATAACCCTTTTGATTGCGTAGATACAAAAAACTCAATTTAAATCTGTCCTTATTTATCACATTTATATTATGAATTCCAACTTTAAAGATTATGATTAAATATAAAATTCATAATTTTCTTTTAGAATACTTAAAAGGCTTAACATCTTATTTTTATAATTAAGAACAATAATATTTCAATTTTGAAAGTTTGTTTATTTAATTATAATTTATAATTTTTGTCTTATATTCATATGCCCCTTTATTAANTTATATTATGAATTCCAACTTTAAAGATTATGATTAAATATAAAATTCATAATTTTCTTTTAGAATACTTAAAAGGCTTAACATTTTATTTTTACAATTAAGAACAATAATATTTCAATTCTGAAAGTTTGTATTGTTTATTTAATTATAATTTATAATTTTTGTCTTATATTTGTATGCCCTTTTATTAATCTATGTTGGCTGCAATCCATAATGATAACCCTTCTACTGATAGCGGGGTTACACAAAACTCAGTTTAAATCCATTCTTATCACATTTGTGTTAAGAATTCAAATTTCATGTTTATTATTAAACATAGAATTCATCATTTTAAATTTTATTTATTAATTTATAGCATAAGATTATTTTCTTATTTCAGAATAGCAAAAGCTTAAATATTAATTTTTTCTTTTAATCTAAATAATAGTAGTATTTCAATACTGTAGGTTTGTATTGTTCATTTAATTATAATATATACTTATACTAGTATGCCCCTTATTATTGTATATTGGTTACAATCCATAATGATAACCCTTTTGATTGCGTAGATACAAAAAACTCAATTTAAATCTGTCCTTATTTATCACATTTATNGAAAGTTTGTTTATTTAATTATAATTTATAATTTTTGTCTTATATTTGCATGCCCTTTTATTAATCTATGTTGGCTGCAATCCATAATGATAACCCTTCTGCTGATAGCGGGGATACACAAAACTCAATTTAAATCCCTTCTTATCACATTTGTGTTTAGAATTCAAACTTCATGTTTATTGCTAAACATAGAAATTTATCATTTTAAATTTTATTTATTAATTTATAGCATAAGATTATTTTCTCATTTCAGAATAGCAAAAGCTTAAATATTAATTTTTTCTTTTAATCTAAATAATAGTATTTCAATTCTGTAGGTTTGCACTGTTCATTTAATTATAATCTATATTTATACTATACTTATATGCTCCTTTTAGTAATTGTATGTTGGCTAAAATCCATAATGATAACCCTTTTGATTGCGTAGATACAAAAAACTCAATTTAAATCTGTCCTTATTTATCACATTTATATTATGAATTCCAACTTTAAAGATTATGATTAAATATAAAATTCATAATTTTCTTTTAGAATAGTAAAAAGGCTTAACATCTTATTTTTATAATTAAGAACAATAATATTTCAATTTTGAAAGTTTGTTTATTTAATTATAATTTATAATTTTTGTCTTATATTCATATGCCCCTTTATTAATCTATGTTGGCTACAATCCATAATGATAACTGTTTCAATCTGTTTTTACTTATCACATTTTTGTTAATGAATTGAAACTTGATAATTAATTTAACATAGAATTTTCCATTTACTTATTTTAAAAAAAGTTGACGGTTAGTTTAAAAAAAAAAAAAAAAAAAAATATTAAATTAAAACATTCTTTAATGTAATTAAAAATAACAATACATTTTATAAAAATTAATCTAATTTTACTTATTTATTTATTTAAAATTTTATAAAATAATTTTTTTTCATTCATTACAAAATATATTTGATTAATTTAGTATATAATGTGTGTCATTTTAATAAAATAAAAATTTTTCGATTAACTAATAATAACTTATTTAAGATTATAGTAATAGTTGTATAAGTAGAATTAATTTACAGATTCTTAAATTTGATAATTGCACTTATATATCATTATGTTCACATGTCTGTATGAGTTTTTTGTTTGTATATGTTACATTCAATAAAACCATAGATTTTAAAGATGACAGTAGATTTAACAATATTAAAGTTATGAAATGTGCAACAGAAATGTATTTAAGGTGTGTTGTTTCATTGTTTGTACAATTTAAAATTAAATTACAAAATAAGTACTTTTATTCTGTTCAAATAAAATCAAATACATTGCTTATGGATTTAATGTAGTATAGTATGCTAATAGGGCACAATATTTAAATTTGAATAGTTTTTATAATACTTCATATAATTATTTTAAGATTATTAAAGTGTTAAGTACATTCAGGATATTAAAAAAAAATTGTAATATTATTTTGAGCCTTAGTACTTAGTAGCAGTTAAAAATAATTATTATATTCTTAAATATTAATTAAATGCTTTAGATATTATAGTTTTGCGATATTCATAATAATAATAAATAATTCATTTAAAAAAAAAAAAAAAGTGTATTTATTTGGTATAATTAGTCATGATGGTCTGGTGTCCGCCTTGTCTTTTCATAATCGTATGTAACTGAGGATGATGGTCTACTTATCGGAGGACTACTGTTCTGAACAGTTTCAGCCACAGTAACAGGTTCAACAACAAACAACAGGCTTGATGCTGATGGTGTACGTTGATTGCTGTTGCGACTATTACTACTGCTACTGCTGCTAGTGCGCAACAATTCATCTTGTTTTTCGTTCTGGTATCCAAAGTCATCAGTGACCGAGAGTAATTCAGTGTATGTGATGTTTGACAAATTGGATGATGCTGAGTCATTGGGCAAAGGTGGTTGCGGTGGGAATACTGTACGAATATTGGGTTTCTCATTGCGTCTCTCAAGTTTGCCACCTGCCGTGATTGTCATTTGTTCATCAAGCTCCTCAATAACCTAATAAATCACAAATAAAAAAAATAATTAGGTACTTTTACAATAACTAACTAACATGAAAACAAATTAAATTTTGAAAAATATAAAAAAATGTTGGAAAAATTAGGTAGGTTAATTTTCAAATAAGTGACAAAATAATTGTGTATATAATTGTAATGTAAAAAAAAACAAATTTTCACAATGCAAATTGGATTTTGATAAATATAAAATTATTAGATTTTCAAACAATATAGAGTTTTATTCTGAGCATAGCCAGGTATGTATACTACATTGTGGTATGTTGCATATTTTTTCAGACAGTAAACAACTTTTCTACAGGAGACCAAAAGTTTTGTAGGTAGTGAAGTTTTACTATTTTTTTGATTTTTCAGGTAGTTTTTTAATAATAAAGGAAAAACAAGAAACTTCACGCATTAATGGTTTTCATTTGTAGGTAATTTAGTTTTGTTAGTAAGGTAGGTAATTATTTTCGCCTATTTATTCTTGTAATTTAGTTAAAAATAATCTCAGAGATCCGAAAACTTATCCTCAGTTCTTCATCAGTTGTTATTATGGCAGTATACAAATATCCAAAAATCCATAGGCACAATTTATTTTTATAAGCATATAAAGTTCAAATTTGTACCTATGCAAATTACATCATTTCAAAATAAATTTAATTGGACTTTATTTTTGCATTTATGTTATCTAAATAATGTTAATGTCATAGTAGTACCAATGAAAGTTCACATTTTTTTAATTTTATAAAAATTGTTTCCTTATACCACTTAGGCTCTCTACACACGGAGCTACTCAAAAGAAACTAAACCGGTTTGTGATTTAAATTACGTGACGCAACTTGGAAGTGACTCGAAAGTTGAATCACTTGGAACTGATCACGAACGCGTTTGTAACCTAACCTAATTAGTAAACAATAGCGCCGTCTGTTGTTTTCCATTGAATAACATAAGTTGTGACTCAAAGCGATTTGTTAGGTTAGGTTCAGTGATTTCTAATGAATAGCTCCGTGTGTAGACGACCTTAGGTATTTGAAAATTCCCGTGTGGTTCTTGGCCGCGCGAAAAACAAAATAAACAAAAATACCAAACGTGCTCTTAATATGACCGAACTATAATAGGTAGGTACCCAAATTCACTAAAAGGCGATGGCAAATTTTAGTTAGGCACCCACCTATTTCGTTTTCAAAAGAATACATCGACGGCGTACACATAGGGTGTAGTTGGGTATATATATATATATATTCAAATAACTTCAAACCCAGAACTCGAATGCTCGCTCTTTTTCTTCCTTCGATTTGACAATGTAAGACAATGGTCTAGATTATTATTATTTTTCGAGAGAAAACTACAAGCAGACGGGATATCTCATATTATTTTTGGAGAAAAATGGCTATTGAATGGAACCCGCGGCGGGTAGGTATATATCGTTGAAGTGAACCGGTGAAAAACCTACAGTAAACATATTTTATACCATTCATAATTTGTTTTGATTAAATTCGACCTCGTTGGAAAAGTCAGTATACCTACGTCACTAAACGCCGCATCCTTATAGACAATAATGTTGTTAACTATTATATTATACCTGATCCGCAATACGGACGCTTCCGAACTGTTGTTGTAACAGTTTACTGCTGCTGCTCTGCAGGCTCTCCTGGCTCTGCCAACTGCTCCCGGGCAGCCTGTTGCCGCTCGACACCCTCGACAGTAGCCCTGCGTTCGGACGAAAATGCGATTACTCGCCAAATGAACCGCAAACGCCGTAAAAGAAAAGATAAACCGAAAAATACTAACCGTCGCCGGGAGACGGGGCCGAATTGCCGGCGGTGCGTTTGAACAGATTTTTGAATATCGAAGTGACCGAACCCACGCGGTTCAGCGAACTGGCCACACTCTGATTGTTCGGATGGTGATGCTCGTTGGTACTGTGCGACGAGATGGGACGTCCGCGCAACTGACTGTTGGACCGTTTGTAACTGGCCGCGTTCGCGACGAAATGTATGCCGCTGTTCGCGTCGTCGTCGTCCTGCAACGTATACAGCGGCGGCGACAAAATTACCATTTACATTCAAATATTACCCAAAAGCCGCGCGTGATTATCGTAATTATTACATGTTATCGGTAAGGTCTATAATGTAAACAATTGTAATTATTTGTTTATTCGAAATTAATTGAAAAGATAAACTTTGTGTTATCAACGACACAGTTAAATTGATAACCGATCAGTAGACAAAGAATAGCCGGCTTAATATTATGGTAAATTTAGACGAATTATTTGCCTCTCAAAACAAAATAATGGATTTAGCATAAATAATTATAGGTAATGTTGCTACTATAGGTACTATAAAAAAAAAAAAAAAAAAAAACATTTTACTAAACTTTTTTCTTCCGATCACCGAACACAAAAATACAACTTCAAATATACAAATTCGATAAATGTTTGCTAAACGGGAGCTATGCGAGCAATTTTAGACGTACTCGTATATTAACAATTCATTCTTTGTAATAATTACGATTGCATATGAAACCACGTGTCGTCGTGCACTCAGTTTCTTAAATTCTAAATACACATCAGTGTGTACCTATTGTCGTTGCAGATGAGTGTAATATTGAGGTAAGTGCCAACAATAAATTATCGACAGCTGATCTTTAATCATTTATATTAAAGTATCTAAGTCAGTGTGGCGATTTTATTACATCATTTTATTAACAATGAAATAAAACTGGTCGAAATGTAAGACATTTTTGGCCAAAAAGATTTGCAGCATCCGTAGCCATTTGAAACATTTCAATGGCCGTTCTAAACCAAGTATACACGTAACACACGTCGTCCACCGTCATGTATGACGGGCATACAACTAGTTGAAAATAAAACTTCATACATTTATTACATTGTAAATCAAGTGGGTTTACCATCACAATTAACGGAAATGTATCATTTTAGAGGCGATTGTTTCTTAAATTCTCTAAAAAACAAATTCCTAAAAAATTAACACTCTCCGAGATAATAATTCGTTTTGTTAATCGCTGTGTGTATTATGTAATCATGCAGAAGTTGACATTTAAAATTTATTATAAATTTGAAACTATCTCCAAAGCAAGGAAGATTATGGATTTTTTAGTAAAAGTATAGGTAAAAAAAATTGCTGATGGGTGCGCCACTGCTGTAGGTGGGAAGTGGAGAAATCAAAGATAGGTGTTTAATTTATTACTATAAGCTATGATCGACCATTGCTAACGAAAAACGATTCTGAACGAGGATCGTTTGTACATGATTTTTAAGTCCGGAATAATTACGATTTTCTTTAAAATTTGATCTTAAAACAATTACAAAAAAAAAAAATGACTACATTACACAATATTTCTTTTATTTTTTATCACAAAGTACGACGTTTAATGAACCTCCCGTTGAGTTTTCAAGCTTGGAAAATCGAAAAATGACTTCCTTAAAGTATCATCTAAACAATGTTTTCTTTCAAAGATAGTGTCACACGTACATATTGGATTTTTGGTAGACATTTTTGTCACAATATAAAAAAAAAAAATAAACATCATTGTAAAACCAATATATTCTTCGCTACACTCATAATCTAAATTTACTTTAGTATATACTTATTTAAGGTAGGTATATGGAGTAGGAGTAATAAATGGTTTTAGAAGCTTAAATGATTTCACAATGATTAGAAAAAAAAATAGAAATTAAATTCATCTAAAATCCTGTAAGATAATTGGTGGTTCATGATAAAAAGAAAATCACTCTGTATACGTATGTAAAGTTTCGATGAAAATTCTAATTCTGTTGAATATTATATCAAAATGTGACGGAACTAATTCAATAGAGTAGTACTTAATAATTGTATTAACTGTAACCCGGACAAGCGAACACGAGCCATATAGTGTGTGTTTGTGTTTGTTTGTTATTATGAAAAATGTATGCACATTAAAAAAAATCTCAGAAAATTCGTTTTATATTGAATTTTTTTAATAATATTAATCGGATGGTTTTATTTTCGAATTTTTCCCGATAATAGAGACTATCATTTTGATTACGGTATGATGAAAATTATGTTTATCTGAATTGAAGTGTTAAATGAATCATTGTTATCATAAACATTTTTAAAACTGAAATATTTAAGATTCCGAGTGTAGCGAAAAATGTGTTGGTTTTACAAAGATGTTTTTTTTTTTTTTTTTTTTTTTTTTTGTGAATACTTAAAGATACACAGATGGGGTGAAATAAAGTGTCCGATATACTAGCAATCAAGACCGTACCCGAGAAGGGATTTAGTGGTTCAACCCCTTCTCTGAAATCATATTCCAGTTACGGCATTGCGGCAGCAACCGTTATGAACGGAGCTTGATAAACTAGTTGGGTTCATCTCGGGTATTATTATACGGAGTGGTCAATCTGGCGTGAGACACTCATTATCTCCGAAAGTGTTTAAACTTTTTTCGAAGTTTGTTTTAAAGAACATTTAAGAAACAAGCTGTTCTAAAATTTAACATCTACACTATTTTTTGTCACCCTAATTTTTGGGGGTGAAACGACTACCTACTTTTGATTTTCAAATGGCAACCTATATTAAAAATTCCATAAATAAATGGAATAGTAGTTAAAATAAATTCTGGTGTTTAAATTTTTAATTCCCGTCAATCCGTTGACGAGATGATCCACTTTTATGTTTGGGTTGGGGGAGAGTAGTGGAGCATCATTTGTGTGGCGACACAGCGCGCGACGTTTTAAGAATGTACGTATCACTTTCGGAGATAATGAGTGTCTTACGATAGATGACACCCTGTATAGTTATTATTCGCGTTGTTTTTTCACCTTATAACTAAAAATTATCAAAAATAAAACCTATGTATCGTCATTTGTAGTCAGTTTTTTTAAAAAATGAACAATTTTTCAAAAAAAGTAGTATAACGGGGCGAAAAATTTGCGACTTTTTAGAAACGGTGTCGAAAATTCGGAGCATTTTTATCAAGAAAAAAAAAACAAACCGTTTTCAAAAAATGGACCTATAGGGGTTGAATTTTTCGGGAATTAATAATATTATATTATATTGAATTTTATTAATCAGATTTGTAGTTTTCTTACGGGTCCTATACGCCACTGTTCGGCGCATTTATATTAGATTTTTTAATAAGTACGGTATGCTAGTATAATCGTATAAATAAAAATGTTGTCATTCGTGTTGAACTTTTCTTTGCGAATAATAATACTCGTCATAATAATAATATTTACGTTGGGCTGTCCGTCGTCACAACACTTGGCCGGCAACGAATACTCGGCGTCCGCATCCGACACGGCGATATTGGCCGTCGATGGTTCAGGATGCCGTTCGCGTTCGCCAGCGGCCACCGTGTATGGCAATTCCGTAGGGAAAACTTGATCCCAGTACTGGTCCCTGATCAGTTCGGGATGTTCGTGATGCATTTCGTCGACGATCAGATAGGACACCTATATTTTCAAAATAAGGCGAACAAAAATATATATATATAATAGTTTATAATTTTAGTCAAGTTATTAGGCATATTATATGAATCTGCTATAGTGATGGACACAACCGCAGTCGATAACAACCACTGGGTTGTTATCGAACTATACGATAGTTATTCGCATTTGAACTATTTGATAAATTAAAAACTATAAGAATTGTTTTTCGAAAAAATCCAATAATTTTTCCGGAAAACATTCGATAGTTCATTCAAACTATAACGATAGTATATATAATTCGGAAGTAACCATCACTATGGTATATACTTGTCAAGAATATCATTTGATAGAGTAGATATTCAGTATGATAATGTGTGAAACTCTTCGTGAGGTATATAGTGAGAAAAACACGGAATGTTTAATTGGTAGTCGTCAGGACCAGAGTTATTCTCACTCACAACTCGGTCAACGGGGGCCGGATTAAGCGTCGAGTGAGCCCCGAGGCCGAACTTGAAAATAAATTATCTTTTTAAACATAATTTACAAATGACGACATCAGTCATTAATCAATTTATATCTTTTGATCCTTCTGGCACGACCCCCCCCGCCACTCCTCTGAATTAATCTAGTCTAGATGTATAATATCTAAATAATAGTATACTATTGTAGGTACTGTTACACAATAACAGATGATGAACACAGAACGAAAATACATCCAAGGAAATTCGACAAAACACCAATAGATGATAGGCAGTTTGTAAAAATGTCCATTAAAAATTGTGTATATTTATAGGTATGTAAAAAAAACTTACTTACACCGTTTACTTATATTTTATACAAATATCCACATTATAAATACCTTACATACAAATATTATTATTATGCCTAAACTATTGTACGTAGACATCATGCACATGGGCACCATTATCAGGGAGGGACCTAATAAAATCAAAAATCAGAGAATACTTTAAATATAATCATATCAATTGATTATTAAAATTACATTTGAGGGCAGATGCCTCGTCTTGCCCCCTCACCCCGGGCGCCCATGCGTAGATATAAAACTGAATTTTGATAATAATAATATAGTATATAGTCATATACTTGGGTAATATGAATCGTAAAATAAGCAAAAGCCGAAGATTATTATATAGCAAGAAAGTTTGAAATATAAAAAAAATATATTATTAAAAGTGTCTACAATACGATTATTATGAAAATAAATATAACGCAAATCGATTTTGCCATTATTTATTGCCCGCACAATAATAATTTACGATTTTTCGTTCTGCGTCTAGGAATCAAGTGCGTATTCTGAACTTTTCTTCGGGTGAGGGTACAGCCAGTTTTTTATTCATAAACAGCGTTCCAAAGCTTCATAGCTCATCCTACTTATATTTAATAACACACACACACTTGGTGGGGCTTTACTACCAATAAATACGTCCCCATATAGACAAATATGGAGCTGCAGGTAAAATATAAAAGTAGAAAATATATATATAATTTTTTTTTTTTTTTGCATACTTGGACGTTACGGTCTACAATCCAGTTCACTTCAAAGTCGTCGTCGTCCTCGCCGAACGGATTTATCAGCGATTCGGCCACTTTGAGCCATCCCATGTAAAAGAAAAACTGTAGAGTAGTAAATACGGGAAAATACAAATCAATGTAATTGTAATTCGCCGGACTCGAGTCTGCTTGTTTTAAATTGGCCAGCGGTTTCAGGGGTTTGTCCAACCATTGTCGTCCCATGACAGTTGTAATGAAAAATGAATAAACGGCCAGAGTGACTACCTGGTAAAGCGAAAAAAAAAATCGTAAGAATTATTATAAGTAACACATTTTCCCGATTTCGTTCAATTAAATTATTTTTAATGTATCGTACACTTGTTTACTAGTTCCGTTCGTTTTACAATAAGATTTTGCGACAAATGATATTTATGTCAATACTCACACATATACTCACTACACTTAAATTATCTTGAAATCTTTTTTGAAAGAATAATTTTCATTCGTCGAGAATAAAACTCCTGATTTCAACAAAATGTTCGATACACAAATATCATTTATATACGTGAGTTTTTATAAACCATTACGAGTGTGTTATATTATATCCGAAATGTATACGGATCGGTTCGGAATTGATTGGGAGAAGTTTTTTCGAATTTTTCTACGACTAATTGTTTAATTTTGGAAAAGTTGATGACTAGAATTATATTGATACGAAGTCACATGCATCTTCGGTGAAAGAAGATTTAATAAGTATATCTATACCCAAACACCTTAAATGTACCTACAGGCTCGAATTGTGCACCAGGACTAGGATCAATAATACCAAACTTTGATAAATGTAGGCGAATTAAAATGAAATTAAAATTTGTAGGTATTTGAATTTGCTAAGGAACTTACTATTAATTAGTGGTGGGAAAAACCGGATTTTTGAATTTTTGAATCCGAAATCCGAAAAATTTTTCTTAACACATATAATAATTTTAATCACAGATACCTACCAAACAAAAATTATAAATAACTGTAAATAGCCTAAAAATAGCTGGAATGTTTTGAACATTTTACTAAGTCTACAAAACGACAATATAAGTATTTTGTGAAAACTACAAGTCTCCATATTTATTTAACATTAGTTACGATAATATAAAATCATGAAATCATTACGCCGTAAATATTTATCCGTTTGTTTCTAAATTTTTTTCCAGTAATTATGAAAACCTGATTACAAAATCAAAAAATGATGTTGTTAAAGTATCAACTAGACAATTTTCGGATTTTGAAATCTGAAATTGGTCAAATTGGTAATTAAATAGGCTTTATATATTTGCTTTAATAATATATGTTTAATGTTGTACCGATATTTCCAGTTTTCCTACGTTTTTCCAGGTTTTCCTATGTATTATCCCGGTTTTTCACATTAGCTGGGGAAAACTGTCGGGGAAATCGAAAAATGACCTTTCTAAAGTACCTCACTGGTGAAATTTCTTTTTAGAAACATTGCTATCCTTAAAAGTTGGAACAAACTTACTGGTAGAAAAATTGTGCTCAGAAAAATAGAAGGCCGTAATATATTTTAACTATTACCTACATTTCTTATATTTTCCCGTTTTTTTCTTTATTTTTCACATTTGAGAAGAAACTCTTAAGAAAATCGAAAAATGACTTTCTTAAAGTACTACCCTATGCCGATTTCCTTTCAGAAATCCGAGCAAGTTAGTCTTCGGGTAGAAAAGTTTCGCACAGATAAAAAATAAAAAACATCTTTATTGAACCATAAGCTTCTTCGCCCCACTCAGAATCTAAAACTCAGTTCAAATAATATGGAGAAATATTCGTAGACATACATATACACACATAGTAATTTTAATTGTGTAAACTATGAATGTTATGCTTGCGAAACATACGCACAACAGTCTTAAACCTCAGTCATTACGTTAGTACTAATATAATATGAGTATAGTTATGTAGTTATTATTTGAAATGTTTTAATCGATTTGTATGATATATAGGTATATGATGGTATATGGCATGATTTATAATTGCGTTTCCTCTTCTAATTGTATGCGCGTGCAGCAATTAGACGTACTCGTATTAATATCGTACTTGCAACCGTAAAAATATAACCGCTTATTTTAATAATAGGAATAGGTATTAGGTACAATATATTAATATTAATGACCAGTATATGCATATACTACATAGTATGTACGTTTTAAAAGTTCCGAAATATTCCTATGTATTATATACGATCGTTACAATATATTGAACTCGAGGACGCGCTAGTGTGGTACATCCGTACCTCAGTGATTCTATTGTGTAGGCTATTTTCTCGACATTTTTGGAAAACCGAAATTCGATCGACTCTAAAATATTCAAATTATTTTTCAGTTTAGTTTTGCTACGAAGGCGGGGGGTACATAAATCCTAAATACACCATTGATTGATTAGGTTACACGTGTACGAAAATTAATAGGTATACAATTAACTAAATATAATGTATACGTTACCTGCGTGTAAACCAAAGGTACGCTTATTGAGTCGTAATTGAGTAGTTTACCGCATTTACCGCGAAAAATGTTCAACTCATCAATGATCGTTTTTACCGCGAAATCGTCACGGATCCGTCCCTCTTTCCTGGCCCGGGTCACGATACTGGCCGCCCACACCACCGGCAACCAGTGTTTGGAATGTCTCGGGAATTTGTCATTTAAATCCAATATAATTGTTTTTTCGTTCTCCAACAACAAACCTATAATATAAAAACGACGATAATAATATCCTAATAGCACACGACACATGGAAAATCCGGTGTCGGTCCAGGAGTTAGGACCTGACACCGGAAGCATGCAATAGGTGGGAGCATTAGCACCAAATCAGTTTTGAAATTGTCTAGTCAATAGTCCTTACTGTTGGTTATATACATCGTCAACCTAAATAAGTAGGCTATAAATAGAACAATAGGGGTAGTTTCGTCATTCAACTCTCCGACGTTTATATTCTATATTTATCAAAATTGCTCATTATTAAGAATCATGCAATTTTACTTATGTCATTGCATATTTTTATCACAATTTAATTTGTTTTTGGATGCTGTAAAATCATATTTCTAACTCCTAAGTCAAAGTTAAAAAAACTATTATAAAATATGACCACCGTCAGTTTTAAAATAAATCTTAACCGATTCCACAATGATTAAAAATACAGAAATTAAATTAATTTAAAATCCTCACAGAAAATGACCGGTTTATAAAAAATATAACCCTGTATAATATTTGTTGTTTACTTTAAAATAACTAGTTCGTAATTTAGTTTTTTGAAATTTTTGACTAGGTAAATTATACAAATATGAAAACAACATGTTTTATTTCTTAAAACGTTTACTCCTTTTACACCTTAGGATAGATTAATGCTTATGAAACTTGACAAAAATGATTTATTTTATAGTTTTGAACAAATTCTGGAGACAGACTATATGTTGTGGTTGAGAAGTTGAGAAAGTAAAGAGGCAATTTAATGTATATCTGAAGGCAGCAATTATTCATTGTATTCATTGCTAACGAAAAACGATTCTGAGCGGTATTTGGTTATACCTACATGTTTTGAAAGGCCATTTCGTAAAATTTACCGTTTTTCCTACGTTTTTTTTTTGGGTTTTCCCATTTATTATGAAAACTCCAGTAAAATTTCCTTTCAGAACGGGTGCTAAACTTGAAAATTAAAGTAAAATGTTTGGTAAAAATTTGTCCACAGAAAAAAAATCAAAAAATAAACATCATTGTAAAACCAATGTCCCCATCATCTATATGCTGAGAACCACCCTATAATATGTATACATTGTAAATTTGTAAATTGTAAATTACCGCAGTAATGCTATAATCAAAAAATGTTACACGTACCGGCCTCGACGAAATGATCTAGTGTAGGGAACCGTTTCTTCACTCTCGGGCTGATATTAGTGAACACCATTGTCAGTCCCAAACAGACGTACCGCATGATTGTCCGTCTCATCAATCTTCCCCGTTCGTCCTTATATAAAATTTAACATATTAAGTGTGTAATTATACGAATATCCTTTAACGCAAATGTAACGAATTCGTACTTGTCCGTGAATATGTGCACTAACGTACACCGCTATGGGATCCGGCCACGGAATCGAACAATATTGATCCCACCACCGTTGCATTATTATGGATATATAAAAGCCCAGTACAAAGGACAGCGGAATCAAGTCGCTGTACTTATCGCAATATTCCGTTACGCTTTCAAATATTCTTAAACGAAACATATATATTTTTAGTACAAACATATTACAAACTATTACGGTACCTATTCAAGTATGTCAGACACAAATATATTTGTTTTTTTTTTTTGAACACACTTACTAAATTAATGTGATATAAATTATTTGAATTTATGAGTAGGTATCTATATTTACATTTGAAAAACGAAAGATAAAAACATTTTTAATATTACGAGTATATACGATTCATAAGTCGTTTCTTAATCAATAAAATAACACTTCAATACGATTCTCAAACTTTAGAAGCTTTACCAAATGCTTTGTGTATATAATACTACCTATACATTGTTATTATAGTCACAATACTTATACAATACCACATATTACTTATACAAAATGTCTATATTTTTATTAAATTACAATTATAATAATACATTTAAATCGAATTAATGATCGTTAAAGAAGAAAACTATATTAAAATATATACGATCACATAAATATCTACCTATTTTATGAAATTAAAAGGTAGTGTTATGAATTTATGAATATGATTTTAAATTCAAATTACGTAGGTATGTAGTACAGGTTATATATTGCTATAATTTATCAAGGTATAACATCTATAATTAATGTTTGTACACAATTATATTGATTTTGGTGTCAATACTGTAATAATTTATTTATTATTAATAAATTGTTGACAATTTCGTTGACAATAAATACTTATTATACATGGAAATTAATTTTCCAAAGCAGATAAAATAAGGACTAGAAGAAAAATAATGAAAATATTTATTAATAAAGTAATAAATAATGCATTTTTTTTACATTCAAATTTAATTTGGGGAATTATTCTGACCTATAAAGAGTATAATGCAGTGAGAGACCGATGGAATCGAATAGAGACGGCAGTGATGGGACTTCAAGGCCAGTTAAGTTGTTGTATTTTAATTTTTTATTGGGAGTTATCATTTATGTAAACACAGTGTATACTGATTCGTTATACTCATATACACACGAAAATATCTTACAAAATAAAAAAAAAATTGGCAAATGCGCTATTATTGAATAAATAAATAAATAAATGTATGTATGTAGACAAGAATCGTTTTCAGTTTCTTGCCATTCTATTTTGGAGAAATGTTCAGAGATTTTACAGTATATAATAATAGTTATTTATACTAAATATTAATGTTATAAAACCTGTAATAAGTTATAACCAACGGAGATTTAAAATATTTTATACATCATAATTAATAATAAAATTACCGTTTTTGCTGTTCATTCAATACAAAACGATACGTCAAATTCAGAGTATAGTAGCAGATGAGAAATGCAACCAAATCGGGCCACACTAATTTGTATATACTTCCTCGCCACCTATAAAATATTACAAAATCAAGATTAAAGGTTTCCGTTCAAAAAATATATTTAATTAGCAATTAGTATACATAGTTTACACATATAAAATAATACATGAGTTTATTGTATTGAACGAGAATTTTATTTTACTATATAATATAACTATACCTATTATATACAAAATAAATAAAAAAAAAAAACGTACACAAATATTAATTGTATAAATATCTTAATAAAACAATAATGAAATAAACACTGATCAAAAATGTAGCATTGGGACAATGAGAATTTTTTTTCTGTAGAATTAGCGGTTTTTCTAGTTTTTCTCTGACTGGTGCTGAAAAAAATAAATTCTACTTACTTATATCTGATTAATAGGATAAATAATAATAATAGGAGAATATTTGTTTCAATTTGAATTGTTATTTTACCTATACAACCATCATGCGATGCTTCTATCTGTCTATACCTCCTCAGTCCTTATATTATAATAATACCTAGTCAGGTATTATTATAACAAAAAAAAAAAAAAAAAATGCTCACTCGCATTTTAACTAACCCGCACGGTGGTTTTTGTATTAACAGCCTCCAGCATTGTACACCGGATGAATAGCTGATTTCATCGATATTTTACTGAAACGAAACCAATTCTTATGCATAATATTATAGCCAACGTTGTAATATTAGAGTGAAACGTCATCGGGCGTAACACCTTACTATAGTCGTTTCGGTCTGGTTAGTTTACTATGACAATTTTTTTTTAAGAAAAAAACTGTTTCAACTGTATCCAAAATTTGCCAAGAAAAAAAAAATTAGCTCGTTAATACCACACGAAATTATTATTTTATTGTTAAATGGTAATAAGCGTATATTATGCAAAACGTAAGTATAACCTGTAGAGGTCAGTGTAGTCTGCAAATAAATGGGCAAAGTTGATAGTTTTGTCTTCGTTTATCAGCTGTATCATAATCTAATTATGCATACTGTTCTTAAACCGGTTTTTTTTTCAATTCGCAAACACCTGTAGTAATATTGTTTAGGTGGGTACAAAATAAGTACGATTTACAATTGTAACGTCATCATAATCGTCGGTGATCCCCATGAGTTAGAAGAACGCTATATGGTTTTTACCATATCATATGGGTATAAAGGCGGCATTCCATTGACACTCTAACGATAAGATAACGATATGATTGGATGAATAATATCATAACCATAATTATTTGGGTACCACGAAAATCCACGTTACCGTTTATTACCATAAAGTTGAAAATATTAAACTATTCACCGCGTGGTTATAATATTGTTATCATAATACCCATGACAATCAAATACGACCATATTCGCGTGTTCGATTTTTTTCTTACTTTCGTTACAAATACAAGTATTAATTTTATGCTACAATGTTATTTTACGCTACTTTAAATAATTAATCGTTTGTTTAATTTATTTATCTCTACCTCGTATGATGTACCAAATAGATCTAAAATAACTGCTAATATTATATATTTTTTTTTTTTTTTACATTTTGAATTACATTGTTTATAATACATTGCCATATCCATATCATGTTTACGTTTAAACATAGCTACTGAATAGTAAATATTGATTGTTATTAATATATTCAATAAAAATATATAACTCTTGTTTTTAGACTGAAAATGTAGACTTAAATTCGTATTTCAGTAATCCGCCATCAACATATTATTTGAATTGTCAAAGGTCCAAATTAGTTAGGTAATCAGTAAAACACATATTGTGGTAACTCGGTAAAATATCGAAAGATATTATACGGTCACACTATAGATAATTAATGAACGGATAGACCACAGGTTATAATTTTTTGGTTTATGAATTATGAATAATAAGAAACTGAGAACATGTTTTTTCTTTCCGCGACACAAATATTTTGGAATAATACAAGTTAAAATCTTACTGATATTATAAACTTATAAGTTAAAAAAAATAAAACTGATTTTAAACCGTAGATATTATAATGTCTGTTTCAAGCATAGATAATAAATGATAATTCCGGGTAGTAACGGCGGAAATAATGATAAATTTATTATATTATCAAAATACGTATTAATAATAATAATAGTACATTTGTTTAACTTGGCTGGACATTAAACACTGGATTAGAAACAATTTGTTGAGTTAGCTTATTGGTTTATTAAATAATAATCATATTGTTTAAAACAATTTTAAGAATAATAATTGTTGTGAACTACTGTAATAGTCACGTGAAAGTCGATATGCCAAATAATTAATCATCTGGCTACTACTGTGTATTTATTATTTAAATATACTATCGATTTTTTTCAAACGTAAATGTATAGATTCTGAGCAAAGCAAAGAATGTATTGGTTTTGGTAGTTTTAGAATGATGTCCCTGTTTTAATAATGAAAGAAAAACTGCATTTCACTTAGTGAATTTTTTGGATTTATATAAATATCATTTTTTTGACCAAGCGAACATGTTCAAAAATTTAACATTATGGAAATTATTAAAAACATGGCATTTTTATAATTATTTTCTGTCTATACACAACTATTATGTACCAGAAATATTGCTCCGACCATAAATTTCGGGGATGGTTTCTTTCTAGAAATCGTGTCTTATTGGTGCACAGAGAAATCATTGTTTTTTTTTCCTTTTGTTTTTCTTAATAATTTTTTTTAATGTCTTTATTTTTCATAAACTTACTAAAAGCATATTTAGAATAACTATTGTAGAAATATTGAGTTTCATGTTTATATGAATGTAACAATTTTATAGAAAAAACGTTTGAACATAATAACATGTAATAAAATAATATTATACATCATTTGTATTTGTTGATTATTTTAAAATGTTTATTTGGCATATAGCTTCTCATAAATTTTACACCTGTGTGTGGAAATATATTTGAAACAGTATAACGTCCACTACAAACACGAGAAATAATATTCAAAAACATTGCAAATAATTATCAACATGAACTTCACACACAATTTGTTGAATTGTGATTATTTTTCAACATATTATGCTATCATAGTAAAAACACTAAAAACTTAGTAAAAATCATAGTGAATATATGCATTCATGTCATGTATTGAAAATTAACGCAGTACTCATTTTTTTTTTTTTACAAATTTCCTACACGTGTATTAATTTCCATTGATAAACTCAATATAAGATACATTATGCGTAGGTATATTTTCGAATGAAGAAAATAACATTGAATACCAATATTTTATTTATTTATTATTTTTTTTTTAAGCAAGGAAAGCTTGGTTTAATATTACGTTTTTCATATTACTATATACAAATACCTTCACATTTTTTTTTTTTTTTTTATAAGAGGACGTTATACTTACATCTACTATCTCAGTCCAACTACTGGGTAATATGCAAAAACAATGCTTACGCAGAATAATTAAAACTACCTTAATTTTCAGGAGCGTACCTAGTAGGTAGATCTGGGCCTACTTAGATTTTCTATAAAAATATTAAAAAAAAAACAATTACATATAAAATAATATACTTGAATTTACAATAGTATTAGTACTTCTGATTAGATATTTGTAAATAACCGGTGAGAAAATAATTTGTTGACAGTGAAAAATTATGTAATTTGCAAAACTTTTTAAATTTATCATTTCATAATTCTGATGAATTTTTTATTAAATTAAAATATCAATGTTCATTGGGTGAAACATTATTTTCATCTAGTTCTGGTCTTTTTGACTTGTTTTATCAAGTACAAAGTTATCAAGTTCAATTTGAAGAATTAAAAAAATAATTGAACTAGTTATTATATTTCCTGTATTTATAGTGTTTTAGCTGAAAGTTCTAGACTAAATTATTTGATGTTAATTTCCATAGAAAGGTAAATAAAAGGAAAATTTATGGATGTTTACGGATGTGAATTTACGGGTGTTATTGATGAGTTCACTATCATAAATTATGATGATTGGAATTTTTACTTTAAAAATATTTTATAAATGGACAATATATATACTACCTATGAATTACGAGTACAGTAATCATAATTTTATGTTGTTAAACACTCTTGTATGGTTCAATTTGTTTTAAGTTATAAATTATAAATAAGAATTGTCATTGATATCTTTGAACTTATGGGAGACTAATACAAAAATTGGGAGAAGTCTCCACTTCTGTTTATGAGTAGAAGGCTTATTGTGGGCCTACCTAACAAAAGATTCCTAGCGACGCCCCTGTTAATTTTGATTTAAGAGTAAAAATACCAATTATGAAATGTATAGACAACAATATTTTGGAGGCAATATCATAGGGTTTGATATTATTCAAAATATACAAAACCTTTTTTTTTTTTATGGTTTTTAAATAACTGTAACTTTTTATAGTTCATAATTCCAAAAACACCTACGACATTGCCTTCAAAATATTGTTCTTTACAAATTTCATAATAGGTGAGAACTTTTACTTTAAAATCAAAATTAAGCTAGTTTTACTTATTCTGCGTAAGCATTATTATTGCATGTTACCCGATAGTTATCGGACTGAGACAGTAAATGCGGGCATAACGTCCTCTTAAGTAAACATTTTTATTCGTACACTCAGAAATCTATCTCCATACTATAACGATTTCAAGGGCATTACATTGTACATAGATAATATTTTTTTTTAAAAGCGTTCGATAGTCGTCATGTTAGAATATTAAATAAGTAAAAAAAAAAAAAAAAAAAAAACCATTGATCATCGTTAAAACAACGCCAACCGAAACGAATATAATTCACCATTATATATACCGATAATACACGTAAATAGCATTCTAAATGATAGAACCGTTCACAAACTCAGATCATCCGTAAAATAGTAAGTACAAAGTATATAGGTATGAAAAAAAAATATAATATATATAACACGAAAGAGTTCGGCTGTTCGGGGCGCATTGAACTGCAGGTACCTATACAAATAGGTATACAATGTGTATATACAAGTAAATAAGTACCCGTCGTATTTTATTTGTTTCAAAACAATTAATGTTTTATACAAATAGTAGATATTATGTAGATACGTGTAGTGTTTTATACTATATACACGCAGATATATAATATAGTAGGTATGTATAATAATAATAATATTATAATTTATAAGTGTTATTCTATTCTAGTTATGTATTATGCGTGCATAGGTTAGGTTAGGTTAGGTTTGACATAGGTGTCTGAACGTTTTGTTATTAATTATTATCATTATAAAATTTGTTGCGAATAACCGCAAATTCTATCAATCATCGTATGTTATGTTTTATATACAATAATAATATTATACTTCTCGAACTCCTGAAGGTTTTTTTTTTTTTTTTATTTCCACGACAATGACTTGGCGCTATCAGTTTACAGCGTATACCTACCTACCTGTATTTTATTATCGGTTCTATTATGCACTATAACTGCAATTAAAAATCATTTATTGTTGTACAATAAAAATAAGGATGTTATCTACTATGTAAGCAGCCTACCTTATTAAATAAGGCAGGTATTATTTTAACTCGACTCGATACTATATTTATATTATTTACCTGCGTATTATTCCGTACAGGAAATTTATGACAAATAATGACAACGATTTAATTGTTTAATATTGTGTTTGTGCAAGTGTATAAAACATAACAATTCTCGTACTCGTATAACAGATATTACATACAGAGTGTTCTATGAAGACATGCCCATTGCAATATCTCCGGAGATAATAAAGATAATCAAATTCTGTTTTGTTTTTTTTTTAATATATATTTATATTACATAATATACAGGTGATAAATTCTTACGAAAACACTCATTATCTCGGAAAATATTACATTTATCATCAGTAATTTTATTTTTTAGACAATTTAAAAAACGGTTCTCAAATATTTTATTACAGTTGTTTTTTGTCACCCGTATTTTTGGTAGATGAAACCACTACCAATTTTTGATTTTTAAATAACAACTTATATTAAAAATTTCATAAATAGATGAACTTTTACTTTAAATATATTTTGATGTTGACGTTTTTAATCATCGTCAACCCGTTGACGAGATGTTTCACTTTTAAGTTTGTATAAGAGGAGAGTAGTGGAACATTGGTTCAAACGTCGCCCACCGCGTCGTCACACAAATAATGTTCCATTGATTCATTACTAACTCTCCCATTAACCAAATTTGTTTTATCTCGTCCACAGATTTGACGGAAATTAAAAATATCAACACAAAAATGCATCTTAACTAAAACCTAATCTAGTTACGAGATCCCCCTCAAAAAAAAAAAAAAAAACGATAATTTAACATTGTAATCTGTTTGAATCATAAATTATTTAAAAAAAAAAAACTCAAAATAAGTTAATACTCTCCGAGGTAATGAGTGTCTTATCGAAAATTGATACTTACACCTAACGCACTATAAAGTGAATAATTATCAAATGATAACAATCCCCAATCAATATTATTATGTATACGTTAGAATATTATATGTTTAACATGGACCATAATATAATATAGATATTATATTTGTAATATTTTTTTTATTTTCCTTTGTTAAAACGATAATACACATTATATAATGTTTTAACTATAAGACGATACTTTGTCAGATGATATGTATAAACAAAGATAAGTAATTGACTTCGATTATCGAAGTCATTTTTCATTATTCCCAGTTCGATGGCTCGAAAATTATTAAAAGCTATAAAAAATAATATCAGAATGAAATTCAAACAAGTTAAGATGACTAACTATGACATATTATACTCAGAATTTAATTCTTGCCTATTGAATTTTGCTTAGTCGTTTTTTCAACGCTAATCGTATATGACTTATCACCGTTATGTTTTTTGTGATACTTAAAACAATTAATTGCCCGGTACTGATACATTCCCGTGAAGGCTTTTTAAAACTATAACGTTGTATCAGGTATACCGGATGATCCATTTAAGTGGGTACACTCATTAGTTAAAATAAATTTTAATCTTGAAAATTTTGATTTCCGTTGATCCGTTGACGAGATATTATACTTTTAAGTTTGGGTTGGAGGAGAGTAGTGTAGTGTCATTTGTGTGGTAGTACGGCACGTGGCATGCAGTTATTAATGCACCACTATTCTCTTACAACCTAAAATTAAAAGTGGAATATCTCGTCAAAGGATCGACCAAAATCAACACTCAAATTTATTTTAATGAATACTCCAACTATTTATGGACTTTTTAATATAGGTTACCGTTTGAAAATCAAAAGTAGGTAGTTTGTTTACCCCAAAAAATAACATAAATATAAAATCGTAGAGCAGCTTGTTTCTTAAATGTTCTAGAAAACAAATCCCAGAAAAAGTTAATACTTTCTGAGATAATGAGTGTAACCACTTAAATGGACCACCTGGTTCATATTTAAATACGTTGTATTATAATTTCTCAAAAAAAAAAAAAAAAATCGAATTTTATGACAGTATCACGTGTACGAGTATATAGAACGCGAAAACTTAATAATCAGTCATTAATTTAATAGCATTTTGAAAATTTTCTTATTTTGATTAGATCAAAATTTGTTCCAATTAAAAATTTTTTTTAAACTCCCTTTTTACTACCGATTTATATAACGACCGAAAGAAAAATTTCGAGTATTAGCATACATATACATTTTGGTATAATATTTGTCTTTGTAAACGTGTTTTATAAAAAATACATATTTTTTTTTAGATTTAATTCCCTTTCTCCCCGGAAATGTGAATTCAAATAATGCTTAGATGAATATATTATTTGTCTAATAGACAAGTCTTACTCGTTTCTTTTAGAAAACTGTTGGATGTATCTTAGTTTGTTCTGAATATTCTTGGGCAGTTATACAAATTATTTACAATGCGATGCGGATTTAGACGCATTGACTCGGTTTTACATATCAATAGATTGCTCTATATTTCGTTTTGTATTTTTTTTTTTTTTTATGATTTTTTATGTTTCAAATGTTAAAGTGTGTACGAATAACTGTATAGAAATTTTGTAATAGTTATTTAATAAAATATTTTGTAAAGAGAATTGAGAAAACTTGTTTAAAATCATGTTATACATTATTAAAATATTGTATATATGAAGTCGAAGAAATTAAATGACGTTCTTTAATAATATATTAGTTTTTCAACCAGTTACTAAACAAGTTCAACAAGTACTAAACACAAATTTTTTAATCTAAAGTAGGTATACATCATGTTGGAATAAATAACACAAATTCGTAGTTAGCAGCTGCTGATAAAGTCGAGACTTTAGTTAATTTTTAAATTAAATAATGTATAAATAAAATTTATGCAAATTTGGTATAAGTACATCAATAAGGATGTTTAGGATATTTGACGATTTTTAAAAATATCCATAGGTAATTCGGCTGATTTAACGAAACCGTCTAGCGACACTTATCAAAATGATTTTACTGCTTAATCCTATAATTATAATATGATGTCATTTATGAGTATTGCAATTGCAATAATAATGTGTTTATTAAATTATATTTTTCACGAAATAATCGCCAAACGTTATTGAAATATCAAGTGTTGATATTCGATATCGACCAGAATGACAATTTTGCGATTAAAAAATATACCTTATATAGCTATATTTATAATATTAATAAAGTAAAAAGTATTTTTTTTTTATGTAGGTTATCGTCGTAATATTAATGTTTTAAAACTCGTAGTTTTTGTCACTGTACCATTTTGTATGTAGACGGGTAGGTACACATATTTATATTTAAATAATTTTTAATTCGCGACGCAACTTATACAACAATATTGGTTTTAAACAATTTGAATAATTCTATATAATATATATATATATATATGTAAGTATGTGAAGTATAAAATGTATAGATAATATTTTTAAAAGTGTACTTGAAGTATTAGGAGGATTTAAAATAGCCGTTGTCCGCAAAAGTACATATGAATACGAAAAAATATAAAAATAATATTATATGGTGATAAGGATTTTACTTACGACTTTAATTGTGAATAGTTATTAAGAGGACGTTATACCCGCATCTACTGTCTCAGTCTAACTACCGGGTAACATACAAAAACAATGCTTACTTAAATTAAGCAAAACTAGTTTAATTTTGATTTTTAGAGCAAAAGTATCTATTATGAAATTTATATAGAACAATATTTTGAAGGGAATGTTAAAATATACAGCTCGATATAAACGATACAAAAACTTTAATTTTTAGTTCATAATTCAAAAAACACCTATTACATCCTTCCAAAATATTGTTCTATATAAATTTCATAATAGATACTTTTGCTCTAAAAATCAAAATTAAACTAGATTTGCTTATTTTAAGTAAGCATTGTTTTTGTGTGTTACCCGGTAGTTGGACTGTGACAGTAGATGTAGGTATAACGTCCTTTTTAATAATAATTATTATTTATTAATAATGGACAACATAGAAACGAAGGCATGACACTCGGGTTTGTTTTTGTATCATTCTAAATATACAGCTCGATATAAAAGGCAACACAAACATTTTTTTTTTTAGGTATTTAAATAACTGTTACCTTTTTTTAATAATTCATAATTCAAAAACCTCCCATGACATTCCCTCCGAATTATTTTTCTTTATACATTTCATGATAGGTAATTTTATTATAAAATTAAAATCAAGCTAGTTTTACTTAGTCTGCGTCCTAATTGGTTCGAAAATAGGTATTTGAGACCTAATATTACCCTAAAGTAGGTCCGTTTGCCCTAAACTAAACCAAAGTCGCAATCGTTGAAGCGGGAAATGTATTTGTTGCTTAATTACGAGTAAGACAAACTGAGTAAACAAGTTATGATTAGAGGACCCTTAACCGACACACTATTATAGGAATTCTTCTTCTTCTATTCCTTTGGCTGCATTTCAACTATTTGGGGTTGGCCACTCTTGTTCTAAACTTCTACTTGACCCGGTCTTCCACCTCACATACACTATCTTCATATCATTCACAATCGAATGATCCAACTATCCAATCACATTTAATCCCGTAATTTACATCCCTATGAAAGCCACCGCTCTTTTGTATAAAACATCCTAAGTACCGAAAATAATAGGAGAATTCACTTTACTATTAAAACTAACAGCACAAAATTGGTTTCGCTGAACGCACATTTGCTATATCGTCCGTCTACGGACATAATGTTTGCGAATATAGCGTCCACTTAAATTCGACACGATTTTCGAAACCTAAACACGAACAAAATATATTATAAGTACCTATATAATTATTATATATTATTATTATTGAAAAGAATGTAGTGACAAAGAAAAATAAAATATCTGAGCATTAGATATACGTACACGGTATCCATCCTACATTCATTAAAACTATTCAACATAGGAAATATACGAGTACTGCACGACCTTGATAATAATTCCCCCTCCCACTGCCAGCTATTCGTATAGAAATGTAAAATTAAAAGATTATTGAAAATAACATAATATATAGGTACCTAGGTATCTTATCTGTTTACGTGTTTTCATTTGTTTGAACAAAATTATCCTATTTCCCAGAGAAAAATATAAAATATATCAGCTGTAAAAAATATTTTCATTACTTATCTACAATTTATTTAGGTAGTTAGATATTTTTATGTAAAACACGGCCTTTAATAGGATAACTGTCCGTTCATAGACGGGTTGTCAATTTGGGGTTGTATAATTATACATTTTCAATATTGATAAGATAATAGTTGTAATCAAGGTTGCGAAAAATAGGTTTTTTTTTTGTAAATATCATTACAATATCATAGTAAATTATAGATAGAATGCTCTCATAATTATTTTACAACAAAATAACTATAGAAAAAGAAAAAATTTCTTATCCGAAATTGTTTATTTTCATTTGTAAATTTCAATGTCACTCTTCAGAAAATCAAACTATTCCTACTGTTTGGATATGTTTTTGTTAGAATTTTACACCCGTCACTATTTATTTTTGGTAATGATACACGCGCGTGTCTTTCCGATATCAAAATTTAAACGATCAATAATCGGAACCGAATTTATTTCCGCGTTCGTATCGTATGCATGCGATATACATACCTGACTCGACTCTGTAAAGAATGAAGTCAGTTGTTTATTTTTTTTCTGACAAGCACACGATCATAATGAAATATTGTGTTATTAAAACCGGTGTATGTAGTAGGTACGATCACTTCTCCAGTTCAAGGTTAAACACGCACACTCGCAGAAAAGCGGCACGAACAAAGCTATTATCTTTACATTAATTCGCATGGTCCTTCGTGTAGGCCAACGAACGAGTGAAATAATAACAAATTTGTGATGATGGAACTTTGAGCGAGAGGCCCGGAAACGGGGCACCACCGAACTATAATATTATTACACTGCGGATAGGTACTATAAACTCAATAACAGACAGGCCGGTGCACCGCAGGAATTCCGTATATAATTACGAAAAACCAGATCAGAGTGTCATTATTGACGATGATAATTTTTATTTCAAGATTATAGGTAGTACCTACCTACCGAGATAAATATAATACACGACTGTACAACGGCGGATTTCGAAATGTAAAAAAAAAAAAACCGAGAGATATACTTACTATAATAATATGGAATTAATTTTTAACGCGTTATACGACTATACGCGAGGTTTCGCGTGGGATTTTTTTACATGCACCTATCTGGTCGTAGTTTGAACGTCTAATTTGTTTCGTGTATTCGTGTACCGTTTATGTGGAATAGATGAATACCGTCGGGCTTAGAGGGATAAACCATGTACCTGTAACTTGTCCGCCCTCGAATCGTCTCCCGCGCATTTAAAATTAGAAAAAAACGAAAAAAAATGTTATTCGAATCGCTTCTCAGTTTGATATTTCGTTCAATATCAAGGTGCATTAAATTTGTCATACTTTTTGTTGCCGGTTTCGCTTTCTATCAATCGTGATAATTCTATTATAAACCGGTTTTTGGGAGATTACTGGAAATTACCGTGTATTACGCACGCGTACATCCGAAGCTAATGAGAAACGTCCGAAGGCGCAATGGAAATTACGCAATTACGCGTCATACGTAGGACTCGCAGTGTTCGTACGAACAAAATCGAAAATTTCGCGGAAATGTTTATAATTCCCCCGCCGCGTTCAATACGCCGGAAAATGTACAGGCAGACGTTCGGCGAGCAGGCGTTTTGGCTGTTGCGCCTGTACGGGCACGTGCTGACGGTACGTATTATTTTGTATTCGCAATACCGACCATGGAAATTATTTTACCGGATCCGTGTGGTCACTAACGCGAATGGCGCGCGGGACGGCGCTGATTCGGATCGGAATAGACGGATTTATGCCTGGATTTGAGAGGGCGGTACGCGGAACGTTGTTGTCGAGGAACAGGAAAAACTGTTCCGAGTTCCCGACAAAGGTACCGGGTTCATTACGTGTAATACCGTTAACTTTACCCGGCCAATGCACTGGCGACACTCGGTCCGTTCAATCAGAAATGTACAGCTGCACCAGGAGGCAGAAACGCTGGGATCGGGGCGTCGGGGGAAGGGTTCGTACGCAATTAGATAATATACAAACAAGAGCTGATACTGGGTACGATGGGGGGGGGGTGCCACTGTTGTAGGTGCGAAGTCGGGAAGGTAGGTACACAAAGCTATTCAATTTATGTACGTCATACCTGTAAGAAATGATAAACCGTCGCTGACGAAAAACGATTCGGAATGAACTTCAGTTAAAAGGCCGTTATGTTTACGATTTTCGTCAAAAATAATTGATTTTAAAACTCGTATAAAATAAAATACTAGTGTAATATAACACTCAGTTTTTTTTTACCGTCAATCCCGGTTTAAAATTAACCTTCTGTCAAATTTTCAAACATTTCCGTTTAGTCTAACAATTTTATCTACATAGTAAGTACCTATCTACCAAATAAAAATTGTTTTCCGGTTTTTCCCAATTATTGTGAAAACCTTTTGGTAAATCAAAAAATGACCTTCCAATGCACCAAGTATATAAAATTTCCTTGCAGAAAAGGTTAATGCACTTGATACATCAGAGCAAGATTTCTGGTAGAAGTTCGGTCAGACAAAAAAAAAAAAAAAACACACGTATCATGGTAATCCGCCACGCTCCGAATCTAAAATAAATAAATAATTAGGCTGGAATTATTTTTATGTATTTTTTTTTTTTCGTGCGTTTATAGTAAAATCCGGACAAAATGACCTCTTTGAGTTTGTAAATAATTAGTCACTGTAAGTCGCATAATATTGTGATTACCCGTTATAATTTATACCCGATAAGTCAACAAAAAGCCAACAGATACGTCCCATAAAAGTCACGCCACCAGTAGGCGGGTAACTACTATACTGAGTACCGACTTAATTACGATAGGTACCTTACCTAGTGTTTTATGTCCCGTTTTACAATTGTATTGCAGTGTACACACATTAAACACGCGGTATAATATGCAAATAAAACGTCGAAAAATATTCGAGTCGAACATTATCGTAATATACGTATGTAAATTAACGCGACGGTTGCGAAAAGAAAAGAAAAAAAAAATCGTACCCGACCGTGTGGTTCGTCGTTGTAATAAACATTATTTTCGCGGCCGACCAGACGGCGGCTGTGAAGAAGGCGGGGGCATACACTACGGGGACAAACAACGGGGGGGAAAAAAAAAAAAAAAGGTACGCGCAGCGATAAAAACGCAAACGACATTTTTAACGGACACGACAAAGAATAATTATTGCGGTGTACGGACGAGGTGTCGTTCCTCAATATTCCGTCCGGGCTTATTGAACAAACGCAAACAACGGATACCCAATATTATTTATAATACATCGGTTAAAGGACGAAAAAAATAAATATTGTATTATGCTCGGTAGGTATCTGTTACGATTAAGGTTTGTGTGTGTCCATTATGTATTTCGTACCCAGTACCTAACATCAACGACAGCGGCTGTCAGCCAGCCGATGATTCAGTGGCGTACCCAAGAGATTTTACTGCGAATAAGGTCGGAGGGAACGAAACAAATTGTAATGCGTGCTTATACTTATTGCTGTAATGATTCGAGCGAAATATTTATAACGCTATGAGAGCGTAGGTACCGTCTGTAACCACGGCCTTTTACTCGGGGGGTTTTTGTCGCAAGTGATCCACACATTGAACAACAGTGTAATGCTAGGTACCTACGTATTGACCGTATTGCTTGAGCCGGATCGAATTAGCAGTGGCTTGTTGGCAATGTTTTCGAGGAGACGCGATTCCGTTGAAATGTAGGTGGTCGGTGGGCGTATTAAACAAACCAGATATATATTTTTCGATAAATAATCAATTATTAATAAATAAATAAATAAATGAATAAATAAATAAATCAAACTGATAAAAGAGGAAATTTGAATACCCCCGTTTTATGTACGTATATTATAAATAGATGTACGTAAATTTAAATAAAATTGGGCGGTATATAAAAATCTTGGCTCCTTGGGTAAACATGGCCAACAACACGTCACTACGTCTTAGTATATACACATAGCCAGTGGCGTATTTACGAGGAGGGGGTTTAGGGGGTTTACATCTCCCCAGAGGGATGCAATTAACATAGTACTAGTGGACTTGACCATCTTAATTGTATTAATGCATCCCCCACCCCACAAAACAAAAAAAAAAAGTAGTAAATATCGCTATTGTACCTATACGAATAGCACAAATGCGTAACCAGAGGCGCCAGGTCTTGAAAATGTAATGGCGTATTCACTATTTTATAAACACATACATAGTTTTACATAAATCTTACCATATATTTCCTGTTTTTATTTTCCTAAAATCGTTCGTTAAACAATTACTAAAATATATAGTTATTTGTTGTTTATTGTATGTTATAAAATTTTAATAGTGTCAGCATCGTGACAAATCACTAGACAAAAATTTAAAAATACTAGACACCAATTAACCAAGAACCTAGTTGATTACCAGAAATCTACACTTTTTCTCTGCTATCGATATCACAAAAAAAAAAAAAAACAACATGTTTATCTTTCTCAATTAACTTGTTATAAATAAAATTAATATTTGAGAATGTACGTGACAAAATTTGTTTTTTTTTTTTATAATAGGTATGAGAACCGTGGGAGACCGAGCTCATCCGTCTTATCAAGGTCATGGGGTGCTGCAGCCCCCAGAACTTCCCTGTACACGGCGTCCCCGTGTGTACCGGTTATTATTTTACGAGTAATAATAGTTTTAAATGCAGAATCAGTTTTTATATTACCCATTTCTTTTTTGTGTACACTAACACGGTCAATGGGGGGGGCTTATACACGTAAACCCCCTAGCTCTCGCGGACGACCCACTACGTCAAATCGTTCGCGACTAATGTAATAGCAAACGCACTCGGTTACAAATATAGGCAGTAAAATATAAATTCACCTCAATAACAGTTTGAGAAAACATCCGAAACCTCTGCACGTGGCCACCTCCGCGGTGTACGTAATGGTCATTGTTGTTGTTGCTGTTGTCGGTGTGTTGTTGGTATAGCCGAGGGCGCAACGGCCGGCAGAAAAAAAAAAAAAAAGAAAGAATATAGAAAAACACTACAAGAACTGCTTACAGATGGGTGGGTATATTTTTTATAATGCCGCAGACTTTTGGCGAGTACGTGATGTTATAATCGACGGTACACTCAGACAAGGCCGGATAACGGATATCGGGTTCGGTCCGGTCGCGGAGACGAAAAACAAGACGGCGGCGCCTAGCCGCTGACGACGGAGGAGGAATCGCGCGGTACGGACGCGAGCATCGCCGGCCGAAAAAAAAAAAAAAAAAAAAAAACAAACACGTTCGACGAAAACAATAATAAAATGGTACGGATAACAAACGGATGGACAAAACGAATAGATGGGGGGGGGGGAAACGAAACAAAAATACCCTCGGTTTCTGTGAAAACGGTCGTCGCGGGTTTGTTTCGAAATACCGTTCTCGCGTCGCCCGGATATTAATTATCTTCGGCGGGACGATGACAATAACGCGCCGTCAAACGCCATCGCGTCTGTCCGGAGTCTCCGGGGTGCGAACGGGGCGAACGGTGCGAACGGCGCGGACGCTCGGCGACTGCTGACTGCGGGCGAGGGCAACGTGCGCACCGCGACACCGACTGACTGTGCCGGCAGCCGGCTCCGTCGGCGAGTCGCGCGCCGTTCGCCGTCACCGCCGCCGCCGCCGCCGCCGCACATTATATTATTATCATTATCGTTGGAATAATATTATGATGACGTCGAGGTCGACTCGCCTCGCCAACCGGGCGTCTTGAGTTTGCGATCGCGTACAATAAACTTTAGACGTGTACCTCGCACGAAAATTGCCCGCGTTTACGTGACGCCGCCGCGTACCCCGCTATTACGGCGATTATTACTATTATTACTATTATTATTATTATTATTATTATCATATTGTTATTACGGCGGTTGTGTACGCGAAACATACTACATACCTACATACGTATATACACGCACGTACCGACCAATAACTGTATACCTATACGGTTGCACTTTTATTAACCTCTCTCTCCTTCCCCCCTACCCGCCCCCGGAATCTAGTAGAAAACATAACAATACGAGTTGAACGTATTGAAATAATAAAACCGGGACGGAATAATTCCCCAGTGCACCGACTGTATTGAGAAAATTACCTTTCGGAAAAAGGAGCTGCATAGTCCATACATAATCCGGAGCAAGTTTTCCGAGGTGAAAAAGTGTTGATCGCAGACGGAAAAAAAAAAAAGAGCTGATACTGAGGACGGGTGCGGCCGCTGTTGTAGATGGGTAGTGGGGAAGATGGGAATAACATAAAGTTATTTAATTTATCCCTGTAATCGCAACGATAAACCATTGAATATTGATAACGATAAACTATTCGGAGCAGAGTTCGATAATAGATGTTTTTTTAAACGGCCATAATATTTACGATTGTCATTGAAATTTGATTTTAAAACTCTTATCAAAAAAAAAAAAAAAAACTACATTAAACTAAATTGTTTTATTGATCATTCATTTTACAATTTTATATTATACAAAAATACAAATAATCCTTAATATACACAATACTTATTGGAACAAACAATATTATACTATGTATAGTATATATAATAAACATAATAAATTTAAAAAATATTAAAAACTCGACAATACCTATAGATAGGCATTTTAAGTAAGCATAATTTAATTACGAGTAGGGATCTATATTCTGAAATTTAAACAATAAAAAACCTCTTTAGTCAGTGGCGGCTCACTCTAAAGTCTTCCCGAATTCCGGCTGGCCCACCCTATATGATTACAAAATAATTCTGTTTTACATCACATATCATATTTTAAAAATATATAGAAATAAGAAGAAATGTAGAGATCATTGTTATATTTTATATTCTGAGTGTTGCGAAGAATGTATTGGTTTTACAAAGATGTTTATTTTTGTTTTTTATTTTTTATGTGAACACTTTTTCTACAAGAAATTTTAGACTCTTTTTTAAAAGGAAATTTTCTTGGGGTGGTAAAGAAGGTCATTATTCGAATTTCTCTGGAGTTTTTCCAGCAAATGTGAAAACCCGGGAAAAACGATACAATATTAAACAATTTTTATTAAGGAAATTAAATAATGCCTATTTAATTATTTTAACATAATAATCTCCACGGATTGATACATAGGTATGAAGAAAAATAACGGCCCTCTATGCTTTAATTTAGCAAAACCATCTTATTCTGTAGTAACTAGCAGGTGCTATTATAGATTTTAAGTATTTATAACCAATGGTACTATAATACCAATATTATATTATTTGTAACGATGTTTATTTCTTCTGATACTGCTACAATTGTAAGCGATAATAAAAAAAATGTTCAAACATAAATTGTATGAAATTATCTATTATTTACATCTGCACATTTTAGGCGAGCCAAAAAAATCATGGTATGAATTTGCATACCCTTGCATCCCGCAAATGACTCCCCTGCAAGCACACCTTGAAAAAAATAAAAATTAGAATCTATGAAATGCTTTATTTACAAATGGGTAATTTTTTTAACATATATGAACTACTTCTATAATTTATGAAAAATAACTAAAGAAATTTGGATTGTAACATTATTACAATATTTATTTACCTCGTGTCAATCAACCTAATGAAAACAATTTAAAGTCATCAACCATTTACAGGTGGGTCAAAACGATTGCAAAATAGGATATAATCGACATCTATATAAGTATTATCGATTTTTTTATTGATTCGTTTTTTATTATCTTATAATGGACAATGTAATAATAAGAATAACAACCATTAAATATCAATAATTCACTGTCGTTTTTGCCCAATCTGTAAATGGCGTCCAACTTCAATAATAGATACGAGCTTATTAGCTTGGTATTCATTTATCTATGTACACGAGAAATAAAATAAACGAAATAAATATTATTATTCCCGCCTAAAATTCGAATATTGTTATAATATGGTATATCCATATTACGTAGTGGACGGTAGTGGCGCGAAGCTAAGTAAGAAAAAACAGTAGCTTAGTAGCCACTAACGTATAGTAACAAAAAATCGAGTTGGACCATTGAAAAACCGTGTTATGCTAATTTGTGTTAATCCATCGGCCAGTTTTACAGGCCAAACGGCTGAACATATAACGTCACATAAGGTATCAATAAATCATAAATATTATGCAGATGGGAACAGGGGAACTCACAAACACATTGGTTAGATGGATTATAAGTTATAACCAAAAATGTTCAAGTACTTTCAAGTCCGACTTTTCGTATATCGGAAAATATCTATTCTCTGCTGCAGCAACGACGATGACGGACCCTCTGTTATTAGGTTTACATTTAATGACCAGTTTCGAATTCAAAATTCATATTCAGGTTTAATAAAGTTAAATAGCATCGTGACCTTTTTTTATAAAAAAATAACTAATATCATACCAAAAGCACTTCGTTATAAATTAGTGTAAAAAAAAGCTAAGTTAAAAAAAATTAAATTTAGTAACGATTAAATCTTTAAAAGACGTGATATAATATGGAAACTAAGTAAAATGCCATTTTATAATATTACAAATATCTATGATGACAAATAAGATCAATTGTAAAGTTAAATACTTAGTAAACACATTGTTTATAAATTATTAATTTATTTACGAAATTTGCTATAGTGGTTACTTATTTGTATTTATCTAAGTATACTTACACATCCTGCCAAGTAATTAAATAATATGTAACTTTACAATTGATCTTATTTGTCGTCATAGGTATTTGTAAAATAGCATTTTATTAGTTTCCATATTATATCACGTCTTTTAAAAATTTAATTATTACTAAATTTAATTTTTTAACTTAGCTTTTTTTACACTGAGTTATAACGAAGTGTTTTTGGTGTGTTTAAGTACACGAGAAATAAAATAAATATTGTTATTCCTGCCTAAAATTCGAATATTGTAATTAATGTAAGGGTAAAATTGCTAGAAATTGTTGTAGTGGGGGAGTGAACGGTCTCACCATACCACGGTCTTCAAAGACCGTGCACCATACTAAAACACTATAAACATGTATTGTAGTGCTCACACCAAACCATCGATATGCGAGAAATCCGTTGGTACAAACCGGTGTAAATTTCCCATTGAAAATCAAACCGGTGTTAAAATTAATGACACAGGTTTAATTTTTCTGCACCATATGGTTATAATGCTAAACAAATATGAACATTGTTTTCCATAATTTTGTCTAAATGTTTCCCATCAACACCGATTGATTTATGGAACAAATATAAAGATCACATGGTCGAAAATTGATTACATCAGAATCGTCTTAGAATATCAAATGCAAATTTGGAAATTAACGAAGAAATGTACAATGAATCATTAATTTTAATTGAAGACATGTGCTTGATGCTTACCAACAAAGGATTAATACAATTCGGAATGACAACGCCCAATCGCCCAATGCACGACGCATTTAATCAAGAATTGAGACGCAAAACACAATATAATTCCGAGGCATTAAGAGAAATTGTTTTAATAAACATTCCCCTTTTAAATGAGCAACAAAAATATGCCTACGATACGCTAATGAAAGTAGTGAACGATGGAATTGGAGGATTTTTTTTCTTAGATGTTCCCGGTGGGACCTGGAAAACGTTTTTAATATCATTGATTTTGGCAACGATTCGATTTTTTTGCTGTAATTTGATTATAAATACACGTAGAGACTTGAAACTTGGTAATAATACTTATATTGAACTTACCTAAACGTGGTAAAATTTTCAAAATCATCGGACGACTTTTTTTTTTTTAATAAGCGTTTTGAAATCAAATTTAAACGAAGATCGCAAACAAAATTACGGTACTTTAAATTATGTATTACTGAACTGCGCTCAGAATCGTTTTTTCGTCAAGCAATGGTTTATCGTTGCTTACAGGTATAAATTAAATAACCTTATGTATACTACCTTCCCAACTTCTCATTTACAACAGTCACTTCTATCTTTCATTTTAAATTTATTATAAATTTTTTCGAACAATATATAATAATTTTTTTCAAATATTTCGAGATTTATTCTTACACAAAAAGAGATACATATATTTTTTTTTGCATAAAGATTGAACTAAATTACATTTTTTTAAACTTCACAATCACATCAAAGCAACAAACTATACAATATTTTACATTTACATTTGGATTAATACTGCATGGTATTAAAAGTTCATCATCACTTGAACATTCTAAGAAAACAAAATTAAAATTATATTATCAATATTAAATAGTTACATTAATACATTTATAAATATGAATGAGTTATTTTTGTTATTACTATCAATATTGTCATCACAATCTTGTAGTTTAGTATATACACAATTAATATTTTTTTTTAATTTCTTTCCATTTCACTCGGAACGGTCAAAATCTGCACATAACTGTCCATGATTTTCGAATCTTGAAGAAATGCTCTCAATAACAGTGTCCAGTACTTGATTGTAAACATTAATTTCATATGAATGGGTTTGTTATAGGATCATCATCCGCCTCATAATCGTGAAATCGTTAAAATGCTCAAAATTGAACA